TGTTACGCAATTTTTGAAGTGAAAACTTCTTTAGGCGCTTTAGGCATTCTTGAACTATATGAATTGTTTGCAAAAGAATGTATTTTATGGTTTAACAAAAGACACAATTTTGGAGATGGAAAAAAACAATTGAACTCGCGACACAATTACTGTTACCGTTACCAATACCTCTGTATTATAAGTATATTTATAAGTTTTCACTTCTGTCGGCACTCGGAGCGCCACAGTTTTTGTTCGAGGCATTTCTCCGAGTAAGTAGTGAGGTTACCGGAACCCAATCATACCCTTTATTATGTAGACCCCCCTCCCCCCTCCCCCTCTACATAATTAGCCCAGCCAGGGGGCCAACATTCTGTAACTCTCGAATTACAGGCGGCGATAGTCCTTTACCATCAGGTCACTTTCTACTCTGTTGGCCCCCATAAATGAAACACTGTCAACAAAAAGTACACGAAGCCACACACGCTGATGCAGACCGTGACAAGTGGCAAGAGATCGTCCGGAAGATAATTTGTAGAGGTCACGACCCTCACCAATGAGGAACACGACTCAAGGAGGAGGAAGACCAGGGAATCTTGTCTAACTTTACGCTAACATGGTAAACGGAGATATAACATATTATATAACTTTGTCGGTTAAAAAGTAGTATAGGTCCTTCCTCAACAATCAAAGCATCTTTATTCCAAATTTCATTAAAATCGGTTCAGCGGTTTAGCCGTCAAAGCGTAAAATACAGACAGAGTTACTTTTGCACTTTAATATTGGAAGGAATTTCATTTCCTGACTGACCAATTCATCAACGCAGGGCAATTTTGGCTTTGATGCTTTTTATGTTATAAGCACTAACAAAGAAAGGATTTTTGGAGCTTATACCCCTAAGAGGGTACAATTATTGATACGGAAGGGATCGGTTTTATGAAAGTTCTTCATTTTCAAAGTTAAAAACTAGAAATAAAAAATTGCCGAAGCCACGGGCTTTGGCCTGTCGATAATAAATATAAATAAAACGTTTTTAAAAATAACACGGAAAAAGGTCTTATTAATCTTATTACACTCCTAGCAACACTGAAAGTTATCTTAATTTTAAATGCAATTATGCAACGTTAAAAACACTAGTGATGCGACATAAGGAAGAGTAACACAGTTTTTTTTATCTATCCACCTTATCGGTTTTATAAAAAACGGCTATCGAAGTTCAAATGTCAGTGTCAGATAGTATCATTTCACGTTTCGCACATATGAGCTGTGAAGGTGAAATAGGACGTCGGATATCTACGCTACGTTGTCACTTTTGACATTAATAATAACTATAGGTAAAAGCTATTTCTTAAAATATATAATGATTACCCTAAATCTCTTTCAAGTCTAGAATTGTTAAAAAAAACTGAAAAAAGTAAAGTATTAGAATAGTGATAAACAAATTAAATTATTTTGAAGTACAAGTAAAAATTATTGAAAATCTTAAGCTTTGGTGGTTATAAATCGACACGATATCTGTTTTCCATTTTTTTTATAATTTTACATTTGACAAGGGAAACTACATTTACGGTGAATATGTTAATCCAAAGTTTGATTTTTTTTTTAAATAGAAAGGTACACCGCTTTATTAATGTTTAGTAACATTTTCTGATAGATATTTCATTACTGATCTGAGAGCATGCTCTGCGTGTTTCACAGTTTCAAGCCATTTTCTACCATAAAGAACCAGTGCTGTATAAGTGAGGTGAGGTAATGACATATCTTATATTAATATTAATTAATAAAAGAGTTCAACCCAAGATTGAATATTGAGGCAGTCCATTATCTAACGTTACACTGTCACTAATAATCCCATTAATATTTACGCACTGAGATCTGTCACGTAGAGTGTCTTGGAAGCTTTTTAGAGCATCCCTACGGTTGCCAGTGATTTCCAATTTGCGTAAGAGCTCCTCTTACGCAAATTGGAAATCAATGGAACAGAAACAGTGTCAAATGCTTTAGAAAAGTCTAAAAAGATAGCAAGACTTTTCAGTTTGCTATCTAATTTAACTACAGTATCATCTACCAGGACGACAACTGCATCCTCAGTTAATCTGCCGCCTCTAAAACCATACTTAGGATTTTATAAGTCTCCAGAAAGTTAACTTATCTGTTGTTAGGATTTTTGAAGGCATCTTAGACATTGAAGGCAGAACTGAGGCAGGCCTATAGTTAATGACGCTGTGTCAGCCTCTACCTTTCAATATAGCATGGACAATTGCCTTATAAAAGGCTTTAGAGTAAAAGCAAGCTGAAAATAACCGATTGCAAATGTGAACAAAGAACGGCACAAAAGCAGGTAGAGTTTTCTACAGTCTCGGTGATTTACCGTCCCAGCCCACAGCAGTATCTGCTCTCAATCCAATGAACCAATTAATGACTTCCACTTCATCAATAGAAGGAGAACTAGTAAGTTACAGTCACCGTACTTCATAGCAATTTTCAAGGTAATTCGAGCTACTTAGGTATTATCAGCTAACGTCTGGGCCTCATCTGCAAAAATCCTGTTGACCGTATTACACGAAGACTTTTCATTATAAGACGACTTTAATAATTGGTTAGGAGGGATAGTATTGACAGAAGTCTCGTTAATTATCTTTGATGGAGCTTTAGGGTTGCTATAGGATATAGGATAGATACCCCCTCCCAGAATCAGAGGAAGGGGAGGTGGGTTGGTCTCCGCTGACCTCACTCACTCGATGTAAAACAGCGAGAGAATTGGTTAACACCGGTTTCCTATGAGTCTGTGACATCAGTCCGGTCGAGCTGGTCTATGTGTACCGAAGCAATAGCTCTCCGACGTTACAATAAATATTATTTCGACATTATAACCATTTCGACATTAGCACCTGATTCTTGCTGAAGTAGGAAGAACGCATCTTTCAAAGTTGACTGCACCAATTGCGTGATTTAAGCGGACGCCTCGCCACTTCCTACTGCGCTGAGTGTTGTTTAGTCGATCCAACACAGGACAATACTTTCTGCGATTCACAAATTGTTGTTCTGAATCTAGGTGTGCTTTGTGTGTCATTTCATGTATGTTTTTAAAGTCCCCCGCGACACAGGAGCGGAGTCGTCATTTAAAAAAAAGAAGAAAATACGTATTGTTATTGTTGTAAGGCCTTCGAAATCAAGGTTAGGACCACACCAAGACATGTGTTGCGTGTTGAAAAAGATTAGATATAATATCTAAGTATTGTGTTCAATGATTTGTATGATTATGTTTCAATTGACATACAATGGCAGTAGTTTGGGCATGCGTTTGTGAGTTGCTCTCAATTTACAGCTTTAATACGTTGTTATTTTAATATAATTCAATATCTACAATTAACTGGCTTGTTGGCCTAGTGGTTGGTGACTTGTGTGTGATTGATTGTCGTGAGTTCAATTCCCATCCAAAACAAATGTTGTATGATGAGCACGATCATTTGTTATGTGTCTGGTGTAGTTTAATGAAAATTGATTGAAAAACTACTTGACCAACAGGCCCGTCTTTCCTATACAGTAAAGAGTATCTGGAGTATCTATTATTATTATTAAGCGACTTCCATTTAACAGGTATACATGTCCACAGATAAGGAAATGAATGCACAGATAAGAACGATAGGTGTGCGTTTGACAGCTAGATTTGGGTTTTAAAAGTTGCCGAAATATGTGGTTATTTAATTCGTATTTTTCCTTATTATTAAGCAAGTATTTAAATTTATGATTTTCTACTGGAGTTGGCCTTGGCTAGGTATTTTTGGATATTATCATGTTTAAAATATTAAAAACAAAAATATTGACCTAGAATCTTTGGTTCATCAAAAAAAAATTTTTTTTTTTTAATTTGGGCACCATAAACTGCACAGATAATTTAATCATCGAGTACTGTTGTTTGTTATCCAACACTCCAATACGACTGAACAGATCTGAAGACTGCACGAATGGCGTAGTTGTTAAGGCGGTCACCTAGTCGTTTCAGCTCTCAGTGTTGTAGGTTCTATCCCCACATGGTACAACACTTTGTGTGATAAACAAATTGCTGTTCAGAGGCTGGGTGTTCTTTGTGCATTTCAAGTATCTTTGTAAAGTCCTCGCGACACAGGATATATTCCTAGTGCGGGATTTGTATGTTATAAAAAAAAGAAATTTGGTACAGACATAAATAGTCTAAAATAGAAAAAAATACTTTTCTCGTAGACAAAAGCAACATAGAAACGAGCGAAAAGCGAAAGATAATATTGGAATAAATTACGATAGGTCACACGCCTGGAACACTAGGTGGCCTCAACATAGCATGTATACATACAATACAATAGTAATATCAGCATGATCAATCGAGAACCGTTGATACGAGTTGCTCCTGTGTTGTAAAGAATAAATTAATATTTCAAAAAGTATGGTAGCCATATTTTTTACTATTTTCAAAATTGAATATGCCGAAGGTTTTTCTTAGTTTAAATTTGGAACGTACTTTTAGGTACTGATTAGATTTTATGGAAATAGTAACAAACATTGTTATGTCTTTCCAATTGGTATTTCACTACAAATGTCACAATCTATTTTTTGTCAAAGAGTCCAGGAAAGACACTAATTAATTATCATCCGATATTAGATATAAGTACAGTTTAAAATTAATGAGTAGAAACATTTAATGTATTACCCATTATATGCAAATGATATATTGTCACAAGTTACGTAGTGTCAAAGTAACAAGAATTAAAATTCATTCAATTATCAGTTTGTTATATCGATTGAGTTAATTCAAGAAAAAATTAAGCGTTGACCTTGCATACCTATACGCTAAAAATGATGCGAAAAGGCTTTGTTTCAAACCATCATGAATATTCAAAGTAATAACATTATCTGTTTTTTAATTCTATAGTAGAGGTGCATATAGTAAGAATAGCAATCGTATCTAAATATGGTAATTAGAAGTGAATTTTAAAATTACTTAAAATAACTGTATGTATATTCATAAAAAATATTCAACTTACAAATGTTTTCTATTCCTTTGGCAAACTTAAAAAAAACATAAACCAGTATGCAAACTATGAAAGTAATAAAAGACAACATAAAAAAAAAATCACATCACTACACACTGTCACAGCATGACTTCGACTAATCGAAATTCCCGCCTAAATTGACAACCGTTCACGTCTAACGTTCGACAAGCACTTCGCTGATACGCAGTTAAATATTTAACATATTGTAATTAGGTATGATACGATATCTACATATATAATTGATCTGATTTTATAAACATTTTATATGTTTACATTATTTTATTGGTTAAAGCCTGTTCACGCGTTAGGAACACACAGTCATATCTCGAGCGACAAGATGTACTGAATATAATACAGCTGCTTTTAACCTTGTGATAAAAAATAACCGTCTAGTATTTACGTACGTTGAAAGCGACGAGAAGCGCTTTTTAGCTACATTTCAATACACTTTGATCCCTGAACTTGTATTGAAATATCTGTTCTACTTTTGGTTCTAGGGATGTGTCATGACACATTTGGGTTGGTGTGCACTTAAAAAGTTCTGAACCGATTGGGCTCAAATTTTGAAACAATTTAAAAACCGTGTCATAGATAGATTTTGAAGTGAAAACTTCTTTGTGCCGTTGGGCATTTTTGAACATAATATGTTCAAAAATGCCCAACGGCACAAAGAAGTTTTCATCTCATCTCATCTACGTATACCTATTGGCTCCGTTTACACGAGAGTTGAGTTTGGGTTGAAATACATTGATAATATAACTATATATAATATAAACAAATTATGTATATAGTTATATTAGTACAACATAGATATATATTCCTTTAGGAACTTTTCGAATCGAAAGTAGTTTTAATAAAAAAATTTTTTTTAAATATTCACTTTTGTAAGCACTCACGGAGTGCAGCTGTTTTTTTATCTATTTCAGTTTTGTTCTTCAATTCGAAGCGAGTCATAGCGATGTGTGGCGGGTACCTACAACTAGTTGTTGATAAAATGAAACAGGTCAAAACACATTGTGAAATTTTTATTTATAATTAAAACCGTTGTAACAAATAATATAACCTTCGAAATAGAGCATCACATATACACACAATAGATTCTGACGTAGTTAAGAAGGTAATGCAATCTTTTAAAATAGGTATAGGTTTAATCATAATTCAAGGGAAAAACGATTATTGCGTACGAGATACTTAGATCGTTTACATGTCCAGATGACGTCGCACTACAAACCAAGTGAAAACACAACCTGCTTAGCCGACTTTGTAGCGTAGTGTGTGCAAATCAAGCAAAGTATTTCCGGTACAGGTATAATACAAATTCGGAATATCGTCATCTGACAATCTCCGGAACTATCACTCGGTTTTGAATGCTTCATTTTGTGTAATCATCAGCCTTTAATGATCCACTGCTGGACATAGGCCTCTCTTCAGAAACCTACCACGCTGGCCAGACGGGTTGGTATAGGGTTTGTTTCAAGTTTTCCTTCTCTCTGCAGAATAGGGGTGGTGACTCGTGACACTCTGTATTCTTAATCCGCCACCACATGGACAAAAGGTATAATAGGGTCATAGGCAGTGTGGAGCAACGGGTGTCATGTCCCTCCAACACAAAGGAAGGAACCTCCGACCAAGCGACCGCGGCCCGCGGTTGATGTTGGGAAGTTGTATATGCTAATCGACAAGAAAATTCTTCATATCGCAATACAGGATTAGCGATTCTCAATCAGAAGTTACTCCGTATTTCGGTGTGTCTTCGTTAGATGGCGCTATAGTATGTTTCTATTTTCTTTGAATGTGGGAGTCGCAACAGTAGTATTGTAAACATTTTGTATTGGATAGAGTATTAAATGAGGAATTAAACATAACCCTTCGACCTTCAGAAGCGGAGCAGTGAGCATTAATAGTCATCAGTGGTCATCATCATCAACAGCTCTTAATAGTCCACTGGTGGACATAGGCCTCTCCTTAGAAAGGATAGTTGGTATAGGGTTTGTGTCAAGTTTTCCTTCTTTTTGCAGTTCTGGTGTCTTGTGTTGTTTTGTGCCCTTAGTCGGCTCTTACGACACCCACGGGATGAATTGGGGGAGTGACATTCCGTATTCTTAATCCGTCACTACACGGATAGTACTTTGTAATATTAATATAGTAATTTGTAATAAAAGCGGCATGAAACAGGAAAATGAAAAAATTCAATAGGTATTTAATAATACTACAATCGATTACTATAAGGCCATCACTACAAAAACACATTATCAACACATCACATGTGAAACACATCACATGTGATACTCTTCACTAGCCGAATATTCTTTTCAGAATGAAAGAAACATATCGCGCCATCGCCAAACTTATGTGTGCTGTTTCAAAAACAAAACTCATTGAAATAACAAACTTCTCAATACGTGCTACTCCGTCTTGTAGACTAAAATGGCGCTGTTCCAACTTCACAGATGACTTTGTGTAAAAGATAATTTATGTTTGATATGAATGTGACCTATGCGATACTAATAATTTTGTTAATTCTCTTGTATAACGCTTCTCAGAGATCAGTCAAGCCATCAAGAGTAGGTACAAGAAAGAGCGGGATTTTTAATGTTTTTTTTGTTTATGCTATCTTTGCTATTAAAGGGTAAATTTTATTAGTCGTGAAAAAGTGGTCCTATTGAAAATTTGAGACGTTAATGGCGGTCGCTCGGTCGTAGGTACCTTGTAAATTTGAGATGAAAAAACACTTTAAAAAAATATCAAACGATTCGATTTTTCAGTTGGAAACAAAAATTTTAAAAGTACAGATATACTAGCTGACCCGGCAAACGTTGCTTTGACTAAAAAAAAATTTAGGGATGGGTCACCCTTACCATTTAGGGGTATGAAAAATAGATGTTGGACGATTCTTAGACCTACCCGATGTGCACACAAAATTTCATGAGAATCGGTCAAGCCGTTTCGGAGGAGTACGGGAACGAACATTGTGACGCGAGAATTTTATATATAAGATTGAAAATGTTTCGTTCTTAATTTCTCAATGGATAAAATAATGAACGTTACATACATAATTAACTTAAAGCGACAGTAAATTAAGCTTCTTAATTGCTATTGTAATAAAAAGCCGATTTTTAACATTTCATACTAAATATTTGTTACGACGAGTATTAGATTAGGCTAGGTATCGAAAGTCTGATGAAAGATCAAAGAGTTGCATACCTACCGAAACTCTTTTTATAATTTTATTTTGGTGTGTTACATAATTATATCCTCATAATTGTAGGAGAGTCTACAATTCGTATGAGTGATGGGACGAAATTGTGTAACAGGAAGCCTGGGCCAAGTCTCTTATGTACTTTATAATATACTAATATTATAAAGTTGAGGTGTTGGTTTGTTTATTTGGTTGAACGCGTATATCTCAGGCACTACTGGTTTTGGTACTTGAAAATTTCTTTTAGCGTTGAATAGCCCATTTATCAAAGAATATAGACTTTATAACATCACGCTACGACCAATAGGAGTATCAATGAAACATGTTGAAAACTTTATTCCTATTGTGTTTACGCTTAAAAAATTAAACTGGTCTCCCCCTTTGTCATGTCAAAGGAACACCCTACCTTAAAAAGTATCACCGCTGTGTCGGTCGGAGTGGGAGGTGTTAGGTTATTTTCGTTACGGAATTTGTGATTCTGATTCGGTCTCCACGCTCAACGCCCGCGATAGAAGCTATGCAATAGCTTAAAACTGAAAAAGTTTTGCATCTTTTGAGCTCAAATTTTTCACCTACCTCATTCTTTCTGTGCATCGCCCAAACGCTCCACTGTAGCAAAAGATCACAATCACATGTGATAAATCATATAGTTTATAAATTATATCATCACACCTGTGACAGATTTACAAAACCACTGCTACTTAATTATTATTATTACGCTAGCGCAAGACTCGCGAAAGGTCGAAAATCTAAAATAAAAAGGTCGATTTTAATGCCGTTTATCTTTGTCTATGACGAAATCACAATCACATGATAAATCGCTGTTAATGAAACCAATCACTTCATCAAATGAATATGATTTAAAAGTAGCAATAATTTCCATGTCTAGTCAACGGCGGACTGGCAGTGAATGCCATAGGCATTATTAAGTCCGCCGATGTAAATATTTAACATGAAGTCATAAACATATAAAAAAATAAAGTTTGACACGACATACAACACGTTTCAAGATGGTTTTATCAATTTTTTGCGTCAGTTTCGGTCCTCACTTCTAATCGATGCAACTTCAATGTGCCAAAGCGAAGCGTTGCAGGGTACAACTAGCTAATTATAAAACTGTAAAATAGCATCTCACACAAGTCACACGCGGCTGACTCTGTTTGAGAGATACATGCTCTTCCTCTTCAGTCAGGATCGCCGACTACTTGGACAACAGAAGGCCAATTATCGTAATAAAAGTTCGGTCTGAATTCAGTTCCGATCAACTTTCGATCTCGCAACTGTCATTTAAGGTATTTTCGTAGCAAAGTATTAAACATCCAAAGTTGACTGTAATGTGATTATAACCGTATTGTAACCGAAAATTGAATCGGTAATCTGCTAGTCTCAGTAATACAACTACTACGAACTACTAACTATTTTACTACGAAAATGATTTTTATGATAGTTGTGAGATCGAAAGTTGATCGGAACTGAATTGAGATCGAACTTTTATTACGAGAATTGGCCTTCAGGGTCCACCAAACGCTAAACTATCTTTGTCGACACCTAGATTTTTTAATTATTTCATGAGTAATATTTTTTCATCGACAATAGTGTAACTTAATTTACTGTTATTAATCTTAAACGGATTATAGCATTGGCTTTTAGACATTTTAAATATTATATTTCAAACGAGAAGTTGAATGAAATAAGTGCTTAATGTAACAAGGCTGCTCTCATAGGTAAATAATTAAATCGAAAAAAAATTGTTCTAAATTGGATTACGGAAATTGATGATTAGTAGGTATATTACCTCACCAGACTGAGGTATGTGACTCGAACCGACTATAAAACGACATAGTGTGTGTTTGTCACAAGCAAGTATATTCCAATTATTTCAGGTGACCCTAACTAGAAACCAATAGATAATTCCTACTGAATTAGACCGCCTAATAAACGGACGATAGTAATGAAATTACAGGGGGGGGGGGGGGGGGGGGGCTAACCTCCTTCCAGATCAGAGAAGCGCCCGCTGAACGCGTCGAGCCACCGTCTAAGGCGTTATTTTGTAACGTACAAACAAGCACTCATGAATTAATCACTCATAAATAATAAATTCGGCTAAATATTATTACTTTAGTAGCAAATACAAGAAAACCTTGCGGCGAAACTGCGTTTAAGTTATTTTTATCTAAATCTCCTGGTCGAATTATAAATAAATATTTAGGAACTAAAAAATAAAAACACAAGGATTATCATGTTTGCCAAATTAAAAAATAAATTTTGAAATGGTGATTTTTGCAACAGAGGGATTCATCAATAACTTTTACTAGTCCACTGCTATACATGGGCCTTTCCTTAGAAAGGAGGTTACTAGAAGAGGGATTATCTAACATAATAATAATAAGATATATTAACTTGTTTCAAAGAGCCATCCATTATTGCCGCTATTTCTGTATTTGTCCCTACACTACTTTTTGCCTTTACCTGCACATACATGTCTCAATCTCAAATTTCAAGGTGGCCCGTTTTATCTTTTGTGAAACATAGTATTATATACCTACTTAAATGGTTTTTTTAAAGTAAATATTTGAATTAGTTTTTTTTTACTCTTTCTTCTCCTTTCCCTCATTGGCTATCCGGACTTTATCTTCTCATCGCTATTTAAATGCTTTGAATAAGCTAGAGCGTGCTTACTAAATCGATGTGCTTGTTACATGTTTGACTTCAAAATTCTTATAATGTTTCGAAATTCTAATAGAATAGAATTTTTGGTATCATCGGTCAAATCACCTATCTGACAGCACCGCACATTTTAAATTGACCGCGAATTTAAAACACGATCTCTCATTGCTATACGCTTCCGTTATTGTCAGGAAATCACTGCCACAGATTGTAAGTAAGAAGAAAAGTGTTACACATCAGAAACGAGATTTTAGTCGTCATTAGCCGTCATCGTTTGTCTTAAACTTTAATCCATTAAACATATGTTATTCACCTTCAAAACAAAAAGCCAGTTTGTCCAATATTACAGTTTGAAGCTGTAGTGATAAAGAAAATAGATTTTCCTTTCATTATCGGTTTATTACAGTAAATAAGAATTCGTTTTTTATATTTCCAATAAAATAAAAATATATTTTTTTTGTTCTGAGTTCCAAAAGAATATTTTGCGATTTTTATTTTAATAAAGCAAAGCATGATAAACTTTCTCATACCTTCACTTTTCAGAGAATGAATTTTCAAATACAAAAAGTCGATACTCTATTTTTAGTATAGGTGCTGCAAAATGAAACGTTAAAAGCAAAATTCAAATTGTAGACCGGTGAAATGATTAAAAATATGTGGTAGAAATTTCAAATCAAAGAATGGCAATACTGAAAATGCAGATAGCAGTATAGTAGTACTAGTAGTCTGTGGTCTGTTAACTGTTTGAACGGAGACAGAGTATTTGTGTTCTGTGGTTTGAACACTTCATAAGTTACATAAAATTGAAGTGAAGTTGAAGTGTAGCGATATCTGAAGGACGTATTTTCTAGTGATTTAAGTACTTTCACATTAGTTGAAACGGTGTTTTAACTGTTCTTTATAGTGTACTGTGGATGGATTTTCATTTGTGGACGATATAAGAGTTGTAACGAGATGCTTATTGAAAATCCTGACGCTTTCAAGTCGTGGTTGACCTCCATATTGGAACCCCTGTGAGTACATCCGCTGCCATATTTGCAATAAATATAAGTCTAGAATTTTGACACATAAATCATCCTTCGGAAGAGAAAAAAAATCATTATTATTGAAATTGGATTAGATATTATTTTATATTATGTTGAGAAATATCAATGAGAAATATCAATATCGCGATGTATCAAATTACAGTAAATGTCTCGCCTCGTTCACATGGCGCTTATTTTGTACATTTCTTTCCGATAAAAACACGCATCCAGAAGCCTTTAACTCTCTATGAAATAAAACAATCCACACAATTAGTGATACTAATTTGGTTTTATTTAATTTCACCAGTACTAATGTGTATTGAATTAAGTACGTATCGGTCAGTTTTTAACTACAGACAAAAATAAAGAAAAACAGCAAAAAGCCAGCACTGTAAAACGTATAAAACAAGTAAAATTTCTCTCAATACAATTGAGTCACTCATTCTTATAGCGAATCTAGTTTTTACATATGTTTTCTTGCAGACGATTCTGTCTGTGTAATAACAAGTCCTACAATAACACTATTTACGTAAAAACGGTAAGTTTTACTAAAGATTTCCAAATAAATATGTCTATGCTTTACAATAAACTTTCCAATAACTTCTAGGTTAGGATTGATCTATTCTCACATTTTGCTTTATGAGTAGACTCTGTCACCAATAAATACATTTGATTGAAAAAAAGCTTTAAATTGATCACCAATAAATTTTGAAGATATTATTATTATTGATGATGATTTTCACTGGGTGGTTCCCAATCCTTGTTAGACATGGAAATTATTACTACTTTTAAGTAAATCATATTCATTTGATGAAATGATTGGTAAATGTCACAGTGATTTTACATGTGATTGTGATTTCGTCATAGACAAAGATAAATGGCATTAAAATCAATAAAAAATATTTTTATCAAAGATAATGACCTTTTTTTTTTAAGATTTAGAACTTTCGCGAGTCTTGCACTAGCGTAATAATAATAAATCACAGTGGTTTTGTAAATCAGTCTTAGAAGTGATCATATGATTTATCACATGTTATTGTGACATTATGCCATCCCTAATCCTTCTCCTCCAGAGGGCAGGACAGGTCTTCTCAAAGGGAACACACTAGAGTTGCAAATGTCCATGAGATGCAGTCAGATACCTTCATATATCTAATAGATGATTATTTTTATTTGCAAGAAATATGGTATACAAGATGTAGAAGACAATGTTATTTTGTCCAAGACATATTGCCCGTAATGACAACTAATGATTTAAATTACAGGAAATATCATCCAATGAACAATAGAAAATGTGTCAACAACATACAATAAAATTAGTTAATATTAAGCACAATTCTGTGTGATGATATATTAAGAATACGAAGTGTCACCACCCCTATTCATCATATGGGTGTCAAGAGCCAACTAAGGGAGCACACTAGGCAGGACAACAGCACTGGAAAGGGAATTCAAACTTGACATAAACCCTACACCAACCTGCCTGGCCAGTGTGGTATAGTAGGCTAAAACCTCTGCTCAGGAGAGGCATAACTGTTTGCAATGGACTATTAAAGGCTATACAAATGTCAACAAAATTAAAATTAATTTAATATTAAGAATAGAAAAGAATATTAATGTTTATACATAATGCAAATATGCCTTGGTAGATTTAATGCCTAAGGCATTGTCTACCAGTCAACCACTGGGTGATGCAGAGAAAACAGGAAATAGGTGCATTTTGGTTACACTTGATTTCAGACGTTAGCAATGTCTAATGAACACGAAATCACATATTATTTACACATATACAAATCTATTGTAATCCCATACATATTACATATAAGTATATACATTACAATATATAAATACAGTACAAAAGTATATAAATAAATAAATACATGTGCAAATACATACTAATATCAAATTAACAAAAAAAATTGCTTTATTGTGCACAAAGTACAATACAATCTCTTACATGCAACATTTGGATGGACACATCAACAGTAGATAAAAGAAACAAGGGTTAGTGAAAGTGTATTGAAGCTACAGTAGTGTTAAAATAAAAATATATATGATATTTATTTCTGTAAGTAAATCTTTTCAGATATTTTTATAAGTCAGACTTTATTTTATTTTTATTTATTTATTTATTATATCTTTATTGTATACACTAATAGAAAAAAACAAAACAAAAGATTAGTTACAAATAAGTAAACGTAACAATTGGCGGTCTTATCGCTCACAGCTTTATAGCTAGATGGAGCTGGCATTTCCTCAGACTCACTCTGGGAAGATACACCAAACAAACCATAGAGATGTCTTTTTTTTTTAAATCCATAAACGAAATTAAAGAAAACTGTGAGAGGACAGTGTAGGCCCTACACTTCCTTTCTTCAAAAGACCTGCCCAGACCCTACACTGTAGGGTCTGGGCAGGTCTTTTGAAGAGAGGATGTTAGTTTTGAGTTGGCCTGTCTATACAGACAGCATACAGGCCCCAGCCATGTAGCTTAACCAATAATGTACAACTCTCATTTGCTCATAAAAAATTAAAATAAATAAAAAATGCATGTAAGAATTTGTGTTTTAAAATAATGTGCAGATATTTAGAATGAAGTCACATAAACTAATAAACAAAGGACACAAAAAATCCCTCATACTTAATAATTTTATTGTTATAGATTCAGAAATACATAAAATACTATAGAAATCATTTAAGTGAAGCATAAGTTGTTTATATTTGATGTCATACAGTCATACTTGCCAGAATATTTTATAAAAAAAATATATGTTGAGATTGTGAGATGGTTGTTTTTTCATTTTTTATGCATTGCTATTAATCTACTTATCATTGAATTCGGCGTATACATTGGCAGGGAAACAAATATATGTATTAAACCGCCAATCCCGCCCTCCCAATTTGGTAGTCGTTTAACAATCACTAGCAGCCTACAACACAAAAAAAGGAAATTTACTCTTAAATAGTAACGTGCCTCAAAGAGCACGTTCAGCCGTTGGTCCCGGTTGCCATACGAACATCTTTTGCAATCGTTACGAGTAGTTAGCGCCCTGAAAGTCCAACAACAGTCCTAAACAGCGTACTCCCCCCTAAAATGCCGGCAACGCGTTTGTGACATGTGTTGCAGACGTTCATGGGCGGCGATGGTCTCTTTCCATCAGGTGACCCGTCTGCTCGTCTGAACCCTCTCATCATCACATCAACAGCCTATATACTATATACCACGCTGGCCAGACGGGTTGGTATAGGGTTTGTTTCAAGTTTTCCTTCTCTTTGCAGTGCTGTTGTCCTGCTTAGTTTGCTCCCTTAGTCGGCTCTTACGACACCCACAGGATGAATTGGGGTGGTGACAATTTGTATTCTTAATCCGTCACCACACGGACTGAACGCTCTAACATGAAAAAAAACTGCCATCGCCTATTACTTTGTTCCGTGGTGCTTCCCTGTTTAAAAGGGTGTATGCATATTTTACTTCATTTTGTCTACCGCTTTGCTAAGGAGGGAAGTGGATTTATTGTAATTCCAACTCATCCAATTTTCTTCTGATTAATTTCGAGTGTCATAACTCGGGGTGTTCGTGGGTCACTGTTGTGTTCAAGCCGCGCGCGCCATTGCGGAGCTCCTAACTCAGCGAGCTCCAGAACTTCCTGGAAGCCATGCCACCCCAGCTAGTACCAGTGTCGTCCGCGTGGTCCTTGGACGGCATGGTATAGGAGGGAATAGTCCCATTTAAAAACTAGTACTTGGGTGGTGAAGATCTGATGGCAGGCGCTCCTAGTAAACAATCGCAGTAGTAGACTTAATACCGACCCAACCTAGTTTGGGGAAAAAAACTCTGAGGAAGATGGATGAAGACTCTTAACTAGACATCTTTTTATTAACTCTTCGTTACCATAGCAACACATTTAGTCGCATACTAAAATAGCTCCCAACTGTTCGTAGACCAACTGGCTGGATAAAATTAACGTTTGCTTGTCTAATTATAATCTGTGCAAGCGGTCCATCAGATAGTTTCGACTGCGCTTAAGGTTTTGTTACAACGATTTATTAATAACTGGCTTTTGCCTGCGGCTCCGCTCGCATATGTCGGTTATCTCGCTAAAAAGTAGCCTATGTTACTCATTGATAATGTAGCTTTAGAGCAGACGGGTCACCTGATGGAAAGTGACTATCGCCGCCCGTGAACGTCTGCAACTCAGGAGTCACAAACGCGTTGCCTGTCTTTTAGGAAGGAGTACGCTCTTTTCTTGAAGGTTTGAAGGTCGTATTGGTCCGGAAATACCGCAGACGATAACCCGTTCCTCAAATTGGTTGATTGGTTAGGTGTAAAAGCGTAACAAACAAATAGGATGGTATGGAAGTATATATTAACTTTAAAAAAGTAGCACAGACTTCAATGCGCGTACGTCATTTTGTTTTTTTTTTTTGGCAAAGGAGGGCAAACGAGCAGACGGGTCAATTGATGATTGCGCCTACCCTCCCATGGCTATCTGCAAGTTAAGGGTCACAAGCGAGTTGCCAACCGTTGAAACCTCAAGATTCAGGGGGACGAGGGGTTTGGGCTCTGGTAATCTCACTCACTCAGTGAAAATCCGTGAATTGCAACAAAAAATATTTTTCATGACTTAATTTTCTTAACTTCTTCAACTTTAAGGGTTTTTTTTTTCTTTATTTTTGAATGGGACCAAGAACCATAAGTAAACCCTTTAAAATAAAAGTATTTTCTATATCGTTTCCTTAGTTTACAAACAAAAGAAAACATAGCCGAATCGGTACTAATCTAGCTTGTTAAGGCGATCACGTAACAGGTATGTGACGAGATAAATTGGGTTCGAGGTTTCGACTATATAGATAGCATTGGCCGCTGACCACCGACCAGTGAAACCAGGTCCTGTCCAGGTCAAGTCTCGTAATAAAAATTCTTTCAAAATTCAGTTCTGATCTCTACTTGCGATCGCCCAAATATCGTAGGCATAATCCCATTAAAGTTTTAAACATTCAACGTTGACGGTAATGTGATTATATCGTATTGTGAACGAAAGTTGAATCGGTACTCTGCTAGTCTTAGTAATACTTTACTACGAGAATACCTTTCATGACATTTGTGAGGTCGAGAGTAGAATGGAACCGAATTTTGAACGAATTTGATTACGAGACTAGATCATCACACTAAACCCTATTCCGTATTTACACTATCAGTAAAAAAAAAAACGGTTTATTTCAGTAATAATTTAAATTGTATTTGGCTTTCTAATGAATGTAATTTTAATTTCTGTCCTCACGTTATTTCGAGTCCGTGTAGTGACGGTTTAAGAATACAGACTGTCACTACCCCTATTCATCCCGTGGGTGTCGTAAGAGCCGACTAAGGGAGAAAACTACGCATAACAACAGCATTGCAGAGAGAAGGAAAACTTGACAACAATCCCTATAACAACCCGTCTGGCCAGCGTGGTATAGTAGGCCAAAACCTTCTTTCTAAGGAGAGGCCTATGTCCAGCCGTGGACTATTAAAGGCTGTTGATGTGATGTGTGATGGATCTATTTCTAATTCTCTCACCAAATATGTACTATGTTATGCATGTAATTTTAAAGTAGAAATACATTGCTTCTATTATTCGAAAACGGAAATCTTCACTTTACAGAGAGCCAGTAATCTTTTCAATTACCACACACCGTTGTAACTGTTTGTTAGCTGTATGTAATTTTATTACATAATCCTTAACAGCCGATAACATTTTTTCTTATCGGGAATTGTGCGATAAGAATGAATTTCCTCACAAATTACATAAAACTCAAACTCGCTCTGAATTTTATCGTCTCCAGTAATTGCTTTCATGGAACAAATTTACATACACACGCCTAAATACCCTAAGGGCTTACCAGAGGCGTATTAAAACGCCTACATTTTTAATATTAATCTCAGTTATGTAATAGGGGCAAGCTTATGCGACTGCCTCGTTGGTGGAGCGGAAGCGTAGGCGACTGCTGTGCTAAGGTCTCGGGTTCGATTCCCGGGTCGGACCAAATGTTTGTATGATATGCATATTGAACTTCCCTTCCTTCTACGAGAATCACGGCCAGGGCGGGGTAATACCGTTCAATAAGTCAAATGTTCTATACCCATTGCCAGGGATACAACAAAGAATTTAGGGTTGGATGGAAAAAATACTTTTATGCAAACCACACGGCATACAAAAACTAGTGTCTTAAAAGGATCTCCAATCTCTAAAATTCGACTTGGTTATCCTCCAAAAAGAATGCTCCTTGTGTTGATGCAAACAAACATGCTATATCTATATATTCAAATATAAAAATGTTAAGTTTGTTTGTGTAAACTCGAAAGTTTTGCACCGATTGAACTCAAGTTTTGACACAATGTTAAACACGCTTCGAAGTTTTTTTGCATATTATTTTTTAACCCTAATGTGCCACAGCGAAGCGTACATCTAGTTTTTCATGAAATCACCATATTAAATCTGTGCATCTACCACGTTTCTAGCTTTGCGTCGCCCTGAGGTCTACTGGGAAAAAATGCCTACGTCTAAAATCCAGTCCGCCTTTGCTACATTTGTTTGTGCATAAATAATAAATAAATAAAACTCATAAATCATAAATTTTCCTCTGTTCCAGTTGTGATGCTGACCCAGCCGCCCTCGCTAAGTATGTATACGCTCTGGTCAAGAAGGACAAGCCCGTCGAAGAATTACGGGAGGTCATGGTCGATCAGCTCGACGTGTTCTTACAGCATGGTGAGTGATGAATGATGTTATCAAAAATTATATACTTTTAATGAGTATACCTACTTCAAGATACGTCATCTAATAAACTGTAATCATAATTCTTTAATTTTCCACTCCTGGAAGTGGTATTTTTTCTTCGAATTTAAATGTGATGAAACGGGAGGTATACCCTTCCATAAAGAAAATTAATTTTCTAAATCGGTTCTTAAATGACGGAGTTCTGAGATCACAAACATCGCAATGTTTGTGATCTCAGAACTCCATGGTTTGGTGGTTATTGGTTCCAACGTATGCAAAAGTGCATCCATATAATAAAGTGCATAACTATAATAAATGCCATATGTTTGTTTCACTTTGTTATTCCGAATACATAAATAGCAGCCATCGTATACATAAGTTATAACCAGACACAACAAAAAATAACAGTAATAAATTCAGACATGTCACACACGGCCGTCGTCTGATCATAAACTAGGCAGAGGCTGTGCTATGGTAACCAGACTGTTGATCAACATCCATTATAATAAAGTGTTAAGTTGGTTTGTGTACGCTTCGAAAACTCAAAAAGTTCTACACCGATTGAGATCAAATTCTGACACGATATACAAACCGCTTCAAGAATGGTTTAATGTATTTTTTAAACCCCGACGCAAAAAAGACGAGGTGATATAAGTTTGACGTGTCTCTGTGTTTCTGTCTGTGGCATTGTAGCTCCCGAAGGGATGAACTGATTTTGTTTTACTTTTGTTTGAACGACGAATTAGTCGGGTGTGTTCTTAGCTATGTTTGATGAAAATCGGTCCAAGATGGTCGCCGCCACAAAATGGTGAATAATATATTTTTTAGAACTCCCTCTATATGGGTATCAAATGGAAGTGCTTGACTAGTAAAATACTATACACTGACAAATTTCAAGATGTGTTTAATAATTTAATTTTGATAGCGTCAGTTTTGTTCTTAATTTCTCATCAATGCAATCATAATGTGTCACAGCGAAAAGTGGCAGGAAACGGCTAGTATTTTATATATTTCGTGCTCAACACAATTATTTGTCCTGGGTGGGAATCGAACCCACGGCTTCTGACTTTCGACTCTGACTCTTTTCTGACTCGAAGCCAGTCACAAGAATATCAGGCCGAGTGTACGTAATATGTATGAATATTTATTTTTAACTGGATTGTGTCATCTGTATAAAGTTATTTATTTCAGTGACTAATGATTTCAACACCCACGTTGTTTATATTAAACAAAACTACTTACGTTATTTACAAATGTAAAGAAGTTAAATATATCTGACACTGGTGGTCTAAATACTAAATCTATACTAATATTATAAAGCTGAAGAGTTTGTTTGTTTGTTTGAACGCGCTAATCTCAGAAACTACTGGTCCGATTTAAAAAAATCTTTCAGTGTTAGATAGCCCATTTATCGAGGAAGGCTATAGGCTATATATCATCACGCTAAGACCAATAGGAGCGGAGCACCAATGAAGAATGTTTCAAAAACGGAGAAAATTTATTACTATTGAGAGACGCAGACGAAGTTGCGCGGGTCAGCTAGTATATTTATATTTTGATTCTCCCCCGCACTCAGGCCCGTCTCTAGTCTGTTGGAGGCCCTGAGCAAATTAGCATAATAGAGCCCCTACGAACTTAGCTGAGCACTATTTTGTTAGAATGGACAAAAAAAGTATTTTAGTCAGTCATTGCAAATTGATTTTTCGAAATAATTGTTTTTTGGTGATAAATATTATATTTCGATTGGTGATCTGGTAGGAATCGGGAAACGCCCAGAGTGCCCAGTGGGAAATAGGGGCCGGCCCGCCCTCGAAATTATTATGGTCGGCAAAGAATGGAGTTCGATTCCCACCTAGGACTAATTTTGTGTGATGAGTACGATCATTTGTTCCGTGTCTAGGTGTTATTTATATAAAATATGTATGTATTTAGAAATATATAAGTACTAGCTTCTGCCCGCGGCTCCGCCCGCGTAAAAAGTAGTCTGTTACTAGCTGATAATGCAGCCATCAATTGGTGAAAGAATTTTTAAATTCAGTGTAGTGGTTTAGCCGTAAAAGCGTAACAAACAAACTCCCTTTCAGATTTAAAAGTATGGATGTTTATCAGCAGTCTGGTTACCATAACACAGGCTCTACCTATTTTGATATAAATCCTTGTGTGACATGCGTAAGGTTATTATAATTATTATTCCCATCCAATCCTGACATCGGTGTGGGGACAGATTAAGAATACAGAGTGTCACTACCCCTATTCATCCCGTGGGTCTCGTGAGAGCCGACTAAGGAGCAAACTGTGCAAAATAACAGCACTGCAAAAAGAAGGAAAGCTTGAAACAAACCCTTTTTTTTTTTTTTTTTTTTTTTTTTTTTTTTTTTTTTTTTTTTAACGTGTGGAAATCCCCTCGGACCGTCACCCCACCGGGGTTTGCGGCGGGGTGGTGTGTCGGACTCGAACCGACTAAAACCACACGGTGTGCCCTCTTTGCGCTTCCAGTTTAGGAGGGGTCCAGGTAGTTATCGCCTTCTGGACCCCTCCCAGCGCCGGCCCGCTCCTGGTGCGGGCTCCGTCTTCAATTATCCTCTCTTTAGGCGACGTCCGGCACACGCGGACGCCGCCCCCTCGCGGCTGGCCAACTAATGCGGGTGGAGGGGAAACCCACCCCGTCCACCCGCGGCCACACTCAGGGCGGCATGAGGCGCAGGTAAGCGCGCCTCCGCCGCCCGGTTCGCCGGCGGCGGATCAGGTCCGAGTGGAGGTCGTCCTCCCGGGCCTTCTCCGCCGCCTCCTTCTGCGAGATTACCTCCTCGCAGAAGGTTGCGACCGCGGTAAAACAACTGTCGCTACCGGCCATGGAGCGAATTACGGCCGGTAGCGAGAGATCTGCTCCGATGACTGCAGTGAGGGCCCGGCGCTGCGTCGCCCATGCGGGGCAGACCGCCAGCGTGTGCTGGGCCGAGTCCTCACTGCAGTCGCAGTGGTGGCAGGCGGGACTCAGTTCCCTCCTAGCGACCGAGTGCAGGTACTTTCCGAAGCAACCGTGCCCGGAAAGCACCTGCGTCAGCCGGAAGGAAAGGGCCCCGTGCTGCCGCCCTGCCCACTCGGCTATGACCGGCTGGAGAGCCTCCACGGCGGCGAAGCCAGCGCGTGGAGTCTCCAGCCGGAACGACCATCTAACCATGGTGGCTCGGCGAGCGCCTTCGCGCCACTCGCGCACGTCTTCGGGCGGAGGGCGAAATCCGCTCTCCGCCCGGAAGTCAGCCACTCGCCGATAAACTTCGGCGAGCACTTCCGCCTCCAAATCCCACGGGGGTGTTCCGGCCAAGGCGCAAGCCGCCTCGGTGGACACCGTGCGGTATCCGCGTATGGCTCTGACCGCCAATATCCTCTGGGGGCGCCAGAGGCGCGCCCTATTCGGGGCGGTCAGAGCCGCCACCCACACCGGTGCACCATAAAGCGCCATGGACCGGACAACCCCCGCGTACAGCCGCCTCGTGGGAACACTGGCCCCGCCCAAATTGGGCAAAAGTCGCCCTAGGGCGGAGGCAGTGTCCACCAGCTTCGGACCAAGCTGTCGGAAGTGCTCGTCGAAGAGCCACCTACCGTCTAGGACCAGACCCAGGTACCTCATCTGGGCCCGGACCGGTACGAGGACCGAGCCGACCTCGATTGAGGCGCCGGCGGGTGGACCACGACGGGGCCCATGAAATAATAGGGCCTCCGTCTTATCCAGGGCCACCCGTAATCCCAACGCCTCAATGCGCCCGACCACCTGGGAAACTCCCGTGGCGGCCAGGCGCGCCGCCTCCTGGAAGTTAGCCCCCCGGGCCGTGACTAAAGTGTCATCTGCGTAGCAGAGTACACCCAGCCCGGGGGGGAGACGCCCTCGTAGGGCCCAGTCGTATCCAATGTTCCACAGGAGTGGTCCTAGGACAGACCCCTGCGGAACACCGCACGACATGGCCCTGCGTCTCAAGACGCCATCTCGGTCCTCGTACATGACGGTTCGCTCCTCAAGGTAGTCTGCCACCAGCCGCCTCAGGTACTCCGGCACTCCGTGGTAGCGGAGCGCTTCCCTGATGCAGCTGAATGGCAGACTATTGAAGGCGTTGGCGATGTCCAAGGACACCGCCAACACCACTCCGCCGCAGCTCACGGCCTCCTCGGTCACGGCCCTAAGGCGCATTACGGCATCGATCGTCGAACGCCCCGCTCGGAAACCGAATTGGGCGTCCGACAGATCGGGGCCAACCTCGCAAAGGTGCCGGACGATGCGGGCAGAAAGCACCCTCTCAAAAAGTTTACCCGCCTCGTCCAGCAACACGATAGGCCTATAGGCCGCGACCGATTCGGCAGGCCGTCCCGGCTTCTGCAGCAGGACCAGCTTCCCGCATTTCCAGCGCTCAGGGAAGCGTCCGGACGCCAGGCTAGCGTCCAACACCCCCCTGAGGTGGTCCGACATGTAGTCGAGGGCTCGGGCCATCACTCGGGCTGGAACCCCGTCCGGCCCGGGGGCAGTGTTCTTGGATCTAATCCGTAGAACAGCCGCCCCTAACTCCGATTCCCTGACGGGCGGAACATCAGCCTCGCTGCCCCCGTCGTCTCCGGCTGATGCAGCCATCGACGGGGGTGTGTGCTCCGCCCGCTGCGGGAATAGGCCCTCGACCACTTCCTGCAGGAAGCTGGGCTGGAGAGTCTCCGTAAGGGGGGGGCCCGACGTGCGGAGCTTTTGACGCACCGCACGATAAGGGCGACCCCAGGGGTCACGCTCGAGACTCTCCAGCATCTCCTCTCTACTGACATCCTTGGCGCGGCAGATGGCCAGCCTCAGAGTTTTCCGAGCTTCTCGGTACTCCTCATGAAACCGGTCCACCTCCTCACCGACCCCGCGGTGACGTCGCCGACTACGGGTGAGGGACCTCCGGGCACGTACACAGGCCGCACGGAGGTCCGCCAACTCCTGGGACCACCAGTAGACCTCCTTCCTTGGAGGCCGACAACCACGAACGCGGGGCATGGCCGCATCGCAAATCTGCGTAATCGCATCGCAGAAGCGACCAGCCCCCATGTCGACCTCCTCGGTCGGGGCCTGCGGAGACAGCCAAGAGTGAATAATGGCCGCCTCCTCTAGTAGGTCCCTGTCGAGCTTGGCGATAGCCCACCGCGGAAAGCGGGAAGGGCGCCGCGCCGCGTGACCCCTACTGGGGTCCTGGGACCGGGAGAGCTCGAATCGGATGTACAATTGAAACAAACCCTATACCAACCCGTCTGGCCAGCGTGGTATATGAGGCCAAAATCTCCATTGTAAGGAAAGGCCTATGTCCAGCAGTGAACTGTTAGGGGCTGTTGATGATGATTGAAGAATCCCGACATACAGCTCTTGCCTTTCACATGACATCACATCAACAGCCTTTAATAGTGCACTGCTGGACATAAGCCTCTCCTTAGAAAGTAGGTTTTGGCCTACTGTACCACGCTGGCCAGACGGGTTTTATAGGGTTTGTGTCAAGTTTTCCTTTTCTTTGCAGTGCTATTGTCCTGCGTGGTTGGCTCCCTTAGTAGGCTCTTACGACACCCACGGGATGAATGGGGGTGATGACACTTCGTATTCTTAATCTGTCACCACACGGATGTCAGAATTGGATGGGAATAATAATAACAATAATCTTACGCATATCACACACTGCCGTTTTGCCTTTACATGCTTAGTATTGTGCTACTTCGTAACACTGAAAGTGAAATCTACAGATGAGTCATCATGTACTATGCACAACGACAGAGAAAACAGCACCTACGTAAATGCCCATTAAAATACTTCTAATATTGTAAATATCGCTTAGAAAATGTAAGAACGTACTTGATTTTGCCCGCGGCTCCTTCCGCGTGTTTGTCGTTTATCGCGTTAAAAAGATAATGTATTTTTATATTGTAGAAAGAATTTTTTAAATTAGTTTAGTGTTTTAGACGTAAAAGCGTAACAAACAAACTCACTTTCACATTAGTAGTAAAACTATGGAAGTATGTATTTATGTTTTTATATACTTTCTAAATTTAAATGATAATAAAATAAACTATAGTAAGGTAATTTTTAAAGGTAAATAACGCACTTGTATATGTTGGATGGGCGGGCCTAAGCACTTACCATCAGGTGATCCATCTGTTCCCCCCCCCCCCACCCCAATAATAATTCAAGATAGTATTTATATCAATTATTGAAACTAGAACTTTTGCTTAACATTTTATTATGTAAATAATTCTGATGTACATAATTATTAAATACGTAGCATAGTTAAATAGTTTGAGTAACATTTATCGCGGACTAGAAAGGAATTGACAAATAAATTAATGTAATACATACACATTAAAGTGTAAAAAATATGTGTAATTTTGATTTATAAAGGTTATACGGTTTTAATAACATAAGTATTTTGTGGATACCTTTTTTAATGGGACAAATGGTTAGTTAGCAAATCCCCATCTCATCTCATTAATCTCCTTCTCTATCCAACGGTTACCTGAAAGAGATTCAAGTCGCGATAAGGCCGCCAATTGTACAACAAAAAAAAAGAGATCTATTTATCTGCCATTGTGTTGTTTGCCCTTTCTTCTAATAAGGACAACAACAACTTCTAACAACCCCTTGGAAATGGGTGGTTGTAGATCGGCACAGGCATATCATAGATTTTGTATAAGTATAATTGTTATGAAATTTATTTTCCTAACTATTTGACAAAACATAGATTGTTGCCTTTATGTGTGTGTGTGTTGATCTACGACTTTAGACTCTACATAAAGGACGATTTCAAACAATTAAAAAAAAGAAATAAAGAATTTGCGTCTAATCCAGTACTGTAACTCCTGTACACCATGATAAACAGCAGTAACCCACGAACACACAGAGTTTAAGTCTTGGAAAGACAGTTTAACTTTGCCTGGGACTGCCAGTGCCCGTAACGAAAATAATCAAATGTAAATTAAAGGAGTTGAAAATACAATAAATCCACTTCCAACCTTAGCAAAACGGTGTCCATATTTGTTAACTATTTTTAACTGTAATGTACAGCATGGAATGCAATATATTGAATTGAATTAAGCAGTAAAATCATATAACCCTCCTTTTTTCGTGGCCCTAGTAGGGTAAAAAAAAACAAATCTTTACATTGTTTAATTTTTTTTTCAGAAACGAAACCGTTTGTCGAGATGCTGTTCACCTCCCTGGAGTCCAACGAATACCTAAAACACGTTGTAGAAAATGAAGTATCGCCACCTGGCGTTGAAGAACCTCCCAAGGAACAACCGGCGGTGGTTGAAAACCATGGTAAGATATTCCATAACTTGGAAGCGGGCATCAGACCACTGTAAATATTTGCTTTAGTCTGGATGTTAAGTGCGTATGTTTACCTTATCCCAAACACCTCTCCTGAAACTGGTTTTCGTACTTAAATGGGCATTATCCTTTTATTCTAATCTTTATTAATAGGCATATATAAACATAGCTACTGAAATCAATCCAGCCTTTCCAGAAATCCTTTTCTGGATCCTTTTCTGAATCCTAGGGGGATGGCGGCAACGCATTCTGTGACTCTTTTGCTCATAGGGGGCAATAGCAACTTCCCATTAGGTCCCGTCTGCTCGTTTAGTTAATTCTTTAACTTCAATTACACAGTGTAGTTCTGGTATGATATCATAGAACGTATGTTTACGTAACATTAGTACGTACCACATTGATTGTTTTGTATTGACAACACTATAATTATTGTTATTATGTGTGTACATTGGAGACTACGAGATAGCATATTGTTACAACTATTATTTGTAATAACCACTACCCTGATATATTCTCAAAACTTATGTTAAGTTTGATGGAAAAAACCGTGTTGGTTTCTCATGCGTATTCCATATTTCGTATTCCTGAATTTATTCTTTTCCCGAACAATTTTACTATAATTATTTACTTTTAAAGCTTGAATTAATGACCGTTTCCATTTTAAGTTTAATGGTGCCATTATATAAAATAAACCAGTAATAGTTAAATGCAAATAATTATAATTTTAAAATAAACATAGGCCTCTCCTTACAAGGGAGATTTTGGCCTACTATTCCACGCTGGCCAGACGGGTTGTTTCAAGTTTTCCTTCTCTTTGCAGTGCTGTTGTTCTGCGTAGTTTTCTCCCTTAGTCAGCTCTTACGACACCCAAGGGACGAATGGTTATATGCAAATAATTATCGTTTTAAAATAAAATCTTTAAATAATAATATACGTGACAATAACTCATAATGTCATATTAAAATATATTGGAGTTTTGTTAATTTAGTATTTCGTGTATGTAGTCGTAGTTTATTTAGTGACTGCATACTTCAATGTTAGTTTTGCCTCAAATTATACATGGTATCCCTGTCCCCCACCTCATGGTCATCCGTGTGGTGTCGGTTTAAGAATACAGAGTGTCACCACCCCTATTCATCCTGTGGGTGTCGTAAGCCGACCAAGGGGGCTAACTACGCAGGACAACAGCACTGCAAAGAGAAGGAAAACTGGAATCAAACCCTATACAAACCCGTCTGGCCAGCGTGGTAAAGTAGACCAAAACCTGCTTTCTAAGCAGAAGCCTATGTCCAGAAGTGGACTGTTAAAGGCTGTTGGTGATGATGATCCCTGTCTAAAACACGATGCCACAGACATTATTAAAAAAAGCTCTAGTCTATTAAAAAAAGTCACGTGAACGTGAGTCACGTCAAAAATATTTGAACAGTTGCAAGTTGTTGTTATCGATTTTATTTATTGAAGATAAATACAATAGTGTTATTAATTTCTCAATAACGCCAAGTTATGTTACAATATACGTTGATATTTCTGATAATACTCAATGCAGGCTTTATAATGCACAATATACATATTTGACAGCAAAAAAAAGTGTGAAACTGATTTCCATAATTCTTCAATCTTTATTAATAGGCACATCTATGAACATAGCTATAGAAATCAGCTACAGAAATCCTTTTTCATGTAGATGATTTCTAATTCGTAATAAAAAAATCTGGTCAATTTCGAGCCAGACACAGACACAGGGTTCTTTAAGCAAACAGAATTGTATGTAATTAGTTAAATCATTAAACATGAATATAGCTGCAGTAATGCGTTAATTAGTTTATTGACGAGGCTGGTTGAGGTTTGAATTAGTAAATTGTTCTAGTTTGTTGTTTCAAGGGGCCAGGTCAACAAAAATGTAGTCAGCAAAATGATGCTTAGTAAAAAAAGTTTGCTCTAAAAGATGTGAAAATCGAATCTATATTATTTGTCGAAGTGTCAGTTAACAAGGTGACCACAAAAACCTCTGCCCCACACGAATTTGTACATACGATTATGGTAATCATTGTACCATTTCAGCGATAAGGACATTAATTTTGTACGTGTTACTATAGTATCGTTGTAAACATGATTGATACCGTAGCCAGGCAAATACCTACCCCCACCCCTCCCTTTCGACGGCGTGAAAGTTACAATGTGAATTATTTTATTAATTATTTGTTGTAACTTACATCCAGTGTCTGTAGTCATTAATTTGTAATTTTTTCAAAAGGCTTTTAAAAGACAGCTTAAGCACTTGGAATATAATCCAGTGTCGCAGGGCCAAACATTTATGAAACGGGCACAAAGAACACTCGGGAAAGCAATTCGTGGATCTCACAAAGTAATGTCCCGTGAGGGGATCGAACCCACAACACTTATCGCTACTCGTGCAGTCAGTCTGTGCCATTAAGTCCATAATTGATCACTGTTTGTATCTACAGTGGGCGAGGCTCCAGCGGCGACGACGTCAGTGCCGGGCCCGTCAGGCCCTCGCTCGGGCGGCGAGTCGCGCGCGCGCTCTCCCACGGCGGGTGCGGTGGCGGGCTCTATCGGCCCGCCGCGCCTCGTCGTGTCGCGCGCGGCCCGACACGCCGCACCTGCTCCTCTCAACAGGCATCCGCATAATGAACACACTCTCGTTAAGGTCAGTACTTTCTTTGTCTATCTTCGCGTTATTAACAAAATACATCATACTAAACTGCATCACCGAGACAGCCGTATATACGACTGCCTCGGTGGTGGTATGCGTCTGTTGTGTTGAGGTCTCCGGTTCGATTCCCGGGTTGGACCAAATGTTTGTAAGTCCTAATGTACGAATGCCTCGGAGGTGCAGTGGTAGCGTATGCGTCTGTTGTGTTGAGGTCTCCGGTCCAATCCCAGGTTGGACCAAATGTTGGTAAGTTGTATGTACGAATGCCTTGATGGTGCAGTGGTAGCGTATGCGTCTGTTGTGTTGAGGTCTCCGGTCCAATCCCAGGTTGGACCAAATGTTGGTAAGTTGTATGTACGAATGCCTTGATGGTGCAGTGGTAGCGTATGCGTCTGTTGTGTTGAGGTCTCCGGTCCAATCCCAGGTTGGACCAAATGTTGGTAAGTTGTATGTACGAATGCCTTGATGGTGCAGTGGTAGCGTATGCGTCTGTTGTGTTGAGGTCTCCGGTCCAATCCCAGGTTGGACCAAATGTTGGTAAGTTGTATGTACGAATGCCTTGATGGTGCAGTGGTAGCGTATGCGTCTGTTGTGTTGAGGTCTCCGGTCCAATCCCAGGTTGGACCAAATGTTGGTAAGTTGTATGTACGAATGCCTTGATGGTGCAGTGGTAGCGTATGCGTCTGTTGTGTTGAGGTCTCCAGTTCGATTCCCGGGTTGAACCAAATGTTGGTAAGTCGTATGTACGAATGCCTTGATGGTGCAGTGGTAGCGTATGCGTCTGTTGTGTTGAGGTCTCCGGTTCGATTCCCGGGTTGGACCAAATGTTTGCAAGTCGTATGTACGAATGCCTCGGTGGTGCAGTGGTAGCGTATGCGTCTGTTGTGTTGAGGTCTCCGGTTCGATTCCCGGGTTGGAAAAATGTTTGTACGATCTGTAAATATTTGTTTCGGCTTTTGGGTGTTTCATATGTATAACATGTATGTATTTACCAAAAAAGTATACTAGAGTATTCTATCAGTCAATCTAGTTTTCATAGTACAAGCTCTGCTTAGTTTGAAACTAGATGGCGTTGTGTGTCAGATGTCCGAAATATTTAATATGTAACAAATTGTTCACGTTAGTGTATGTACTACCTAATAAGAACAACAATTAGACAAAAATGTATTAAATTTTTTATGTTGTGGTAGATAAGAACTTGCATATTGGGATTAGTAGTTATTAGATACTTCGACTTAATGGTGATAAGTGTTTGGATTTCTGTCCGAAAACTTTACCGTTCCCAGTACTCGTTAAAACACCCAAAAGTTCTGGTTTTTATGCAAATTTTCATTACAGGTTCTGCCATTGACTGAATTATTAGAAGAACCTGTAGACCAACCCCCCAGAAGACGCGACAGGCGAGGAGATTCGGTGAGTACAATTTATAATATACTGTTACGTGTTAGGGTTTGTTGATTCGGAATAATAAACCTTTTGACGACTAAAGGGGCTTTATTATTGCTTACACTTAAAAACGTTAAGGTCGTTGGGTTACACTTCTATTGCTTAGAGAGAATACGGGGCACAGCTCCGTGTAAGTGGAAGTGATACAGGCAACAAGAGAGATGAATGCCCGATAGTTTCGTCTGTCTCTGTTCAGCTAAGCTGCGATTGATTAATAACCCACCGTTCACCTCTTATTTTACCCCCCCCCCTTTAAGAATACGGAGTGTCACCACCCCTTAATTCCTTGGGTGTCGTAAGAGCCGACTAAGGGAGCAAACTGCGCAGGACAACAGCACTGCAAAGAGAAGGAAAACTTGACACAAGCCCTTTTTTTTTTTTTTTTTTTTTTTTTTTTTTAACGTGTGGAAATCCCCTCGGACCGTCACCCCTCCGGGGTTTGCGGCGGGGTGGTGTGTCGGACTCGGACCGACTAAAACCACACGGTGTGCCACTCTGCGCCTGTAACAGGAGGGATCCGGGAACAGCTGTTGTTAAGACATCCGGACCCCTCCTAGCGCCAGCCCGCTCCTGGTGCGGGCTCCGTCTCAATGTATTTTCCTCTCTTTAGGCGACGTCCGGCACACGCGGACGCCGCCCCCTCGCGGCTGGCCAACTAATGCGGGTGAAGGGGAAACCCACCCCGTCCACCCGCGGCCACACTCAGGGCGGCATGAGGCTGTGGTAGGCGGGCCTCCGCCGCCCGGTTCGCCGGCGGCGGATCGGGTCCGAGTGGAGGTCGTCCTCCCGGGCCCTCTCCGCCGCCTCCTTCCGCGAGATTACTACCTCGCAGAAGGTTGCGACCGCGGTAAAACAACTGTCGCTACCGGCCATGGAGCGTACTACGGCCGGTAGCGTGAGATCCACTCCGATGACTGCAGTGAGGGCCCGGCGCTGCGCCGCCCATGCGGGGCAGACCGCCAGCGTGTGCTGGGCCGAGTCCTCACTGCAGTCGCATTGGTGGCAGGCGGGACTCAGTTCCCTCCTAGCGACCGTGTGCAGGTACTTTCCGAAGCAACCGTGCCCGGAAAGCACCTGCGTCAGTCGGAAGGAAAGGGTCCCGTGCTGCCGCCCTGCCCACTCGGCGATGACCGGCTGGAGAGCCTCCACGGCGGCGAAGCCAGCGCGTGGAGTCTCCAGCCGGAACGACCAACGAGCCATCGTGGCTCGGCGAGCGGCTTCGCGCCACTCGCGCACATCCTCGGGCGGAGGGCGAAATCCGCTCTCCGCCCGGTAGTCAGCCACTCGCCGATAAACTTCGGCGAGCACTTCCGCCTCCAAATCCCACGGGGGAGTTCCGGCCAACGCGCATGCCACCTCCGTAGAAACGGTGCGGTAACCGCGTATGGCTCTGACCGCCATTACCCTCTGAGGGCGCCAGAGGCGTACCCTATTCTGGGCGGTCAGAGCCGCCGCCCACACCGGTGCACCGTACAGCGCCATTGACCGGACAACCCCCGTGTACAGCCGTCTTGTCGCGACGCTGGGTCCACCCATATTGGGCAAAAGTCGCCCTAGGGCAGACGCAGCGCCGACCAGCTTTGGAGCAAGCTGTCGGAAGTGCTCGTCGAAGAGCCACCTCCCGTCGAGGATCAGGCCCAGATATTTCATCTGGGCCCGAACCGGTACGAGGACCGAGTTGACCACGATTGAGGCGCCAGGGGGTGGACCACGACGGGGCCCATGAAATAACAGGGCCTCCGTCTTATCTAGGGCCACCCGTAAGCCCAGCGCCTCAATGCGCCCGACCACCAGGGAGACTCCCCCTGTGGCCAGGCGCGCCGCCTCTTGGAAGTTTGCCCCCCGGGCTGTCACGAGGGTATCGTCTGCGTAACAGATTACACCCAGCCCGGGGGGGAAATCGGCGCGAAGGGCCCAGTCGTACCCTATGTTCCACAAGAGGGGTCCAAGAACAGACCCCTGTGGAACACCGCACGACATGGGCCGACTCCTCAAATTACCTTCTCGGTCCTCGTACACGACGGTACGCTCCTCTAAATAGTCTGCCACCAGCCGCCTCAGGTACTTTGGCACCCCATGATAGTGGAGTGCTTCCCTGATGCAGCTGAATGGCAGACTATTGAATGCGTTGGCGATGTCCAATGACACCGCCAACAGCACGCCGCCACAGCTCACGGCCTCTTCGGTCACGGCCCTCAGGCGCAACACAGCGTCGACTGTCGAACGCCCCGCCCACACAAGCCCTATACCAACCCGTCTGGCCAGTGTAGTATAGTAGGCCAAAACCTCCTTTCTAAGGAGAGGGCTATGTCCATCAGTGAACTATTAAATGCTGTTAATCAGGGGTGAAATTTACAAAAATCCTTTCTTAGTGGGTGCTTACAACAAAAAAGTATCAGCTGCACAAGGCGTGCCTGCCCTTTGAGTCTCCAAGGAATCTTGGAATTGGAGAAGCCACCTTCACCAGTAACCTTACTCACCCAGTGAAAAGCTCCGAAAGAACTGTTTAACATCGGTTTTCTGTGAGGCCCTGGCATCCCTTAGGTCTCATGATAAAGATGGCTTTACCAGTCAACCTTTAAATGGTTCAACAAGGGACATGGCAGGTGCATATGTACAATGAATCAACACTATGAACTAAGCATTTACAAATATAAAAATAACACTTAATAGTGTTATTTGAAAGTACCTACATAGACGATTATACGAAAATAGCATGGAAAGGAGTCTCCTGGGCTTTAAGCTAAGCGATAAAGTGAGAAATGAAGATGTCAGGCAAATTACCAAGGTAAAAGACATAGCAAAAACCATAATGACCCAAAAATGGAAATGGGCTGGGCATGTCCAAAGATCACCAGGGAACAAATGGTCCACAATTGTCACTAATTGGTACTCTATTCACAAGAAAAGACGGAAAGGAAGGCCATTCAAAAGATGGAGTGATGACATAGTTTCCACGGTGGGATATACCTGGAGCAGACTGGCAAGAGACAGAGCGAAATGGAAGGAAATGGAGGAGGCTTTCACCGCCAAAGCGGTCCTTACTAAAAAAAAAAAACACGTTAACGCAGTTTAATAACATATACTAACAAACTAGAATAAGTATAATACTAACACTACAAATAATATTTAGAACTAATGTAAACTATGTGTAAGGAATAAATAAAGCTTTATTATTATTACATAGACGATTACACAAATACTACACTTGTATTTCTAATCGCGGATATTTGTAAATGGCCATCAGATGTTCATGTATAATGTTCTTATGTTTTTAAAATGCTAGCTGTAATTATCCCAAACATAGAAAAAAAATCTAACTCTACCTAGCAAAAATTTGATCTCACTAACCAAGTTGACTGCACGGATGGCGTAGTGGTTTAAGCGGTCATCACGCCGCTTACTACTACGCTGAGTTTTGTGGGTCCGATCCCCACATGGGACGACACTTGGTGTGATCTACAAATTGTTGTTCTGAGTCTGGGTGTTCTTTGTGTCCGTTTCGTCTAGTTTGTAAAGTCCCCCGCGACACAGGATATATTCCTAATGCGGGAGTTGCCTTTAAAAAAATAATAATATTAAAGTTAGCAAAATGTATGTGCTTAGTGCATCTCTGCTCAACCCTTTGCTGTATATAAGGGAAATGATACTAAATATATGTATTTTATTCTTGAATTTGTAGACACGTGACAAAGATGACCGTCGCCGCAGACGTTCTCGCTCGTGGGAACGGCGCGCCAGAGCGAGACGGCATGTAAGGGACAGCGAACACAACAATGACGTCAGAAGGTATGCTATTGAGCTATTGTAAACATTATTATTACATGAATAACACTTAATCATCCCGTGGGTGTCGTAAGAGGCAACTTAGCAAACTGCGTAGGACAACAACACTGCAAAGAGAAGGAAAACTTGACACAAACCCTATACCAACGCGCCTGGTTAGCGTGGTATAGTTGGCTTAAACCTCCTTCCTATGGAGAGGCCTGTGTCCAGCAGTGAACACACACACGTCAAACAAGTACCCACATACCAGTAGACAATCAGTTGTTCTATGTACATAGAAATAAATCAGCTTTTCCTAAATGCATATGAATGTTTGCATGATACCTATATAGGAAAAGGTTTTTGTGTCTGTCTGTTTAGTTAATCTTTGAAACGGCTTAACCGATTTTTACACGACTTTTACAACGGATAGCTGATAGCTTTCACAAGCCAAACAAATTTAGTTCAGTAATGGTGAACATAAAGTTTAATACACACAACGATTCAATGTAATTACTACTAAACCAATAACATAACATATTTTATATACCAGAAAACAAGTATTCACATAAATTATTCCTAGTATGTAGGTTGTTTATAAATGAAATGAAAAAATGATTTTTGCACAAATAGGTATATAATTGACCACTGCATTTTACCACATTATTGGCGTTCCAATATTTATCATTAAATGGTACAATATTTATGGTCAATTATTATGATTCAAATTCAAGCTTTATCGAGTGGCGAGGCGAAGTAAATATGAATGTGATTCAAACCTGCAACCCCTCGATTACAAAGCCCACTCATTATTCAATATGCTTTTGGTCGCTTTCCATCAGGTGACCCGTCTGCTCGTCTGGCCCCTCTAACATAAAAAAAAATGCTACCGGCATATGCACTCGGGAATGAGGGACTCAGATGAGCTGAGTCCCTCATTCCCGAGTGTGTCCCTCAGACAGTCCAAACGGTTGCTGACCGAAGGCTCACCACGACTTATTTGCAGGCTGATCAGTCTTAGCCGACTAGATATCCGAATAGTTGTAGGAACCATAACAGGACACCTAGCCCTGAACCGACAACTATTCACCATTCGAGTTGACGGGCAGTCCTCTTTGCAGAGGATGCCTGAAAGCAAAGGAAACTCCCACCTTACGTGGGTGGGCGTTTCCTTTGCTTTCAAGAATCCTCCAGGGAATCCACCACGGAGTGCGAGGGAGTGGCCACACTAGGGGCAAGTACCATATCTGGTACAAAATCGCTCCTAGAAGCCTCTGAACGTGTCGAAGTAGCTTGGTTGGCTCACCTAGCCAACTTCTCCTAGACGCATAAAGGATCACTCTTGAATCTAAATGCGGAAATCGGTACCCTCAACCAATACCAATAATATCTGTTAACATAATAACGTTTGTTACAGGCGTCTTCCGTCCCGATCCCCATCCCCACGCGGCCGCTACCGCAACAGAAGCCCCCCTCCACCAGCTCTGGAACGTCAGACAAGCAGATCTAGGTACATATACATATACCAACCCGTCTGGCCAGCGTGGTATAGTAATATATAATATAATATAATATATACCTCACACATTTCACGCACGGCCGTCTGATCCCAAACTAGGCAGAGCCTGTGCTGTGGTCACCATACTGCTGATAAACATACTTATATATTTTTAAATACATACATATTATAGATAAATTACACCCAGACACAGAACAAATGATCATGCTCATCACACAATATTTGTCCTGGGTGGGAATCGAACCCACGACCTCCGGCTTAGCAGTCAGGGGCACTAACCACTCGACCAACAGGGCCAAAACCTCCTTTCTAAGGAGAGGCCAATGTCCTGCAGTGGACTATTAAAGGCGATGTGATGATGTGATACATATATAAATCTGATAAAAATATTTTGCCTAGTCACACATTTAAAATATTGTAATTGCTTGACAGGGGAAGTGCATTGACACTACAAAAGACAACTTTGCTACACATTTTTAATCCATTCTCAAAATCATACAATACGAATCATACACTCATAACAATAAAATAACATTACTATAGTTCTACTCTAGTGAAACTAAGTTTAATTATTGTCTAGGATCTATTTTAAATCCTTTACTGTAATGTAAATTGGTCAAAAAAATAATAATATTAATAATTTTAGAGAGGATAATAGAGCTCAAAAACTTAATCAAGTAATATTTGTGTGACACCCTCTGGTCAGAGTGGCAGAGCCACTAACAGAAAGTCATGCTTCGGAACATAAGAGCTGACTCGACCAGAGTTATACCACGGCCTCACAGAAAACCGTCGTTAGGATTGCCTATTTACACGTTGAAAGCACCGAAAGGATTGCTTTTTTCATGTGAGACCGTAGTATCACTCGTTTAGAGTCGGTCCATTTGTGCTGAAGCCATGCTCTCCCACACTCTGCAGAAAAAGTACATTAGAAAGTGCGTTAGCATGTGAACGACTTGAAGAAAATATGTGTACTCAATACTAGTCACCTGATCACAGCTTAATATCAATATTTCATTTTATAGATCAAGATCACCAGTGATCCGCGAACGCGATCTCGAGAGAGAAAGAGACAGACTGCGAGTGCCCCGCGAGATGGAGCGAGATAGAATGTCACGGGATCGAGAGCATCGGGACAGAATATCCAGCTCAAGGGACAGGGAACGGTAAGAATATACACAATACACTATTACAATACTCTATGACACTTTAAAGAGCAGGTACTGATGAATATACTTAAGTATTTCTATCACCTCGCCGCTTCCTACTGCGCTGAGTGTTGTGGTTTCGATCCCCACATGGGACAACAGTTTGTATGGTCCATAAATCGTTGTTCGGATCTAGCTGTACCTTGTATCCGTTTGTACCTTGTACGTAAAGTCCACAGGATATATTCCTAATGCGGGAAATGTCATAAAAGAAAATGACATATTATATGTTTCTTATATATGAGTAAAGCATTAAAATTATTATGTTCTTAGATCCCGCGACAGGTCCCGCGATCGCTCGACGTCCCCACACGACACAGACCGGAGACTAGATCATAACGACGCCTATAAAAGGCGCTGTAGAGATTTTGATGGTAAGTTTATCAGTATCTTTCTGCTCTTTTCTTAATTATACTTTGAGTTGGTGCAGTGTGTATCTGTCCGTGTAGTTTGAATTAAGAATATGGAGTGCAGCCAATCTTTATCTCATGGGTGTCGTAAGAGCCGACCAAGGGGAGCAAACTACGCAATACATCAGTGTAAAGAGAAAGAAAATTTGACACAAACTCTATATCAACCTGTCAGATTAGTGTGGTATAGTAGGCAAAACCTCCTTTCTAAGGAGAGGCCTATGTCCAGCAGTGGACTGTTACCGTCTTTGATAATGTATAACAAAAACCCTGGAGTTCTCAATTTTTTAGGAATGTAATTGTTTTCAACAGTGTACCTTTTCTATTAAAAGTAATACTCTCTGTCCTGACTTTCGGATTCCCTTCTTTCAATTTTTACAATTTTGCGTTGTTTTAAAACTTTTTTTGGACTAAAATATTACCTTATTAACATATAAAATAAAATGTCAAATCATTTTTCAACCTTTGTGTTTAACAAAATATTTAAACATTTATTTATAAACTTGTTTCCACTAGAACTGAGAACTTGTAATTGGCTCTCATTAAATAATCTGTTCCATTTTACTAATGTTTGTACTTGTAAGTTTTCCATGAATTGAAATAAATATAGATTAAATGATTTTTTGTGTTACCCATACATATTGTAGTTAGTGATTGCTAATGTATGTGAATGTTTGGTGTGCAGAGAAGGGCTACTGCATGCGCGGGGACCTGTGCCAGTGGGACCACGGCAGCGACCCCGTGGTGCTAGAGGACGCGGCCGCCGCGCTCTCCTCCGTGCTGGCGCTGCCGCCTGCCGTGCCCGGTACGCTCGCTCCCTCACACACACCCACTCACTCACTCACTCACTCACTCACTCACTCACTCACTCACTCACTCACTCACTCACTCACTCACTCACTCACTCACTCACTCACTCACTCAATCACTCACTTTATTCTTCATTCACACTATTGTACTTTATGGCCAAAAATAGCGATAAAAGTAAATTTAATCAAAACCCGACTTAAATGCTTACTATATTTCATAGCCATTATAAAATAACAATAATTTTCTTCTGTCACAAATTTATTATTAATCCAAAACGTCACATCCAATCTGACGTCACATTTTTATTATTCATATTTAATGGTATACACATGTATTTGTTTAGTATTACATGTCCACTTTGTTTCATCTTAATGAATAAAAATCCTCATCTTAATGGTTTTTTTTTCAGAATACAACCCGTTGACGCCTGATATCTGGTGTGGTGGCGCGGGTTCATTCCCGCCCTATGCTCATCCACATCACCCACACCCACCGCGGGAACTCATACCTATACCAAGGTATTTTTTTTTTAAATATACCCCGGATTTTTTTCTGCGGTCCCCCAGGTACTATCACCTCGCCTGGTCAGACAGATTGTCATCCCTTTGTATTGGAGAGATATACCGCCTGTTCATCCACATTATTATTATGATGTTATGAAATTTATTATACGTAGTTGTTTTAAGTTATTAAATTGCCAAATATTAAAATATTGTACCACATTGACACAACGCCATCTAGTCTTAAACTAAGCAGAGCTTGTACTATGGGTACTAGACAACTGATATAAATACATATATACTTTTTTTTTTTGTAAATACATACATATTATACATAGAAACACCCAGACCAAATCAAACATTAAATGTTCATGCACACAAATGTTTGACTTGAGCGGGAATCGAACCCGCGACCTTTGAAATAGCAGTCCGTTAAACAAACCACTACGCCATTCGGTCGTAATAGACCGAAAGCCAACCCCAACCTAGTTTGTGAATGATGATGAATAGATGTTTTAAGTTATTACATCACATCACATCAACATCCTTTAATAGTCCACTGCTGGACATAAGCCTCTCCTTAGAAAGTTATTACATTTATCTTAAAAAATGAATTTCTCATTCCAGTTCAGTACCACACAGAATCCGACACGATATGTCAACGGTGGGCCCACGTCCCGCACCACCACCACAACCACGGCACCCAGCTCCTCATAAGAAGACCTTCGACTATAATCGATTCGGTAAGTATTATTACAATAACGAACATTATACTATTTCATGAATGACGGGGTTATTGCTCTAGTGGTTAGTGAACCTGACTGCTAACCTGGAGGTCGTGGATACGATACCCACCCGGGGACAAATCGTCATTGTCGTAGAATAGTGTCTAATCTGACATTTATTGAACTTTACAGGGCAGCCATTTCAATTAATTGTTAGATGTTTTTTTGACATAACTTTTTTAATTCTAAAACATAATTATGAAAATTGGCATACAAGTGAGAAATAGGGTTTGGTTTAAAATGCAACAAAAGTAACAGCTAATCATTACACAATTTTTTTGAACAATCACATGTTTATTTTAATTTGAGCACCTATCAAACTAACACAAAATAATTCAATATCTAAAATACATATCATTTTTCTTGTATGTAGTAATAACATTGAGACAATGTAGTATCCAAATATGGTAAAAATTGAATTTCGTGTTTTTTTTCAAAACCGACATTATTCTACGATCATGACGAAATAATTATGTGATAGGCACGATCCTTTGTTTTTTCTCTGGGTGTAATTTGTCTACATATATGTATGTATTTACAAATAAAGTATGTTTATCAGCAGTCTGGTTACCATAGCACAGGCTCTGTCAAGTTTGGGATCCAAGTACTGTATAAGATGTGTGAAGTTTTTATTACAATAATTATAGGTATGATATGGTGGTACTAGCTGACCCGCGCAACTTCGTCTGCGTCTCTCAATAGTAATAAATTTTCTCCGTTTTTGAAACATTCTTCATTGGTGCTCCGCTCCTATTGGTCTTAGCGTGATGATATATAGCCTATAGCCTTCCTCGATAAATGGGCTATCTAACACTGAAAGAATTTTTTAAATCGGACCAGTAGTTCCTGAGTTAGCGCGTTCAAACAAACAAACAAACAAACTCTTCAGCTTTATAATATTTATGGTGGTATTAGTAGTGAGTATGTGACTAGACAGTAGTGGGTGTTGCTGGAACCCCAAACCATTCAAGGGGTTTGCCTCATAAGCTATTATACTACTGTCGCTAAACAGTATATTGCTTAAAACTCCCTGGTTCATTTACATATCTGTTGCAGGCTGCGCACGTCCTCCACTAGCGTCCGGCTCGGCGAACTGTTCCCTAGACGTGAAGAAAGTGCCTCGGGGTCTGAACGACATCACACATTTGAATAATCACTTCTCGAAGTTTGGCAAGATTGTAAATATACAGGTACAGTAAATAGCTATTATAATGTTTGTGACTAGCCATTTCATGTTCCAGTGGCCGTTCTAGCATCAATATGGACTGCACGGATGGCGTAGTGGTTTAAGCGGTCGCCACGCCGCTTCCTACTACTCCGAGTGTTGTCGGTTCAAACCCCACATGGGACGACACTTTGTGTTATCCACAAATTGTTGTTCTGAGTCTGGGTGTTCTTAGTGTCCTTTTCATGTATGTTTGTAAAGTCCCCCGCGACACAGGATATATTTCTAGTGCGGGAGTTGTCTTTTAAAAAAGGAAAAAAGAAGTTTTTATATTATATATCCGTATACACACATATATAAAACGTATCGATTGGTACATGTACTTTTCCTTTTTCAGGTGTGCTACGAGGGCGATCCCGAGGCAGCTCTGATAACTTTCTCCAATCCAACTGAAGCCAACATTGCTTACAAGAGTACGGAGGCTGTGCTCAATAACAGATTTATCAAGGTCTTTTGGCATAATCCACATAACCCAGACGTAAGTACAACACAAAGGTTACAAATTATGACATATATTTTTTAAATGACCAGACGGATCAGTGTCACCGTAATTTGCTTACTTTCCTCCCACTAGTAGTGGGAGGGCAGGAAGATTGGGCCTTTGGTAATCTCAGTCACTCGGTGGCAGGATTAGCAGTTATGCCATAGTGTGGTGTGTCTTCGTTAGCTCCCACTGAAGTTGCACGAAAAGAGCATACTCCTTCCTCAAATGCGAGCAATGTGTATGTAAATTCTGAGTTGCAGACGTTCATGGGTGGTCACTTACTATCAGGTGACCCGTGTGCTCGTATCACTCCCTCTTCCATAAAAAAAGTTTGTTGTTGTTTAGTAGCGCCACTAATACTCCACCATTTTGTATCGTTGTGTTGCTAGTGTAAAAAAATAGTGCCAGTTTGGTAGAAATACAGAAGTGGTGCAATTTAAGCGCCGGTTCAATATTGGTTACTCTCCCCTATATGAAAAGTCGGTAAATCGTTATATTTAAATGTGTACTTACTCCCTTAACAGAACAAACAAGAGAACATGGCCCCGGGTGGTCAACACGTAAACAAACCGAATGACAGACAGAACTCCCAGCATCCGATGTCGCACAACAAAGTTCTCATCAACAGAGATAACATAAAGGCTACAGCCGACAACAAGCAGCAACAAGAGAAAGTAAGTAAAATGTTAAGGTTCGTTGATTTGGAATAATAAACCTTTTGACGACTAGAGATTTTATTATCACTACAGTTAAAAACGTTCAACAATACTGAAGAATAGTTCCGAATGCTCGCCGAGGTCGCTTTGATGTTCGCACTGTAGCTCAAACTGAACTGGACTCAACGAAGACGTGTCCGTATTTATAATAATCGTAAAGGATCATTCTAGCAAACTCCAATCCCTACGAGAACCCCTAAATACATATTCGTTTCGAATGTAAACAAGATAGTCGCGCGCCAATTTATTTTCGATGTTATGTGTACGGAAATAACACCTATTGTTCCTTGTCAACCTGCATTATTATTATTATTAAACGATGCCCGGAGTTTTCTCGGAATCTTCTCGCTCTTGACACCGAGCGCGTTCGGCTTTGCGATTGGTGAAGATCTCAGCGCTGGCCAATCATGGCGCCAAACGCGGCCACCGTGACGATCGAGTAGAAATGGAGTAATATAATATACTAGCTGGTTTCCTCTACTTAGTGCGCGTGGAACTTAAAAAACGCTGCCTCAGTGGGTTCGCTTCCCGGACCGGGAAAATTTTTATAGGGTTTTACTGAGAGAACAAATCGGTCCAGCCGTTTAGGAGACTACCCGTAACAAATAGGCAGACAAAAAAAATTAAACTGGTTTTTAGGCGTAGGTTTCGTGCAAATAATCTTGTATGCATGAAAATCCCTATTGTTTAGACATTCAGACAAACATACACTTAAATTTTTTTGTATAGATAATACAATAATTTCACACACGGCCATCTGATCCCAAACTAGGCAGAGCCTGTACTATGGTATCAATGACCTCCAGAATAGTAGTCGGGGCCACTAACCACCAGACCCGTCAAGCTATACCTGATATTTAAGATTACAATAATATAAAATTACTCTTTACAGGAAAAGGAAGCTGAGAACGGTGTGGAACCTAAGAAGGAGGCTGTCAAGCCTGTGACCAAGAGCAAACTGATCATGGATCAACACAAACGTGCGCAGGCGCTACTCGAGACTCAGCTGCAGCAGCAGATGTTGCTCATACAGAAGTTAGAATCAGGTAACTAATTGGTTTGGGCTTTAATATTCAGTTATTGTATGGTTTTGAACAATAATCACTAATACAAAGACGTGTGGTGACGGATTAAGAATACAGTATGTTATCACCCCTCTTCATCCCGTGGGTGTCGTAAGAGCCGACTAAGGGAGTAAACTACACAGGACAACAACACTGTATAGAGAAGGAAAACTTGAAACAAACCCTATACCAACCCGTTTGGCCAGCGTGGTATAGTAGGCCAAAACCTTTCTAAGGAGAGGCTTATGTTCAGTAGTGGACTAGTAAAGGCTTTTGATGATGATGATGAGACATAGTAAGTAGATATGAAAATGATTGAAGAAAGATTTCTAATATGTAGTTACAAACAATTTGAAATAAAATTCTCCACAGTCATTAAATAGTTAAATCAGTAGAACAAACACTGTTTAAGAAGTTTCTTTTATTGTGATTTCAAGACAGTTGGAAATTGGACTGTTTTTTTTTTACTTTGACTAGTACTAGTAATGACTGACCTTAGTAAAAAAAAAATTATAATGTGTGAATTAAAGAATTCTACCCCTAAATATATGAGGTGAAATAATAGGGGATGAAATATAAATCTTATCAGAATTTATTATGATTTAGACACGTTTAAGAAAAAATTTCAAGACCATCTGAATGAAGACACTTCTAACTTCGTAGTAAGATAATTGTGTGATACAATGGAAGTTTCCTGGTACACTCCCGGTCAGAGGACCCCTTTGTATTGTAGGGACATGATACCTGTTGACATGACCCCTCACAAAGGCTCGTAGATCAGTCGGTGTAAGATGTGGTTCCGTGCGCAGGCAACGTGACGGAGGCGCAGCGGCCCGCGCTGCTGGAGGCGATCAGCTCCGCGCAGGAGGGCATCGAGAACCTGCGCAAGCAGCTCATGGCCTACAACGACACCGTCAAGCAGCTGCAGGTACCTACAACCCTATACCATCCTTCGTTATTTCTCCACTTGGCCTTAAAATCTTTTGAGGATTTTTAGAATTTACACCCGTATTCATAGACATTTGCTTTAGTAGTTGTTAACTAGGTTTAGCCCGTGGTTCCGCCCGCATGTATGTCGGTTATCGTGCTAAAAATAGCCAATAATTTCTCAATAATGGATGGAAAAAAGACATGGCTACTTTTGCCCGATAAATTACATTAAAATGTGTTCAAAATATTAGCCATTAAAGCGTAACATACAGACAGAGTTATTTCGCGTTTATAATAATAGGGATATAGTAAAGATTAGAGACGACCGTGATCAGATCAAACCCAATCGTGGCTATGGCCTTGCCTTCTAACCACATCATTTTTTATCAAACCTCTTCCTAATCTTGTTTGGGGTCAATAAATCTGGGACAGGAAAGTGAATTGAGACTTTTTTAATAAGTAACAATGTAGGGTAGTTATGTATAGTCTTACACTACTCATTTCTATAGACTGCTGTGACAGTCAGTCAATATGTACTAGCTTGTACATCCCGGTTGAGTCATTTGACTATCCCCAATTTCTAGTAGTTACAACAGACTTCAATAACTCTAAGAAATCTAGGGCTAGAGAATATTATAAATACTATTTGTTGGTAAACACTAAGAAGTCTTATGAATACGGGTGATTAATTTATACCATTTTGTTATTGAACTCCATTGCTAAAAGAACAAATTGCTTTTAAAAATATGTGAATTCAATATTCTCTCCAGCTTTATTTATCAAATTGCACTCCTGATAACTTATACACTTGTAAAGTCAGTGAATATCCTTTAAAAACCTTTTTTTTTAATGTAGATAATTGCACGGATTTTTTTCTAGACACTATGTGTACGTGAAATATTAGATTTGGTAAAATTCCATCTATATAGAAGAAATTATTTATATTGCCCGAACTCCACGTATCAATGGCAGTGGTGTACTTATATAAGTGTAAATCTTAGCTTCCCTTACTATAATACATTACAATTCCAATATAATTATATCTATCTATGTAATCAGCCCGTTGCACCCACTTCTGGGTGAACGCCTCTTCTCTATCACGCCACTCCTGGATCACGCGACTCCTGGCGGTTTTGTGCCAGCCGGATCCATTGCTCTCCTTCCAATACATAATCATAATTAAATAGTCTTCTTTTCCTTTACAAAAAGGGTGTATCTCCTCCTCTCTGATCTATGAACCTCCATGCCTCTCTGGGCCAGATGTATGATCTCCCACCCCTCCTTGGGCCCTATCTAAAATCGCCTCTTCCTGGTACCAATCTATGAAAGCCTACCCTTCCTTGGGCCCAATCTATGAACGTCTACCCCTCTGGCATCAGAGTTTATTGTTTAGTTCATACGATTTCAAGTATTTATTAATCAAATTGGAGCTTGTTCTAAGTCCTGACTACACAAATTCTACCCCCCTTCTGAGTTAAGTTGGAGCCGCTGCTGATTTAAAAGCACTAGGCCTGCCACTACTAAACGATATAAATATTTTTATGCTCACAGTCAGTTCTATCTTGAAGTTAATCTTACCGAATTTTCACAAAAAAATCCAAAAGATTTTTTTACACCCACTGCAACAAAGACAGTATCTTGCTGTTGCAGTAAAAAAGACTTGTCATAGAATTGAACACCTTGATACACGTTTTGTTTGGGGCATATAATTATGTGTGGTCGTTTGGGGGTCATAATATATACCCTCATTAAACACGTCTGGGGTAGGCAGACACCATAGAGCAGTTTTAAAATGACGCGGACTCTGTAGGCTTTTTCTACATTCATCAGACTTGATACACGCTTTTCAGTTGCGTTTATGATTTCTTTATATGCCTCTGCCTCACAGATTTTTTGCTAACTTTCAAAATTGAACTTTAAAAGTGACATGCAAAGCTTATATTCCAATGGCTGACAATATCCGAAGTTATGAAAATAACAAAAAAAAAATTGAATAGAAACGTACACCATGCCAAATATTTTTCATAGAAAAAATACTTTTTTTTTTCAAAATCTGTTCATACACCCCCCCTCCCCCTTCTCGACCTTCGAGTTGGGTCCCTTACCATCAAATGACCCACCCTCTTGCTTGATGCTCTTTCACCCCTCCCTATAAAAAAAAAACTATCAGAATTGATGTACAAAGCTCATCAACTATAGGCCAGGAGTCTATCACTATAAAAATATGTTTTTAATATGACAATATGGTGGCAGGACGAGTCGGTAGCGCGTACGATGTCTCGGCTGCATCTGGCACAGGTACAATACGGTGCAAGGATGGATGACGTATGTTACTTTATACATAGAAGGTTCTGGATGTCGATGCAACTCAGTCGTGATGTAGTCTCATTATTTAATATTCAATAATAATAATAATATTGTACCACATTCACACAACGCCATCTAGTCCCAAACTAAGCAGAGCTTGTACTATGGCTACTAGACAACTGATATAAGTACATATATACTTTTTATTGTAAATACTTACTTATTATACATAGAAACACCCAGACCAAATCAAACATTAAAAGTTCATGCGCACTAATGTTTGACTTGAGCGGGAATCGAACCCGCGACCTTTGGAATAGCAGTCCGTTACACAAACCACTATGCCATTCGGTTAGATAACCTGGCACATCTTCTCACGGCCGTCTGATCCCAAACACGGCAGAACTATGGTAACCAGACTGCTGAAAAACATACCTTAAATATCTATACTAATATTATAAAGCTGAAGAGTTTGTTTGTTTGTTTGAACGCGCTAATCTCAGGAACTACTGGTCCGATTTGAAAAATTATTTCAGTGTTAGATAGCCCATTTATCGAGGAAGGCTATAGGCTATATATCATCACGCTAAGACCAATAGGAGCGAAGCACCAATGAAGAATGTTTCAAAAACGGAGAAAATTTATTACTATTAAGAGACGCAGACGAAGTTGCGCGGGTCAGCTAGTTACTAAATACATACATATTGTATATAAATAAGACCCAGACAGAATAAATGATCGTTCTCATCACAAAACTATTTGTTTTGGGTGGGAATAAAACCCACGACCTATCTATTCTATGCCTATCTATCAATTGACTGAGCGGATGGCGTAGTGGTTTAAGCGGTCGTCACGCCGCTTACTACTGTGCTGAGTGTTGTGGGTTCGATCTCCACATGGGACACCACTTTGTGTGATTCACAAATTGTTGTTCTGTGTCTGGGTGTTCTTTGTGTCCGTTTCATGTATGTTTGTAAAGTCCCCCGCGACACAGGATATATTCCTAATGCGGGAGGTGTCTTAAAAAATAAAAAAATAGGTTCATCAGTTAAATTTATTACATACTAGCTGTTGCCCGCGGTTCCGCCCTCGTGTATTCGTTGGTTATTGCTGTAAAAAGTAAGGCCATGTTTTTGCTCAAGAATCAAAGTATCTCCATACCAAATTTCATCTAAATCCCATATTCCCCATACAAACTTCCACCCCCTTAAAGGATGATTTCTGGGAGAAAAACGTCCTTTCCCGGGACTCGGACTATCTCGATATCAAATTTCATCTAAATCGATTAAGTAGTTTAAGCGTGAGGAGGTAACAGACAGACACACTTTCGTATTTATAATATTAGTAATGGATTATTGCGTTAAGGCTTAAAATTAGGAATATGTTCAAAACTGAGTTTTTTTACTGGTATTTCGACGGTTCCTCCACTAGTCTGGCCTGGCGAAAACCTTTTTCAATGACTGAAGCGATTCACGCCTCGGCTGTTTGATTAATTTCCGGCGTAGTCCCGTGTTTGTATTAAGTTAAATAATTATTTATATTTAAAAAAAAAACTCATTTTTCAGTCTCAGAAGTATGAGACTAGATACAAAGAAAAGTTGGTTCTGGGAGAAAGTTCTCATGTCAATTATGAACCCTTCGTCTTCCAGTTCTTCACCGTCTAAAAGATATTTATTGGTTTAAAAAACCGTGGGAGAGCCATGCTTCGGCACGAATAGGCCGGCTCGACCGGAGTAATACCACGGCCTCAAAGAAAACCGGTGTTAAGCAATTCTTTCGTTGCCTTTCACTGAGTGAGTGAGGTTACCGGAGCCCAAATCCCCCCTCCCGCTGACTCGAGCGGGAGGGACTCCGAGGGCAGCAACGCACTTGTGACTTTTGAGTTGCAGGTGTCCATGGGCGGCGGTAGTTGCTTACCATCAGGTGACCCGTCTGCTCGTTTGCCCCTTATACCATAAAAAAACGTAATTAGCTTCTAAGAATTATTAATTCACAAATCAATACACCAAAACTACCCCAAAAAAAAACCCTTAGTGAGACTACATCACGCAAGAAAAAAAAACGACCTCGTCCAACATCTGCGCTAATCAGTTGCGTTACGCATGCAGTGTGCACACAAACAAACATACATACTATATCCTATATGCATATGTCAATAAAAAAGCATCTTGTTTTGTAATCACTTAACCATTGCGAAATACCACTGCCATATTGGGAACACCCCTCATCGCATCAGTGATAAGAATGTGAATGCAACACATTTCGACACATTTAAAAAAATATTGTCACGTATACGCCACAATGGCGTCGTGTGACTATGTTTCGTACTTAAGACATTTGCCGTTTGACAAACTCATAACAAAAGAAATTACGTTTAGCGGTATCCGAGACGACGGCATAGTTATAGGAATAGCTTTGAATGAGCAGACGTTCATAGGACAGATTAAGAATACGGAGTGTCACCACCCCTATTCAACCCGTGGGGGTCGTAAGAGCCGACTAAGGGGGGCAAACCACGCAAGACAACAACACTGCACTTGACACAAACCCTATACCAACCCGTCTGGCCAGCGTGGGATAGTAGGCCAAAGCCTCCTTTCCAACGAGGGGCCTATATTCAGCAGTGGACTATTAAAGGCTGTTGATGGGATGATGTGATAGGCGGCGTTATTTACTTTCCTACAGATGACCTGTCTGCTCGTTTGTCCCTATCACAAAAAAAAAGAAAAAAGCTTAATTGTTTAGTGCGTCAGACTTGTGATTAAATTGCCGGTTTGTACCCCCAACAAGTACATAACCAGTGGATTTAGGATATGTTTGGTCAAGTCTGAAAATGTTTCGACTCGTCAAGGGCATTTTTTTTTTAAATGTGCAATAAATACGTTGTTTTATGAATTTGTAAAATTAGTTTTTTTAGTTCACCAGTTGGACTATAGGTTTGAGGAATAAGATCAGAACTAATAAAAATCGGCGTGAGGGGTCTCGTGCTCATCCGCTTGCAAGGAATATCGTTCCAATAGATTTGTCCAATCATAACCTTTACATGTTTTAACGAAACGAAACTTAATTAGTATGACGAATTTAAAAAAAATGGGTGATACCAAACCGCTTGCCGAGTCGAAACAATTATTAGACTTGACTAATCATACCCCAAATCAACCTGCGAGAATCTTCTATTCCCAACCTATTCTTAAATGTTTTTCTACGTCTGAAGCAGAGACCAATTATATATATGTATCTCACACATCTCTCACACGGCCGTCTGATCCCAAACTAGGCAGAGCCTGTACTATGGTAACCAGACTGCTGATAAACATACTTATATATTTCTAAATACATACATATTATAGATAAAGTACACCCAGACACAGAACAAATGACGTGGGAATTGAACCCACGACCTCCGGTTTAGCAGTCAGGGTCACTAACCACTAGACCAACAGTACCGTCGAATTTATGATTTATACGCTCTAGTTTTATCATAAGTTTGCATTTATCTGCTATATGAACAAAGCGGTGAGCGGAGATGAGATAGCACACATTTTAACAACGCCCAGAAAAGAGTTCGACTCGTTGATCTTCCGTCAAACGATTATCGACCATAGAATACTTCAGATAGACTTGAATTTCCATTCATCAGTGGCATCACGCATGCGGAACGCAACATTTGTTTATTAGTCACTATAAATCATAGACACCATTGTATATTAATAGCAATCATTATTACAATTAAATTATACACAAGCTTCATGTAAATAAATAATAATAATTAACTGTGGTTTTGTGTGTTGTGTGTATGTTAAACTGTGTACTTTTGTTTTTGTGTATTCTAAGTATTCTAGAAGTGTGTATTTAGAATAATTTAGCTTTATTAATCGATGTGTTAGCACATTAACGCTATTGTTAGTTTATGTAATAGTTCAGAAATATATCACCTCAGTTGTAGAACATTTGGCGTAAATTGTAACTCTACAGTTTGATATAAATGTAGATTTAAATGTATTAGAAAGTAACTTACTGCGGAGCATTCAGAAAAATAAATTCATACAAATATCTTCGACGTTGACGCCTTAATGTCTGCCCCTTTCTCAGCCGCTTCTGCTTTAATTGGTGGCTTTCTCGTCACCGCTTCCAAGTCCTCACGCATTGCCGCCTTTATACTCTGAGGACTATAACGGCGGCAAACTGAGGTCTCAGGATATATTATCGACGGACGTATGATAGTTAAGAATGCCGTTGGGCATTAACACTACACATTACATTACAACTATGGATTTTGAGGCTAAAAGGGGCCTTATATCACACTTAATAAAGGACCCCTGTCAGGCCCGATAGCATTGCTGTCAGTTTATTAACAAAGCCGAAGAGTATGTTTGTTTGTTAAAACGCGCTATAAGTAGGGATAAAAATAATTTGTACTAATTGGATAGTTACGCAAACCACGCAGGACAACATTCCAACCCTGGCCAGCGTGGTATAATACGCCAAAACCTTTCTAAAGAGATGCCTATGTCCAGCAGTGGACTATTAAAGGCTGTTGATGATGATGAAATAGGTACTAATTTTTAAACTATCGTGTTCTATAATATATTATTATGCTTACCTGAATTAAGGCGCTGACGATAGTCAGTCACTGGCCCTGGACACAGGCACTCAGGCTGTGATCACGGCCAGTGCAACCAGATCGAAACGCCATCCATTTCAAAGGTATTTACTTGATACCTATCGTGAGCGCGTTAATTCCTGTTAACATAATTGAATAGATAGGTAATTAAGGTAGGTGATAGGATATACAACATCACGTCACGTTCCTTAGGAGCGGAGCAGTGACTTTTAACCTACTGGGAACGGCTCATTCTGTTTTTAATACTGTAGGTGTATGCTCGTTCACCCTTCAACACATTACCATCCACACTTTATATACGAAGCCTCCATATTTATGGCTTTAAAGCTTTGTATATAGCTTTAATGGCGTTATCTACGTTTGTTAGCAGGCAAAAAAACCGAAGACTATGGAGGAAGCCCAGAAGGAGATCCTTGATGCCGAACTGGATCTGTTTAATAAGCAACAGGTGAGTCATTATCAAGTATTCTATGAATTACTAGCCGTGTTCTTATTTCGTGTTCCCAGCTTTGTATAAGACGAACTTTCATACAATCGTTTATCCCTTTTTTACCCCCTTAGGGGTGAAATTTCATGAGACGGACAGTCCTCTTTGCAGAGGATGTCTGAAAGCAGAAGAAACGGCCGCCCACGTAATCCTAAATTGCGAGGGTGTGCACACAATGGGCAAGTATCATTCGCTCCTAGAAGCCTGTAAACGCCCCAGGAGGCTTTTGCGCTTCTGGAAGGAGCTTGGTTGGCTTCCCTGTCGTCCCTGTGCTCCTGTTTGTAGCCAACCTGTGCTCGACGCATAAAGGACCATCTTGAGTCTAAATACGGAAATCGGAGCCCACAACCAATAACTACCGTCCTCCTTCGCTCGGTTTATATAGCACAAGTTTTTTTGCGACCTCTTCAACAATAACCGTTATATTCAGTCAATTAATAAAACCATCATGAATTATACACCAAAAACTTTTTCAGTAATCACACTATTTATTGGTAAAACCCGTACAAAACTGCGTTTGGTAGTTTATCGCGTTCATATAGACAGACAGACGCGGCCAAGGACTTCATTTCATAATATGTGAGGACTTCTATAAATTAGGTGTAGAAAGTCCACTGTACTCGTTGTTTAAACAAATATAACACACGACAGGATTAATATTTGGAGTGATATGTATGCAGAATTGCAAAAACTTACAATGTTGAACAATATTTAAAAAGGGGTCCAGTATAATAATATATTTGCAACTGTCTCGGTAAAAAAATATCCACAATGACGGTTTATAATATACTCAGGGGTTATAAGAGAGTCGTAGCTTTGGCGTGCTTCTCTCCCCTGAATTAAGGAGGGAGGGAAGTGAAGAAAGAATGGCTTAATACTGGTTTTCTGTGAGGCTCGGCCCATGTGTGCCGCAGCAAGAAGAATTGCAAGTCTTCTTGTGTGCTAATTTGCCACCGAAATGGTTTTTAAACTTACCATTTATCAACAGGAGGGACAAGACGTAACGGAGCTGCAGAATAAGATAACAGAGCTACGTCGACAGATGGCGGTACAGTTTCCTGCGCATATCATAAGACGACCGAATGCCAGGTAACATATAACTATATAGACACACGGATGGCATAGTGGTTTAAGCTAACCTCGCCACTTCCCACTGCGCTGAGTGTTGTGGGTTCGATCCCCACTGGGTGTGATCCACAAATTCTTGTTTTGAGTCTGGATGTTCAGTTCATGTACGTTTGATATATTCCTAGTGCGGGAATCGTAAAAATAAAGAAGAAAAGTTGAGATAGGTCTCGATAAAAGATGATTTTTAACCTACTTTAAAAAAAGATGGGGTTCTTGATTACACTGTTTTGATATGTGTGCATGTTAAGCAATATCTTCGCTATTTTATCTTTACAACGACAGGCCTGAGCCTGGCCCAGAGGTCGTGGGTTCGATGCCTACCCGGCTATTATTGTGATGTGTACGATTATTTGTTCTGTGCCTGGGTTTTATCTATAATATTTATGTATTTAGAAATTTATAAGTGTTTATCAGCAGTCTGGTTACCATAGCACAGGCTCTGCCTAGTTCGGCATCAGACAGCCGTGTGTGAGATGTCAAATTATTATTACTTTGTGAATAGGTTCTAATATTTGTTTTAAATTTAATTGTTTATGCAAGATTGGTTGCTTTTAAATTTAAAGAAAATGTTTTCTCTTAAACTGGGGAAAGTTAAAGGTTGAAGAATACTACAGTTTATTACAATTTTCATGATTATTGACGTAAGTTTCCACACGAATTATCTGTCAGTTATTATTTTCATAAATAGCACAGTTAATTTAATGGAAAACAAATAAACACACCCTGGTAATTTTTTTAGTGTGTTGACCCGTGTAATAATCTGCGTCAGAACTTTTCATATCGCGATACAGGATTAGAAATTACTCCGTAGTTCAGTGTGTCTTCGTTAGATGTCGTTGAAATATATTTTTTTATTTGAGTGCACAATGTTACTAAAATAACATAGTAAGCCTAACATCATACCCAATGACAATTTAGTAACAAATTAAATAATAATGTTTTCTTTTTGTTTACTTTCAAAGCTACCGTATAATCAAAAGAAAACTTAGGTGAGAATAGATTATAACATAATTGTATGTCGTTAAATCATTTATCGAAAGTTAACATTTTCAACGCCATTTGTCTTGGTACATGATACTGGAACACGTTGAGGACCTGCTCAGTAAGGCAGAGATACAAATTAGACCTGTTTAGATAAAATCAAATCATTGATTCTTAGTCTCCTGATTCTATTCTTCTCTTAATGGCGTTTAATATGTTAAAATATTATTTTTAAGAAATTTTATCTTGTGCGTTTGCGTTACTAGAATTCTAAAATTTCTGTCACGGTGCTAATTTTATTGACCGTTGAAGTTAATAATCAAATGAAATATTATATGCCCAGTCAAGGGTTATTTCTATATTTTCCAGGTGAAAACTTATTAAAATAATTATATCGGTAAGTTAATGCCGGGCCTGTTGGTCTAGTGGTTAGTTACCCTGACTAGCCACAGCTAGTGGGTTAGATTCCCAACCAAGACAAATATTGTACAGGCTCTGTTTAGTTTGGGATCAGGCAGCCGTTTGTAAGATGAATTATATATATGAAACAATGAAAAGGTGTTAAAAACAACTTTAAAAAAAATAGACATATATTGTGGATTCATTTTTTTTAATAAATGTTAAAAATTTAACTATAACCTCACACGAATGTTCACCAGGAACAGCAGGTTCAACACGGCCACACGCTTCACCCGCGGCGGTCTCGTCAGACAGCCACGTCACAGTCTGACGAACACTAAAATGTTCAACCACAGCATGAACCAGTCTGTGGACCACAGGCCTCGGGCTCTGTTGATATCTGGGTTCGAAGTCGACGAGCTGGAAGCTCTCGTGGCGCATTTCTCTGTAAGTATGGCTGGAATTTAGTTTGTGCCTTTTCAATCAATATCTTCTAATATATAAAATTCTCGTGTCACGGTGTGTGTGGTTGAACTCCTCCGAAACGGCTCGACCGATTATCGTGAATCTTAGCGTGCATGTCGGCTATTGTGGAGAATCGGACATCTATTTTTCATCTCCCTAAAGGTTAGGGTGGTCCACTCCAGGACTTCTTTTCTAGGGTATACCTGGTTCCCCGGCTATTAGTACCCGAGACGGCGTCCGGTTTAAGTCGGTCCGAGTCCGACATGCCACCGATAGGTGGTATCCGAGGGGATTTACGCACGGAAAAAAAAGGGTGGTGCACTCCTAAATTTAATTTTTTTGTTAATTTCCTAGAAATAATGTATATGGCAAAACAACGTTTGCTGGGTCAGTTGGTATTTAAATAATAGTCAATAATCAGCAATAATCACAGTGTCATATCACGTCTTTTGATAGGTTTCTACATCTTGTTGTCCTCTAAATAGTCGGTTACCTTTGAAATACTGACTACTAGTAATTAGTTTTGACTGCCCGGATGGCGTAGTGGTTTAAGTGGTCGCCACGCCGCATACTACTACGCTGAGGTTTGTGGGTTTGACCCCACATTTGACGACACTTTATGCGATCCACAAATTGTTCTTCTTGAGTCTGGGTGTTCTTTGTGTCCGTTTACTGTATGTTTGTAAAGTCCCTCGCGGCACAGGCCATATATTCGTAGTGCGGGAGTTCTCTTTTTTAAGTTAGTTAGTTTTTGTTATAGTACTAGAAGGCGGGTCAATTGAATATGGTATGTTATTGCTCTCCATGGACTTTTGCAACTCGCGATTGAGCTTTTTTCTGCCCAACTCCCTGGACCTCATAGAAAACCAGTGTTAAGTATTTAGTCGTTGCATTTCACCGAACGAGTCAGGTTCCTGGAGCCCAAACTGAGAGGATCGTTTTCCGCCTGATTCTGAAGCTCATGGTTTCTTGGACACTCAAAGGTGGCAACGCACTGTGGCTCTTGAGTTACAAATGTCTATGGGTGACGGTAGTCGCTTACTATCAGGTAACCGTCTGCTCGTTTGCTCTCTGTGGCAAAAAAAAGCTGACCCGTCTCCTATGTATGTACGATGTCCTGACGCCGAGCGTGTTGCAGCAATACGGCGAGGTGGTGAGCAAGGAGGAGGAGCTGTCGGTGCCGCAGCTGGTGCTGCAGTACAAGGCGCGCGCGCACGCCGAGCTCGCCGCGCTCAACGGCAAGCACTACAACGACCGCACGCTCTCCGTACGTACCGCACCACACAACCTGATCATTATTGAAAACTTTATATTTGCACAGAGCCGATTTTAAGTATATATATACCCAGTGTCACCCACAATTGTGATGAATCTAAGTCCAAAATCCATCTCCTTCAGGCGCAGTCCAGTAAAAACTGAGTGGAATTTTAAAGTGCCTCCTTTTACGTACATAATTTTTTGAGCGAATTTTAAATTAATCATTTGAAAAGCAGAATCTTAAATATATGTATGTATACAATAGTTTTACTACAGTTTATAGAAAGCACTTACTTTTAAGGCAGTTAACGATGTCTCCATCTTTAGAAACTTTATTTCTTCTGATTAGCCGAAGGTCGTGGGTTCGATTCCCATCCAAGACAAATAATTGTGTTATGAGCACAATCGTTGCGTTCGTGCGTTCGTCACTCTCCCGTCCGCTGTTTGCCCCAATCTGTAACGATAGAACTTAATGACAATTTTTTTGCTGTTTTAAATTCGATCGTACGATTATTGAGTTATTACTCCGTGGCTAGGAACCCTAACTGTTAAGCCGGAGGTAACTCACGACGGGTTCGATTCCCACTCGTGACAAGTAAATATGTGAAGGGCACCATCACCCCGTGCTGTGTCTGGGTGTAATTTATCTATAGTATGTATGTATTTAGAAATATATAAGGTTTATCAGCAGTCTGGTTACCATAGTACAGGCTCTGCCTAGTTTAGGAGCAGACGGCCGTATGTGAGATGTGTGAGATTATTAATATTAAAAAAATAATTTGAAAATACCTTTAACCATTACTAGTTTTTCACCCATTTTGAACGATGAAAGTAATTATTATATACTATTTCAGATAACATGGGTTGGCAACACAACTAACAACCGCACTGCTCCGGTTGCGGTCACCGAGCCCCAACCCCTCGCTCCCAGGACTGCACCACTGGAAACCAATAATAAGGACGAGGTATACACAACCTACCTTTAATTACACAAGTACACATGTCATATACAGGTTGTTTCAGAAAGGTATGAACTAATGTATTAACCATCCTTCTCCCAATTTGGAGGGGGGACACACACTCAATAGGGCAGAAAAACTGTTGTGTCAAAGGTGGATGTATTGACCCTCATTTGCCATTTTAACCATAAAAAAATGTTAAAATCGACTGTCGTGTTGGTCCAGTGGTCAGTGATTGTGACTGCTAAGTCGGAGGTCGTGGGTTTATTTCCTAGGTGGTGAAAATAAGTCAGAATTTAAACATTATTACTAACTCGTACAGCCATCAAGCACTCTGTCGGAGGAGTCCCTGCTGCGCTTCGATGAGGAAGAGGAGGAGGAAGCAGATGAGGAACGCTCCTGGCGACGTTGACGGCGCGCCCTCCCCGCCCCCCGCCCCAGGGGGCACTTGTAGCGGCCACCGCCGTCTCCGAACACCACGTCACTCACTCACTGTCCACACTCAAACAGCCTTATTAAACTCCACAGTATTTCCTAATACCGGTGCTGAATACATGTTCTCGCCCATAGTATTGTAACTCGCACAGTTGTATTCGTATAACGGTAGTTATTGAACGCTAAACACAAACAGATTAAATAATTATGTAAATTTACGGGAACTCGCTCAAAGACCCCCTAATTGGGGGGTTTTAATTTTCCTAAATAGAATTATATATAGAGGTGCGAAATGTAGTCGACTTACTGTTTATAATTCAAACCCAAAGTATATCGAAATGTATTAAATCGTCCTGAAAAATACCACCATCCTTGCTGGTGTACAGCTCTGCGCTATTTTACAGATGTGTGGTGCGTTCTCTCCCGTTATATGAAAATAGAATTTGCAAATATTGTTATATAGATATATATTGGTCGAAATATTAATTCAAATAGAAGACTATTTATCTCTGAGCTAAAGTTAATAATTGATCTAATTCACAATCTATAGATTTAAGATATCATTTTTGTTATATTCAATACTACGTCTTTTCCCTCCATTACTAAAGACAGCTTCGCAATCTTCTTATTAAAATATTTAGAAATGAGGTAATCCGAAATTTTAAACCGCTAGTGGCAACACTGAAAATGGTGACGTAGGTAACAGCTTACTATTATACGGTGTCTTATTTTGCTAACTTAATGGCATAACAACAAACGCACAACTTTACACATGAGAAAGTAATAAATAAAAATTTGTAAAAGTATTTAGCGTTTGAACGTTAATTAAAAATTACTTGCAAATCTGGAATAAATGAAAATATAATGACAAAAAAAATTGAGTGAATTTTTATGTAAAAACCGTGTTTTTTATATCATCAGATAGCCTTGTTATTAAAGTTTAGGAGAATAATAAATAAAAACGAAAAAAATACGAAAAATATGTTAAAATTCTCTTTCTTTCTACAATAAGTACAAAGATCGCCATATGGTTCGATTTTCTGTAAATGTTAAAAAGATGACATGTGTTTTAAACATTGGTTGTCTATCGATCAAATAAAATTGCTAGATATATGACGAATCAAACATTTTTTAGAAGATATTTAATAAAAGCCGAACTTCCCCAATTCCTTTGTAGCGGGCAGGATGGTCATCCTGGTTATGGAGGCATGTCGTCAGCCTTTGAAAGGTTAAAAGCTGTTAAAATGATAACATTTGCAATATAAACGAAAATGATATTTATAATCTTAAGGTTAAATTTGATTATTAATTGCGGCTGATTCGAGGGACTAGACATATATGAGGGGACATATTAGACTATTGAAGGATACTTTTTTAGTTGAATTGGATAATGGTAGACGCTAAAGTGCCGTGGAGCTGTTGAGTTTATTCTCATTTTAGTCCAAATAGACTAATTATATAGTCCAATTGGACTAGAGCTAGGGTTTAGTACTTTCTAAATATTATAGATTTGAGTTTTAAATCGTTTATTGAAGTTTTTATTGTTAAATATGTGGCATACAAGCATATATTCTGAGGAATGGTAAGTGCTTACCGTAGCGTTATTTTTTTTGTAATTACATTAGCTAATTCCAACTCTTTTTCTTAAAAGATTCGATTCCTTTTCACTTCAATCTTTTGAAGTGAACAGGAATCGAACCTTGACATTGCAGGCACAATATTTAACAAAGCTAACAAGACCTAAAGTTAGTATAGTTTGTACTGTGTGTTTTAGAACATAAATATATACACTAAGACCAATGCAAGTAACACGGGAATCGAACCCGCCACCCTTTTGTTGCATTCACATTCTGTATCGCCGAAATAAAGGCGTTCGGCTACGGTAACCGCTTGAACGAAATGTATGTTTGTCATTATGTATTAAAAATGATTTGTCTATTTTGATCGATTCAAAACTCAAATAAAAACATTGAGTACTAAGTGTTAGCCCAAATAATATTGTTTGTTTTTTTATTGATACAATTAACATTTGTTACTTACAATTGTAGGTTAATTTAAGAGTGGTACACACTGTGTCTGTTGAATACTTTACTTTTAAAAGAAAACTCCCGCATTAGGAATATATCGACACATCGCGGGGGACTTTACATTCATGGAACGAACACAGAACACCCAGAATCAGAACAACAATTTGTGGATCACACAAAGTGTCGTCCCATGTGGGGATCAAACCCAAAACACTCAGCGTAGTAGTAGTGTGGCGACCGCTTAAACCACTACGCCATCCGTGTAGTCTTCATATTTCTAGATGACCTATGTTAGTCTTTGTAACCATTGCAATTTGTAAGGGAATCAACTCACAGCACGTGACCCATTTTTTTACACTTGCCTCCCTTCATTCCCCTTCCTCGGTGACCACCAGTAGTAGACGACAAAGCTGGGGTCTTGTTTTCTCGTATGTGGTTTTAAATCGTTTTTTTGCAAACAGAAAGTAAAAACAAATCAATTTACATGTTTGAAATTTGTCATTATTAATACAGCGTGGTATAGTAGGCCAAAACCTCATTTCTAACAAGAAGCCTATGACCAGCAGGGGGACTATTAAAGGTAGTTAATAATGAATATTTCAATATAACTTTAACTCACTTTGGAGAATCAGGCTTCGGCACAGAGACCAAACTAACCACCTCCCTCCCATTCTGGGTTTCTCAAAATTGGTAACGCACTTTTTAGTTGCAGTGTCAGGTTTCGCTCTTTTCCCCCCTTATACCAAAATCATACAATTATATGTGATTGTTTTTAAATAAATGAACTTGTTATGGTAAAACGTCGATTTACAATAATTTGATTACAACGATGCAGTGAGCGCCACTCTTGACTGTTTCGCATAAAACGAAACGCAATGTTACATAATCTATTTAGTTTTTAATAATAAATTATGTAGTTTCTAATTATTATTGCATTGTAAGATGTCTCGCGTCTGGGGAGACATAGTGTGTGTTTGTATTTGGTGAGTTTATATTGGAAACTGCTATGTTTCTCGAAACGTGTGGTTATTTTTAAATTGTTTTTTTTTTTCATAAGTAAATAAATTGTTTTGTTTAGTGAGCGTGCTCTGCCGTTAGGTTGGACAAGGTTTGTTAAGGTATACCGTGGACTAGATATTATTGATTTAAAGGCATAGACTACAGTTTTCTTGTCATAGACAATAGTAGAGGAAGGAGATATGGACTTCATTGGACGGTAGTACTTTAGCAGTGACCTATTTCTTAGCGTTTCATTTATTCATCGTGCGGGTGCCGGGTCGATCGCGTGATAGATGGGGCAACACATGCGACTTCGACAGTGCCTGGTATTGCGACCCAGGCATAGGTTTAAGGGTACTCCCTGCGACGCGATAACAGGCTCAAAACTACTGTTCTGTGTGTTTCCAGTATTGTTACTATGAGAGATATTTGCCTCACAGTAAACCAGTGTCAATCAAATCCTTTTTTTGCTTTTCACCGACTGGTTGCCAGTACAACCTCTCCCTTAAAATCTGGGGAGGAGGGGGTGAGTCGCTCACAGGTCGATAACGTATACTCCCCTGCTATGTCATAAAAAAGTGAACCTACTCCTCCACAGGTCTTGTGTAATTACACCTCTTCTGAGTAAAGGACATGAGGATGATTAATTTATTAGAGTGTTTAAGTGCGACTGCGAAACGTATAGTAGTGTTTCAAATAATGTTCTAGTTCACGGTTTATCTAAATATAAAGCTTAGTAACTCGTACTTTGTATAGTAAGTAGCTTAATGCCGCTAGACGTTTTATTTAGATTTAATTCTTTGATTTTGTACATATGTTGTTTGTCGCTAGAGTTAAGGTGACGGTCGTGGGTTTTGGTAGCACCACACTGAACGATTTGACTATTATTGAGAGGATACGAAGATACATTTGGGAAGTTTTAAAAATTATAAGTGCCTTTTCAATTAGTTCTTTATTCAAATTTATCAATTAAATTTTATTTTGAAATTGATAGATCAAACTTTTAAATTATTTCTTTTTTTTAAATTTACTTTCATGATAAGATTTTTTTAGTTAATTAAGTATCTATTGTTGTATTGTAGCAAAAGCTTCCGCGTCGCAGTACTGTACAAGCAATAAATAAACTTAAACACACGACCGTCGGATGTACATATTAGTTATATAAACATACACTGGCTATGTAATATTGTAAAAAAAGATACATTAAAAAAGTACCCTTTTGAGCCGTTAAAAAAATTATAAGGGCGGTTAAAAAATATTTTTTCTAAGTCAGTTTAAGGCGGCTTATATATGAAACGTGTAACACAAGAAAAAAGGAACTTGTGAAGATTTTTTTTCGTTTTGTAAAAAAAGATTATGACCGCCAAAATAAAAAAAAAATATGGTTCTTGGTTTCTGAACAAATAAGTCACAATACGTCGCCTGGCGACAATTCTTTTTTAGCTCAAGACTAATATGATTTGCGTAAAGAAGCTTAAAGAAGATACTTTGAAGAGTTTTAAAAGATTATCAAGTCCAATTGCGAGGTAAGATAAACTGGGTCTCACAACTGGTCTTTTCTGCATCAATCTATATCATCATCATCGTCTTTGCCTCTTTCCACTTTAAATGTGGGGCTGGTGTAATGTTACACACATTACATCAACAGCCTTTAATAGTCCACTGCTGGACATAGGCGGCCTATGTCCTCCTATGTACGTATCCTAATGTATGTATCTCCTTTCTAAGGATAGGCCTATGATAGGCCTATCCTTAGAAAGGAGATTGTGGCCTACTACACGCTGGCCAGATTTGGTATAGGGTTTGTATCAAGTTTTCCTTCTCCTTGCGGTGCTGTTGTCCTGCGTACTTTGTTCCCTTAGTCGGCTGAGTGACAATTTTTATTTTATGATCCGTCGCTATAGAGTTAATGGTGTAATATTGCAGTCTGGCTGCCTCACGTCCTTGGTCCTTGGAAATACTGTCACAGTTAAAAGGTAAGTTGGGGTGGGGAAAATAGTGTGTGCTAAAGTCACATCACAAATATGATACTTTATATATTATGGTATATATGTATGTGTATATATATAACACAATGTATATGAATATGAATGTATGTATTCTTGTATGTATACGTTGGTATTTATATATTATTTCATTGCTTTTTGCTCAGTATTGCTATCATTACTTCTTTTATGTCCACTTTATAATTCTCAACCAAAGGGTAGTGCACCTCCACACTCATTTCCACACCAACCTAAGGTAGACTGGTAGAGAATGCCTATGGCATTAAGTCCGCCATTGTACTTATGTGCATAAAGTTGATAAATAAATAAAGTACCTGGAAAGTGGGACTAAAACCAGTCGCTCGAAGAGTCGGTCATGTTTTTTTTTCGTAAAATTCTCACTTTTTCAATTTGCAATGTTTTTGGTTAACAATGATGTCACCGTGAGTAAACAGAACAGATAAAATTATCGATAAAAAAAAAACGCATAGGTAAAAACTGCATTGTTTAATCAAACAGCCCAGGGCCGCAAACTTGTGTTGGTGTGCGTAGACCATTTGCACGGAATAGTTATTACTTTTTTGCGATACCTACTGGGAATTACCCATTTTACAGCTGATTGCATAAAACGAAATTGTGAAGATTTTCCAGCGCGGACAATCCCAATGGTTTTCGACTCAGAATGATGCTCTGAAAACACTTCTTCTTCAGTATTCTTTATGACGTTCTTTTTACCCTGTATTATTTAAAGGAAAAACAATTGATGTCATTTAATAGTATATTATTAACGATATATTATTATGATGGTTTCGCCACGACATAGACATCATAAACGACAGCTAGTGAAGTAAAAACTGCATTTAAATATCTAAATGTTACCAGCTTACGTTTTTTTTGTAAAACTTTTTCAATTTGTTTTTAAGCTTTAGTTTGGTGGTGGTGGGCTGAGCCGTAACCTTTCTCATACTAAGAGAATCCTATGCTTAACAGTTGATTATTGTAATTTGAGAGGATTTATTGCACGGATGGAGTTTTGGTTAAATTGTCACTTCGCCGCTTCATTTTGCCCTTAATGTTGTGGATTCGATCCCCACATAGAACAACACTTCTAAACATTATTATTCTGAGTCTGGGTGTTATGTGTCCGTTTCATGAATGCTTGTAAAATCTACGTGGATATATACTTAGTGCAGGAGTTGTCTTTTTTTAAAAACAATTAAGGAAAATGAAAACGATTGGGTAATAAAAGAAAAAGGTTTTGGCCTACTACGTGGTGTAGTAAGCCAAAACCTTTCAGAGGAGAGGCTTATGTCCAGCAGTGGACTATCATAGGCTGTTGATGTGAATAAAAGAAAATTGTCGGTCGATTTGTAAGTATATAATTATTTACAAAAACAAAATTTAATAAGAGATCTAATATAGTAACATTATACAAAATTATCATAAACTCACAATAAAAAACTATGAATTACTACTGAACAGCGCTATAGTAAACAGCCGAAAACTATTGATACGACATTTATTTGTGCTAGCAACATTTATCACGCGAATGGGGCTAATTATTTCTCACAATATTTTACATACATAAAAGCTCTCACGTCTTTCTCCAAAGTAAGGTAGGCAGAGGCTTAAAGTTTGTCGTACACAAGTTTACATTTGAATATTAATAATAAAATTTATACTGATTAATTACATAACAGGTATTTGTTTTGTCATTTGAATTAACTTCTGTAAAATTCTTATCCTTAAAAAAGAGTGGCCGTGAGTTTGTTCGCCCTTCTCATGAGGCTCAACCCTTTGGAAACGGGCGGTTGTAGAGCAGCACAGGCATATCATAGACTTTTGATACGTATGTATATATTTATTTTGATAAATATTGGACAAAACAGAGATTGTTGCTATTGTGTGTGTTGATGTTGTGAAAAAGATATTTTGAGTTTAAGTATGAAATTAGCATTAAATAATTTAGATAGTAGTTTTTTTTAAACGAAACCTTAAAATCAATGATTTTATTGTAACGACTTCTGATGTCAGTAGTTATTATTTTCATACAAGTGTTTTACAAATTTTTGATCGTTTTGACGTTTGTGTTTTGACATTTAACATTGACAATTTACAACCGTATTGCCGAATTATTCCAATGCAATGTCTGACGAAGATAACAATATACCTAATAGGTTTTTGATTTTTAATCTAACTGAAACTGAAAAGTAAACAATTATTAAGTCCCAGCAAATATCCCAGGGGTCATTATTTTTGAAAAAATAATCCCCACGCACTCGTAGGGGGAAGGTTATGGACTATCTTACGTTACGAACAGAACAGAACAGTGACTAAAATCGCGAGTTTATCTGCGAAGAACAAATATAGTAAAATCTGTAAATATATTCTTACTTTGTACAAGATTAAACGCATTTAATTTATTAAAAATAGTTGTTTTCTTAAATCTAATATAATTTTTCCTTTTTTAAGCAAAGGTTCCATCAGAGGTCTTAATAAATCACTTTATTCAATACCACCCATACCAGAATCGTCCGCAGTCAGATTTGAAGGGAGGTTCCGTTTATATGTATATCTAGGTAATCTCTAACTTTTAAACTTTCGCGTTCCATGATAATTAATATTATTTAACGGGAATTAAATAATATTAATGTCAGCAGCCAGCCTGTGACCACGGCCGGTGCAACCTGGTCGAAACGTCAGGCAAACCAGAGGTATGTAATACCCTAAATAAGAGATCGCGTTAATTCCCGTTAAATAATATTAATTAGGTAATCTCTATCACTAATTGGATATCTGAAAACACGCCCGCGAAATGTCTATTGCCTTTTTGTGTATTTTTTTTAACCTTGGAGTGGTGATGTCTAACCCGAATGAGCCCCTCTTCTAGACCGCACCTGGTCCGTATTTATTTAAAGTTAGCTAGCATTTAGTTACTTTTGTCATTGATTGTTCATCTATATACCTTTAAAAATGTTTATTTTTTATGTTGGCAACTTTACAATGATGAATAACCACAGAATATAAAACTACCGTTATGTCTTAGTTATTTTCACTTGGATTGTGACCATAGAATGATAGAACGACATCATATTTTTAAGTAGGTACCATTTAAGTAGTCTTGCCTTAAACTATCAAAAACTTAATTAACCAAATCCTTTAACCAGGGCCGAATGATTTCCTGGTGTTCTCGAACCAGATCACGAAGGTTCGAATCTGGGTTGGTCTCAATGTGACGACAAATTCCGGGTCCTCGACAGGCTCTGAGCTTGGATCATCACGTGCTGCCTCGTCATCTTTAGCCAAAGTCCTGGAATAAAAATTATATATTTACAAGTAAGTATTAGCTCTCGCTCAGAGGTCGAAACATGACTTTATTTTGTAAACATTTTGATGATAAAACTGTCGAAAACTGTTATAAAAAATAAATATGTATTATGTATATACATCTGTTATAAAAAATATATATTTAAAAAAATAAATATGATGATGAATAGGAAATAATATGAAATAAAATTGTCTGAACTCTTTTTAAAGCAAACAAAAGAAAAGATTGCTTTTAGACTATTAAGAACTATTTATAATTTATAAAGAAAAAGCTGGTGGTGGTAAAGGAACGCCCCCGCACTTGTTATTGTTAGTTTCAGGTGTCCACAGGTGGCGGTCGTCACTCACTATCAGGCTATCTGCTCTTTTGCCCCCCCCCCCCCCCTTATTTTTGTTGCGGTGTATTTACCTCTTTCTCCTATTATTCTCAGTTCTCGCATCTGTTATTTCCTTTTCTAAATTATCCAATTCTTCCTCCTCGGAATAATCCATGTTCTCCACTCCACTGCTGTCCTTTCGTGATCTAGATCTTTGCGTCCAACTTTTAGCAGTTTCTGTAATTTATTGTATACATACATTACTTAGTATTTCATTTTAAAACACGCGTCGAACTCATTACGGGATATGTAAGTAATGCTTTCTACTTATATGTAACTAGCTGAGACCCGCGGTGTTACCCGCGTTTGTTTTTATAACCGCGGGCAATGCCGCGGAGCGAAGCTAGTCTAAAAAAAGTAGCCTAAGTTACTCCTTATGTCCTCCTTATGACATCAGCTTGTAACAGTTATTTTTTTATTATATTTGTATTGCGTACGGAGTTGTAAACAGTTTTTGATTTATCCAAAGTAGATTGTAACTATAGTATTGATGTTCTTCGTCCGCCATTGGACCACTAGATGGCGTTGTTTTATTGGTAAGTCATAGTAAGAATTTATCCTGACAAATTGTATTAGTGTTAAAAGTGTCCTGTTATGGTAGGAAGCGAGTTACTTTTGATTTGGTTCGTGTTAACCTTGATGATAATTTGAATGTCAATTTAAAATGTTAAAGTAGGGATTCTTTCTAGAAAGTTCACAAACCGAGCATATATAAGTCCGGCTTTCAGCCACAGGGGACACTCTGCTAATTCTTGTCTTCCGATCTTAAAAAGTATTTTGTTTGTCTGGTGATTTCATTGCAGTAATATTTTCTTTGTTCGAAGTACCCACGCCAGTGGTAAGTTATTCTTAATTTTCTTTTAGTCATTTGTTTCTGGAACCTGAACGATTATATGAGTGCTAATCCATTCGTAGGGCTCCAGATTTCGGGTCAAGACAATCAATCTCAGACGGCGTGCTCTTTCGTTTGTGGCCTTCTGGTGCGAAATCGAGTTTCTCAGTACCCTCTGGCAAACTGGCAGTCACGCGGCTCACCAAGCAAGCGGACAGCCTTACTCAAGGGTTACGTACTTCTTGTTAACGTTATTAATATAAATATTGAACCTTCCTTTATACCTAATATAAATAGCCGACTCGGGCGGGTGTGGAAGTGACCTGCTGGATTGATGACGAGGAGGCTCCGAGCAGCATCAGCTCGGCCTTGACGCGCGCCGCTGCGGGTTTTTTTATATACCCACTAATTTATGTTTTTTTATTATTGTAACTTTGATTTGATTGGAAATATACATGTATGTATGACTGAGGTGTAAGTTGTCTTTTTCTGAGGAGTCCCTTAGGTTGCCCACACGCACACCCTTCTGTTTTCGACAATGGCGCCCTGAGGTAATCTCGTGAATCTCTCCGCTGGGTCAGCCGGTGAGTAGTCCGCCTGACACGAAAAGCGGCTACAAGCTATCTGCCAGTGAAAGTCCCGTCGAAATCGGTCCAGCCGTTCCAGAGATTACCCGGAACAAACAGACAGACAGACAAAAATTGAAAAAAATGTTATTTTGGCATATGTACCGTGTAAACATACATATGCATTTAGTAAAAAGCGGTTATTTTAATATTACAAACAGACACTCAAATTTTATTTATTTGTATAGAAGATTATATTTTATTCTAATTCTCTCTTAAATAATAATACTAATACTAAAAAACGACCGAGCGTGTAACATTCGACATCTCTGTAACGCGCGCGGTTGTTGATTAAAATCTAATAGCGCGCGTTTTTCCGGTTTCCTGTATCATTGTAACACTTCCGTTTCTTTCCACGAAATTAAATCCACAGAAAAGATATGCGAGAGTACGAGTAAATATGTTACATATCATAAATTTGAGTATTTATTTGCAAAACCTGCAAAATCCGAATGTTTTAGAATAAGATGGAGAACGTAGCTTATAAAAATGTATTAAATTTAGTTTTTTACAGCACACAGCAGTTTGTATTTGTACTTTTGCGAAATATGTATTCTTAGAAATTTAAAATGCTAGATTTCCAGCAATTGAGTATTTTAGAAGTAAGTAAGCTTAAGGCACCTTTCTCACCTTTCATCGACTCTTCTAACATCATCTTCTGTCTGTTTCTCTTCTCTTCAAAAGCTCTATTAAATCTTCTGCTAGGCTCGTTTATAAAGAATGGCATGTCAGCTGTCAAGCCTTTTCTCCTCTTGTTCTGTCTTCTGTTTGCTCTTTTCGTTGTCCTTTCTAGTGGTTCGTCATAGGAGTCGCTTCGAGGCTTGTACCTTGCGAAAGAAAGAGAATTGAATTAATTTATTTTGAACGATTTTAATAAAAATATTAAGCCAACTTTTAAACTACCACGTTCCATCTATACTAAATATTATTAATGCGAAAGTGTTTGTCTATCTGTAACCACTTCACGCTTAAACCGTTATCTGATTTAGATGAAATTCGGTACAAAGACAGTTCGAGTCCCGGGAAAAAATATAAAATAGTTTTTATCTCAAAAATCGTCCTTTAAGGGGGTGGAAAGGGGGTTGAGGTATGAGGAATCAATAACCGCTCAACCGATTTAGATAAAATTTGGTATGGGGATAGGTTGATTCTTGAGGAAGGATATAGGCTAGTAACGTAGTCCGAGGGGCAAAGCTAGTAACATATAATTTTGTTTACGAGAGTTAACGCGTTCACGACAGGTAGAACAGAGGGCTGTGTGCAAGTTTATTTCACATCGACTCGCTGTCGACGGTGAGCGCGTTTATCGTTGCGATTGGTGGAGATTTCAGTGCGGGCCAATCGTAGCGCCGATCGCGGTCACTGTGACGATCGAGTACTAGTGAAATAAACTCGCACTTGGCCCTCAGGTCACAAGCTGACCACGGCCAGTGAAACCTGGTCGAAACGTATTACAATGTATATCGCGAGCACGTTAATTTCTGTAAACATAATTATATAAAAAAACGAGTGCTTTAGACCACACGACTGAAGTAAAACTTCTTGGCTATGAAAGAAAGAGAGTAATAAAAAGTGTGCTCGCACCTCTCTCTCTCTCTCTTGTAAGTACAGTAAGTCTCTCTCTCCCTTCAGTAATTTACGAAACGTAACTCTTTCTCTTTCTATCTTCACACAATACTTTTTTTAAACTTTTTTTTGGGGTTCTGTAGCTGTAGAGGAAACCGGTCTTGACAAGGCGCCGCTCTAAGTCCTTGTCGCTTTTGAGTTTATTCAACATGAGAGAGTTGTAACTAGTATGTTCATGATTACTAAACGACTTATAGAAAGAAACAATCACTTTTCGTAACGTTCTCGTCACGCATTCACCAGCTTACTACGCAAGTCAAGCGTTCGTAAAGAAATTTTACTACAAAAATATGGTTACACGGTTTAACAGTCTTAATAAAATTTCAAAATATTTGGAAAACATTTAAACGTCACCGCTATCATCAACAGCCTTTAACAGTCCACTGCTGGACAGAGGACTCTCCTTAGAAAGGAGGTTTTGGCCTACTATACCACGCTGGCCAGACGGGTTGGAATAGGGTTTGTGTCAAGTTTTCCTTCTCTTGCTATTGTATTTGCCAGATAATTTTTATTTATCAAATCGACATCTTAATCATCGTTGCCTAGTGGCTAGTGACCCTAACTGGTAAGAGGTGGTTCAGATTCTTGCCGGAGAAAAATAATTGTGTGATGGATAAGTACGATCATTTGTTCTGTGTCTGGGTTATTTTATCTACTAGCTGTTCGTGTACTACTACTTTGAAAAGCGCTGACTTAGTGAGTTCGATTTACGGACCAGATAAAATTTTATAGGGTTTTTCTGAGAGAAAAAATAGCCTTAGTTACTCCTTATATAGACAGCTACTTGGTAGTCAAATATTATCAAAATAGGTACAACCGTTTTGAAGATTACCCGGAACAAACAGACAGACTGACAAAAATATTTAAACTGGTTTTTGGGCATAAGTATCGTGCAAATAACCGTGTAAGCATGAAAAAAACCTATTATTTGACATTACAAACAGACACTTCAATTTTATTTATTTGTATAGATAATATGAATGTATATTATATTATAAATGGCTAATTTAACTTTTATTAATAATGAACTTGAGCAAATAATCGTGGGTAATTCATATAATTGTAACCCAGAGGAATGCTTAAATTATGTCAATCAAACTGTAAACGATATAAAACTACTACATTTAAACATACGCAGTGTAAATAAAAACCACGAACAGCTACAAGTATTACTGCACTCAATAAATATAAATATTGACATAATTATTCTTACGGAATGTTGGCTTAGTAAAGTTAAGCATATACCCATAATAACAGATTTTCAGGCACACGCAACTCTAACAAACTGCAACCAAAATGATGGCATCATAATTTATTCGAGATTAGGGTTGCAAACAACGGTATGGGAACCTAATTTTAAGGGTGGGAACTGCCTAGTATGCCAACTCGACAACAAGCTGGTAGTAGTGGCAGTATACCGATCCCCGTCATATAACTCAAAAGAAAATTTCGATAGCTTCCTGACTAGTTTAAATAGCGTTTACGACAACATCTCTAACCCAAACATTGCCTTAGTTGGTGATCTAAATATAGATATAAGACAGAACAACTTAAGCGATCGGAGTCTGGATTATCTCATCTTAAATGACTCTCATGGACTCCTGCCTGCCCATTTATTTGCCACGCGACTAGAAAACAGTATAGATCATATACTTTTAAAAACGAATCTTGACGCTACAACACTTGTCATAAATTCATCCATCACAGACCATAAACCAATGCTATTGTCTATAGCTGACGTTAAGCCCACCCGCAAAAGAACCCATGTATATGCTCGACTAGATTATGACGCAATCAAACTGGAGTTAAAAAACACAGACTTTACGATAATTTATGCAATGATAGATGCAAATTCAGCTATGGATCACTTTATAAGCATAATAAAATCTATTATATCTAAACATACCCAACAAATTAGAATATCAAGACGAAACAGAACATTAAAACCGTGGATGACACCTATAAACTACTTAAATGTATACAACATCGGGATAGATTACATATGCAGTCAAAAAATGTACCAGACGACCTTATATTAAAAATCACCTACACTAGGTACCGAAACTATTGCAATTCACATCTGCGAAAACTAAAAACTTGTTACGAAAAAAATGAACTCGAAAAAGCTAGCAACAATCCTAAAGCATTATGGAGAACGATTAAAACAATAACGAATTCTCAAAAAGTTTGCAATAGCCCAGTAGAACTATTACAATTACATGAAAATCCCATTTCATCTATAAATGAGGTCTGCAAATTCTTTGCTGGGGTAGGTAAAAATATGGCTGAAGAAATCATGTTACGGGGTAAAAACTATGATCCGTCAGTGGTTAATGCTTTGCATCGAAAGTCACACAATGCGTCACACACTCCTGTAAATTCACTTGATGTAATTGAGGTAGATGAGGTCGAAGTGGAGTCCTTGATCCTACAATTGCGCAGTGATTGTGCTATTGGATGGGATGGTATATCAAATTCGTTACTAAAAAACAGTCTTCCGGTATTGGTGCCAATTATAACATATATCTGCAATCTTTGCTTGCAAACAGGCGTATTTCCAGACTCACTCAAAAAGGCTATAATACACCCGATTCACAAGGGAGGGGACAGAAACTGTGTCAACAACTACAGACCCATATCTGTTTTGTCTTCGCTCTCTAAAGTCTTGGAAAAGATTCTTAACAACCGGTTAAGAACTTTTCTAGAGAAATACAAAATTATAGCTGACAACCAGTACGGTTTCAGGTCAGGCATATCAACAGAGGATGCTATACTGGAACTGACACAGCTGGTCGCTGGAAAGCTTGATAACGGCATTAAATGTATGGGGATATTCTTGGATCTTACCAAGGCATTTGACACGGTTTCTGTTCCCAAACTTCTTTCGAAAATGGAGCGCCTGGGTGTGAGAGGAATTGTACTAGACATATTCAAGGATTAACTAAAAAATCGCACCCAGTGTGTTAAAATTGATATGTATCTGAGTGATGAAGAGCAGTTGACTTACGGTATTCCGCAGGGTAGTATCCTTGGCCCTACCCTCTTCCAGATATATGTTAATGATCTGTGCACGATGGACTTTCCAAACTCCAAGCTATACGCTTATGCCGACGACACGGCAATAATAGTTTATGGAACTACTTGGGATTTTGTTAAAAGAGAGGCAGAAACTACTCTTGCTAAAATAATGAGTTGGTTAAACTCAAACTTGTTAACCCTAAATTTAAACAAAACTGTTTTTATTCCCTTTGCCATTCGACGTAACACCTCCCCGCCTTCTTCTTTTTCACTAACTGCCCATTCATGTACAGACCAATCCGTGTCTTGTTCTTGCGCTACACTCAGTAGGACTGATAGCGTTAAGTACCTAGGTGTCTTTATTGACGATGCACTAAAATGGGATAAACAATTGGATGCACTGACTACTCGTGTAATGCGTCTCATTCACATATTTAAGACACTCAGGGAGACTGCGAACAGCGCTACATTAAACTTAGTATATAATGTCTTATGCAAATCAATTATAGAATACTGTATCGTTGTTTGGGGAGGAGCAAATAAAACAAAATTTCTGAGAGTAGAACGAGCACAAAGAGCCATACTTAAAGTTATGACCAAAAAGCCCAGGAAATACCCAACTACAAAATTATATTCAGAATGTCGAGTACTAACAGTACGTCAGCTCTTTGTGCTCAAATCGATCCTTAGGAAGCATTCGAGACTACCCCCTGCGGACCCTACGAAGCGAACAAATCTTCTCCCAGGCACCCCACACAATACCACATTTGCTAAACACCAGTACTATACGCAAACCACTCACGTATATAAGCAAATACATAAAAAGTTGGGTATTAGAGATCTTAACATATTTGAAGTAAAGTCTAAAGTGACCGAGTGGTTACAAAATCAAGACTACTTCCAAACAGAGTCTCTTTTAAAATACCTCTCATGACCCCCCCAAACACACATTCACACACACACAACACATATACACACACAACACACACCCACACACATACACTCACACCATAAATATATCCACACAAATCGAAAATATTTACATTATATAAAATAGATTAAAAATTGTTTGCCTTAATGAAAGATCAACACTGCTTCCAACCTGTTGTATAATTCTTTTAGTGTAAACTGATAGCCTGACACTAGCTCTTAAAATACAGGAATACCTAGTTTAAGACATAGCGTTATTATTTTTGGTACAGATTATACTCGTAGCAACTAAGGACTAAGCACAATGCACTACTGTTAATTACAATCTAATCTGTTGTTCTTTTATGCACAAACTATATCTGTATTTTTTCTGGTAAATAAAGATTATTATTATTATATAGAATTATTTAAGTCTGTGTATCAGTAGGCTGGTTAACATAGCTTGGGATCAGGCGGCCGCGTGTGAAATGTATGAAGTGGGAAGAAGTAATTCCAAATATAAAATACCTTCTTGATTTCTTCTTCTTCCTAATATTCTTTTCTTCGGAGCTCCTCTCAGTCTTCTTGTGCGGTGACTGCGGTGGTGGCTTAGGGCGTCTGTAGTACATGTCATACATAGATTTGGTGATACCGTCATCTGAGTCCACTATGATAGTATCTAAAATGAAATGAAATAACGTAGTGAAACAAGCGGCTTCAGTTGTGTTAATTTCTTAATTTATGCCGTAGAACAGGTAAGCAATTCTGCTAGTTTTATACTGTGTGAAGAGACTCTCGATGGACTGTCGTTGGAATAGTTTTGCATTTTTCGTATTCTACTAACTATGTAAGACCAATGGCCTCCCGATAAGTTGAACTGAACTGCCACTAATAAAAATGTCGTCGATGTCTTTGTAATAGTTTGGTAAACAGTATTTTTTAAATTTGTAAGGTAATTATTTATTTAATTTTCCAGATATGGCAATGTTGTTGATATCACTATTGATGAGCTATTGTTACTACATCCACAGTCTATTGACAATGTGAATTTCCGTTAGTAGAATACCGAGCTGCTTGCAAAAGCTATTACATATATATATAATAAAAGCAATTTTTTCATTGCTTTTTACTGAGTGGGGCTACCAGAAGCTTAATCTCCCACTGCCCCCAATTCTGGGAGGGCACTCAAAGGGCGCAACACATTTGTGTTCCGTGAGTTGCATGGTGACCCGTCTGTTCGTTTAATCCCTGTACCATCATCACCATATCAACAACAACAACTACCTTCTTCTTTAGGCCTTTTAGAAGCTTTAAGCCCATTTCTTCTCCTCGGCGATCTCTTCTTTAGATTAGAAGAGAAATCTTCTTCAGAAGATGATGCAGCTTCATCTGCTTTAAAGTCTTGAGTCAAATGGGTGGGTTTCATTCTGTTTAGAAAATTCATTTTCGGTGTTTTTTGTGTGCCCTGTAACATATACACTTTATAAGTTGACAGATAACCGCCTTAGCCATCGAAAATATTGTATTTATTTAACCGACTTAAACAAATGAGGGTTGAATATTTAAAATGATCGACTTTCGACCATCAGGCGATATCTATTAACATTATTTAGAAAAACTAAGGGAGCAAACTACAGGAAGTAGTACTGCAAAGAGAAGGAAAACTTTACACAAACCCAAATTTAATTTAACACAAAGCCTTTAATAGTCCACTGCTGGTCATAGGCCTCTCCTTTGGGGGTTTTGGCCTAATATACTGGCCAGACGGGTTTATAAAAACCCAAACCAAAACCCAAAGGAGAAGAAAAGGCCAAAACCCCCAAAGGAGAGGCCTATGACCAGCAGTGGACTATTAAAGGCTGTTGATGATGATGTTGATGGATATTATATTAGTTTATAGATTAAATCTTACCTGTATTCTGTAATAGTCATCAACTTTTGCGGTAACGTTACGTGTCATCGTTTTAGCATCCATTGAAGGTTTTACATAGGCTATCGTAGTTGTTTCATTAACAAAATCGTCAACCAACGTGTCATTAATAATATTCTCCATTACATTTTCAGTGATATTAATAGAACGTTTCCTTCTTTCATATTCTCGTTCTCTTTCCAGATACGGCATTTTAGTTCTGGCGCGATTCTTGGCGTTGAACCTTTGGCGGTTGACTTGTTTTCTTCTGGCGATGTCTTGGTCTTCGTCTGAATAATGACCTGGAATTAGTATGTTCTAATTGTTATAAATATTTTTTCGGGTTTTCTGTCTTCAGATCAGTCTAATTTAATAGATCGATATCTTAAGTCTTTTGAGGAAAGTTTTTCTAATCAATTCATGATACCTGAGTCCTGCTCTTCCATTTGCTTGGATGGCTTGTCTTTGGTTTCTTCCACATCTTCGGTCAGCATGCCATCGTCAGCGCCGGTGTATACGTATCTGAAGTCATACATTTTAGGAATTGGAAGCTTGAATAATTAGGAGAAGTCAGACGGAATCACCAAAGACTTTTTCAACTTCTTTTGTTTTTTTTTATTTGCGAGTTACGTTATTTGAAAGTAATAATTTTATGATGTCACCTGACATCACCGCCATGCCAATTATTTTTATTTGCATGATTTGGCATTTATAATTTCTCCCTAAAATCTGATTTAATTTTATCTAATTACTTATTCTGTAGGCACTTTTGACGAATAAACAACATCTAAAAAAAAAATTAACTGTCCTCAGAAACTACCTGGTACTCCAATCCATTTGTCTAGCGTCATCCAGCCATTGGTTAGCAGCCAAAGTGGTCTCTCTGACCATCTTGATCTGCATCTGAAGGAAGATTTTGCGCAACTCCACGGTGATGTGCGAGGGTTTGGCAGTATAGTCATCTGGATTTTCAGATTTGTCACTCTTGAAGCGGTCTGGGAAGAAACCAATGATTTTTTAAACAATAAATTTAAAATAAATAACAATAAAAATTTTAAATAGTTTTTCAATACTCATAGCATTCGTAAGACTTTTGAGTCATACACATATACTTGCACTTTTCCTTCTTTTAATTGAACAGACAACTCCCGCACTGGGAATATATCCTGTGTCGCGAAGAACTTTACAAACATTCATGAGATGGACACAAAGAACACCGCCTCAGAACAACAAGTGGTGGAGTGTTGTCCCATGTGGGAAACACAGTAGGAAGCAGCGAGGTGACCCCTTTAACCACTATGCCATCCGTGCAGCTTCCGTTTCACGCCATGTTATGTAACTGGGCCCAATGGGTAACTTTTTTTTTTCGTGTGGTAGCCCCCTCGGGTCATCACCCCCCCCGTAGTTTACGGCTTGTCTTGGAATCGGGCCGACTTAATCCACACGGTGTGTAAGACATCCGGCCCCTCGCTCAATGGGTAATATAGCACAGGGTTTTTGGCTCGTTTCTTTTAAACTTGCTGATTCTTTTTAATGTTTTGCCAACGCCAAATAGGTGTCAACAAGTTAAACGAAAGTCTAACTAAGCAAGAGTCTATCCATCAGGTAACCGTTACGTCTTCTTATTTTCCCCTATTTTTTTTTTTTTATTGGGACTAATCCCACCCACACGCCCACCACTGTAACTCCTGTACACCAGGATCCACAGCAGTGACCCACGAACACACCGAGTTATGACACTCGGGAAGTCCCAGGAAGAAATTAAACTGTCTAGAAATTAAACTGTCTAGAAATTAAATTTTCCCCTATTCCTTAATATATGTGTATATTCCCTATAAGATCATTGTCATCATCATTTCAGCCGCTCTACACAAAAATCGGACCTGTACTGCGCCCCCCATAATATATGTGTACAAATATGGGGTGATTGTTACCTCTGATTGGATTTTCCAATGTATTTTCAAGTCTTAAGAGCACTGATCCAGCTTTCCAAGGCTCCAGCGTCAGGATATGGATGTGTCTCGGAAGACCATGCAGCTTCAGGGCTGTGAACTGAGAGATATAAAGTAAGTTAAGGTAGTATAATGGGTTCGAATCATGCCCAGTGCAGACCTGAATTCACTTAACTTAGCTGAAGGGGCTTTTTTTTTGCATATTAGGCGATATTTTCTCTGTTTGTGAACCAAATTTAATAATAAAATTAAATGTACGCAATGCCATTTAAATATTTCGGATAACTTAATAGAATCTGCCGTAAAACTCTATCCAGTTTCATAGAAAAATAAAATGGTAAAATTTGAAAAGCAGAAGGGGAGTTCGAGGAATGTTATGGGATCTAAAGCCAAATTATCAAAATTGTTTACATTATTAGTAATAGCCCCTTATATTCTCCTCAGGTCTGTAAAGTCCTTCATTCTAGTCTGTGCCATGATTTGGCAGACTTCGAAATAGTGGGTACTGGGTACGTCAACTTATGTCTACTTTTTCAGTTTTATTTAAATACTAAATATTTCAGTAGTAAGACTTTCCATTCGGACATCAAATGTCTTGGAGGGTTAGGAAACAACATCACCTTGTGTAGTGAGTGTTAATAGGCATTAAGTCCCCAAATTACCCAGAGTCGTAACTAAAATCTTACCCTTTTGTTTCTGACATTCTGCCATTTCCGCCTGTTCAACTTGTCTCCAGGCGTGAAGAACAGCCATGGCTCGTAGAGCCACTTCCTCGCTGCCAGTGACATACGCTCCGAGAAGTTCAGATCATCAACTAAAATAAGACATACGCATTGAGTAAAATCTCTCCCATACAAACTTTCATACCCTATTCAGATTCTTCAATCTTCACATATCTTCCTGACAAAAGTAGCCTACGTCCTTTTCTAAGCTTCTTTCCATTTTTATACCAAATTTTATGAAATAATTTGAGCGTGTACACGAGATAGACAGACAATCCTACTTTCCATATAATTATGTTGTTTAATATATTAGAATACGGGAAATAAATGCCATCTGTTGGCGTTCGGGAGACTCTACAAGTCGGCTTACGTCACGGCCGGGACACAGTCTTGTTGCAGCGGTCAAGTAGAACAATCGTCATCGCTGTCAGTTGTCTGAATACCTATCTAGTCAGATAGCGACTACTTTATACCGTATTTACTTAGGTCAGGACTATAACTTACATCTCCAACACTAATATTATCCTACTGATAATATCCATAATCAAGATTAGTTATGGGGGAAGACCAAGGGTCCTCTCCCATAAATCAAAAAGTTGACCCTGTTACAAAGAATTACAGAATATTTCTTACCTTCCTGTCTGAAATTCCCAAACAGTATTCTATGTTTTCCTTTGACAACCAACCCTACTCCGTAAGCCTCTTCGTTGAGAGTTTCTTCAAGACCAAATCCATCATCTGTGAGCAGCCTCCGATGGACCTGGAACAGTTTTTGAGGTTTTATAAATATAGGATCAGTTAATATCCATCTCGTGAATATTTTATTGCGTGTGGAATAAAATGGCGGTGAGTGACGGCTTAAGAATACAGTGACACCACCCCCATTGATCCCGTGCCAGCGTGGCATAGTAGGCCAAAGCCTCCCCGTTAAGGAGAAGATGGATTACTAAAGGCTGTTGTAAGATAGGGGATATTTTTTGGCTTATGTTTATTTTAATTTTAGATATGTAATTGTAGCGATGTCGTTACCCAAACGAACGAACCATATAAACACTTTCTTTTTTCCGACACCCGACAGTAACAAGTGCGTGGCCATTCCTTTTCCACCACCAGCTTTTTCTTTATATATTGTAAATAGTTCTTAATAGTCTAAAAGCAATCTTTAATTTTGTTTTGATTTAAAAAGAGTTCAGACCAATTTTATTTCCTATATATCATCACTAGCTGACCCGCGCAACTTCGTCTGCGTCTCTCAATAGTAATAAATTTTCTCCGTTTTTGAAACATTCTTCATTGGTGCTCCGCTCCTATTGGTCTTAGCGTGATGATATATAGCCTATAGCCTTCCTCGATAAATGGGCTATCTAACACTGAAAGATTTTTTCAAATCGGACCAGTAGTTCCTTAGATTAGCGCGTTCAAACAAACAAACAAACAAACAAACTCTTCAGCTTTATAATATTAGTATAGATATTTTCTTTGGTTTAAGAATTGGTTAACAACGGTTTTCTGCGAGGCATCACTCTGGTCGAGCAGGCCCATTTTGCTGAACCATGACTCTCCCACGGCAATTCTCTTTTTTGTTAATATTATTATATGATTCCACTCTCCCACTTCTCTTGTTCAAATTATCACCAAAACAGCTACTTACCATGAGTTCAATTTCCCCTTCGTTGTAAGAGCTACCACCTTGAGTCCTGTCCGTCAGCACACACAAGCCGGTGGTGGTATTGATGGAATGGATGCAAATTCGTGAGGTCACAGGATAGTAGCAGGCTGCGATTGGTTTCTTGTTTTGTTGAACTGCAATTTTTGATATGGTATCATTAAAACTTAACGAAGAGATGTAAATTCTGTCTAAAACTGATAATGACTTGTAGAGTAAGTGTTTTGAAGTAGGTTTTATAAAGTTGCGTTAATAAGTCGCTTGTTTTAGGACCGTTGTAAGAACTCGGAACCTTTATTAAAATTGGGTTTGTTAGAAGACTCATATTTTATATTTTGGGTCAAGTTTTAGAAGACATCCGAAATGAAAAGGAGTGCTCAAGAATATAGAATTACGGAGGATTCGAATTAGTAGTCTTAAATGAATAAACAGAAGGACCCGTTTAATAAAATAAGGAAAACGAAATAAACACATTTATTCTGACATTCACAGCACATCACATAATTGTAACAATGAAATGAAAAACAAAAAAAAAACAAGAAATTGTGATGTCCTGTGCAATGCTAGAAAATGCGCCTATCTCAGCATATTACTGTAGTCTGAGGGTCTGCAGCGCTGGTATTATAAATCAAAATAAGCATAGGCTATCCGTGTAGATCGTGTCGTGTGTGCAGTGTCAAATGTCAGTTGTGTTAAAAATTTGGATACTTTTCGACGTTCATTGATTCACCCGTTTACAAGTCCTTAAAAGTGTACATAGACATTTCTGGATTAGAACTTCTTGATATAGAAAGAAGCACAAAATCTTACATATCTGTGTTCGTTTGCCCCCCGTACAATAAAATATATACTAGTCTTATATGAGCCGGAGGATTGTGAAGGCATCTCCACTTATAGAAGCTACATCATCATCATCATCATCAACTGCCTATAACAGTCCACTGCTGGACATAGGCCTTTCCTTAGAAAGGAGGTTTTGGCCTACTATACCACGCTGGCCAGACGGGTTGGTACAGGGTTTGTTTCAAGTTTTCCTTCTTTTTGCAGTGTTGTTGTCCTGTGCAGTTTGTTCCCTTAGTCATCTCTTACGACACCCACGGTATGAATAGGGGTGATGACATTCCGTATTCTTAATCCGTCACCACACCACATAGAAGCTTAGATAGCACCAATGATTGTTCTACTTCTGCCTTATAATGGTTACCAACAATCAAAGAAGAGGCTATCACCATCAGTGAAATAGATGTGGAAAATTGGAAATAAAAAAATAGAATTGTATAGTGCTAACTCACATGCTGTCTCGTTCCAACAACTCCTTCTAATCATCTGTCTTGAGTTAGAGTCAGTGAAGAATTCTCCGGCACTGGTGATGTTCGTGTTGAACAGAGTGACTACTTCCTTTCCAAGGTCCGTGCTGAAAGGAAACTTAATGCATATCTTCTACTCTGACGATAAGAAATAAAGAATAAAATATAGGGCTTTGGGTAATCGAGAAATACACTATGGGACTCGCAGTTCGAAATGTTTCAAACATAGCGGATATGGTCTAACAAAGATCATCAAACGATAGATGTTGTGTAATTATAGGGAGAATCCTGTAAGCTTTTTAATTATACCTGGAATAGGTAAAATAATCATCGCAATATTTATATTTTGCGATACAGGATCAGTCGTTCTTACCTAGTTCGGATGTCTAACACTAGACGGCGCTGAAGTACACATGAATTGAACGATAATGGTCAGTGACTTTGATAAAGGCACTTCGCTGTCCCTTGTGTACTTTTAGCGGAAGTCTTACGAATTGTTAGACTCACCCAATTGGCACGGGTCCTATGACCCATTCCAACTCCACGTACTCTTCACCGCGGTACAGTCTGATGATTTGCGTGATCCAATCCGTGTATCTCTGGCGGATCTCCTTAATAAGAGATCCTCGAATGGTGTTGTAGGATACTTTTTCTGCTACCTGGGAGAATTAAATCAATCAGCATGTTTCTTATTTTCTGTTAAAAGACAATTTGCTTCTTTTCGGAAAAGGAAGGTATTAATCTGATTAAGAAGAAGTATAGAAATATCTATAATATGCTTAACATTGGAACACAATACAGTTTCTCGCTACACATATATTTAAGGGCTTAGTAATTTTACATGAAACACAAGACGACATTTTCTTTTTCTGTGAGGCCGTGGTATCACTCGACCGGAGTGATACAACGGCCTCACAGAAAACCGGTGCTAAGCAATTCTTTCGTTTCCTTTCATTGAGTGAGTGAGGTTACCGGAGACCAAATCCCCCGCTGACTCGAGCGGAAGGGACTCAAAGGGCAGCAACACACTTGTGAATTTTGAGTTGCAGGTGTCCATGGGCGGCGGTAGTTGCTTACCATCAGGTGACCCGTCTGTTCGTTTGCCCTTATGCCATAAAAGAAACGCCAGCGTCTGGCCGTCGGCCGTGGTATAAATATAGATTGAATTCTGGCTAAGATGCAATTGTCTATACTTACTGGCACTGGTCTCGGCTTGTCAGGTCTGAAGCTGTAGGCACCAGACTGTAAAGGTTGCTGGGCTTGGGAGTAGTAGTAGAAGTTTTGCGATATGTCGATCCTGAGGCCGTCGACGTGCGTAATGGACTCTAGTAGACCAGTGTTTTTGTCTACCGATACTTTTAGATACTGAAAATTAACATGGGAAATTAAATAAGAAGTTTAAGCGGTCGCCATGCTGCTTCCTACTACGCCGAGTGTTGTGGGTTCAAACCCCACATGGGACGACACTTTGTGTGATCCACAAATTGTTGTTCTGAGTCTGGGAGTTCTTTGTGTACGTTTCGTGTATGTTTATAAAGTCCCCCGCGACACAGGATATATTCCTAATGCGGGAGTTGTCTTTTTAAAAAAAACTAAGCAGGGCTTGTACTATTAGAGCTAGATTGACTGATAGAATACTAATATACTTTTTTTTTGTAAATACATACATATTATACATAGAAAACACTTAAACTCCGAAACAGATATGTGAACATCATACAAATATTTGGTCCGACCCGGCAATCTAACCCGAGATGAGGTCTCGCAGTCGCATACGCTACCACTGCACCACTGAGGCAGTGATTATTGTATATTATACTTACAACGCAATAGTTTATGAAAATTGAATCTAATTTGTTTGTCTAATTAAATTCATCCGTGTGGTGACGGATTAAGAATACGAAGTGTCATCCGGTGGGTGTCGTAAGAGCCGACTAAGGGAGAAAACCGCGCAGGCCAACAGTACTGCAAAGAGAAGGAAAACTTGACACAAACCCTATACCAACCTGCCTGGCCAAAGTGGTATAGTAGGCCAAAACCTCCTTTCTAAAGAGAGGCCTATGTCCAGCAGTGGACTATTAAAGTCTGATGATGATGAATCTAATTTGCTTCATACCTCGTTGGAAATGAAAGGAATTATTTCTTGTTCAGCTTCTATTTTCCCTTGGGCCGATTTTTTGTGATACTCATTCTCCTCCTGCGATAGAATATATTAAAACTTTAATGTTATTGAGAATGGCTATTGCCAGATATTGTAGAAGTAAAAGCCTTATTCCGAGTAGGATATACGATGAATTAAAAAGAATAAAAAAAGGTTTTATTCTGTAAAAAGAAAACACAGCATACAACTTATGTTGAAAGAAAAAAGCAGTGTGGTGTCGTGGGACACCCGATAGGAACGAAGTTGTGACGATCGAGTAAAACTGATTCGACACGATTTTAATTACAACGCCATCTATGAACGCGGCCATTACCTACATATTTTTCAGTTGGTTTCTAATTAAAACAATTTATACATTGGTAAAATCTCCTTGAGAAATGATTTCCTATCTATTCGATAGATGGTGCTGAATGACTGACATAAAAAGTGTCGTTACAACTTTTCGTGAGAATTTTTCCGTCTAGCCCCCTTTCACAACGCGCGATAAGAAACTTCGTTCCAAAAAGAAAACACAAAATACATTTTAAATGACATTACATTTTTGAGATTTATAGCTGTTGGCCTGTAGTACGTGCAACACTACACTACGCTATCTGTGGTCATGGTCATATATGAAGTGGTGCTGACGTGTGATCACTATTATTTTAGGTCAAGTAGGCTTCTCATCTCAACCACATGGATAACTTGTGTTAATGAGCGTTGTACGCCGTGTCCCACAGAACAGGTGGACCCTCAGCATTTACTGCGACGGATATGGTCCGTCCCAGCACTGATTTTCAGATGTACTTATTATATATATTAGTTTTAACGTGTAATTGTTGCAATCTCTCTAAAACACAAAGGGAGGTACTTCTGACAACGCAATTCGGACCGCGACCTTCTAACACCTGTTAGGAGAGGCCGTTACTATCACAGTAATTGTTCCAGGTATTCTGGGATGGGTGGTGGTGACAGCCTGCAAAGACTTCACCACATAGAAAAAAAAACATGTTGTGGTTATATTGGTATGGTCAAAATACTCTGGATTGGTCTTACCATTTGGTCTCTTACTGGTGAAATGTAATATGCGGTAAAACCTAGAGGTGGTATGTTCTCTGCTTCGAAGTACAACTCCTGAATGGCTGTAGAGGATCTACCGGGGAGGTTGATGATGGCAGCTGGGAGAGGTACCAGTTGGTATTCCACTTCTTCATCTGGGGAAAAATGGATCTTTTCAGCCAAGTAAACAAAAAAAATTTAAAACAACATTCTTATCTATTTAATTAGTAAGGCAGCATATCTTCAGATCTATCGAGACCGTGATGTCTAGTATAAATCTGTGTTTTTCTTAAAACCAACTCAAAAATGAAAATTATAAAAGTGTAAAACAAAAAGTGTCATTTTTTATTTTGGTAATGGTAATCCGTGTGGTGAAAACTATTAAGAATAATGCGTGTCACCACCCTTATTGATCCCGTGGGTGTCGTAAGAGCCGACCAAGACAGTAAACAACGCAGGACAACAGCACTGCAATGAGAAGGAAAACTTGAAACAAACCCTTTTTTTTTTTTTTTTTTTTTTAACGTGTGGAAATCCCCTCGGACCGTCACCCCTCCGGGGTTTGCGGCGGGGTGGTGTGTCGGACTCGGACCGACTAAAACCACACGGTGTGCCACTCTGCGCCTGTAACAGGAGGGATCCGGGAACAGCTGTTGTTAAGACATCCGGACCCCTCCTAGCGCCAGCCCGCTCCTGGTGCGGGCTCCGTCTCGATATTGTTCCTCTCTTTTTAGGCGACGTCCGGCACACGCGGACGCCGCCCCCTCGCGGCTGGCCAAACTAATGCGGGTGGAGGGGAAACCCACCCCGTCCACCCGCGGCCACACTCAGGGCGGCATGAGGCTGTGGTAGGCGGGCCTCCGCCGCCCGGTTCGCCGGCGGCGGATCGGGTCCGAGTGGAGGTCGTCCTCCCGGGCCCTCTCCGCCGCCTCCTTCCGCGAGATTACTACCTCGCAGAAGGTTGCGACCGCGGTAAAACAACTGTCGCTACCGGCCATGGAGCGTACTACGGCCGGTAGCGAGAGATCCACTCCGATGACTGCAGTGAGGGCCCGGCGCTGCGCCGCCCATGCGGGGCAGACCGCCAGCGTGTGCTGGGCCGAGTCCTCACTGCAGTCGCAGTGGTGGCAGGCGGGACTCAGTTCCCTCCTAGCGACCGTGTGCAGGTACTTTCCGAAGCAACCGTGCCCGGAAAGCACCTGCGTCAGTCGGAAGGAAAGGGTCCCGTGCTGCCGCCCTGCCCACTCGGCGATGACCGGCTGGAGAGCCTCCACGGCGGCGAAGCCAGCGCGTGGAGTCTCCAGCCGGAACGACCAACGAGCCATCGTGGCTCGGCGAGCGGCTTCGCGCCACTCGCGCACATCCTCGGGCGGAGGGCGAAATCCGCCTTCCGCCCGGAAGTCAGCCACTCGCCGATAAACTTCGGCGAGCACTTCCGCCTCCAAATCCCACGGGGGAGTTCCGGCCAACGCGCATGCCACCTCCGTAGAAACGGTGCGGTAACCGCGTATGGCTCTGACCGCCATTACCCTCTGAGGGCGCCAGAGGCGTACCCTATTCTGGGCGGTCAGAGCCGCCGCCCACACCGGTGCACCGTACAGCGCCATTGACCGGACAACCCCCGTGTACAGCCGTCTTGTCGCGACGCTGGGTCCACCCATATTGGGCAAGAGTCGCCCTAGGGCAGACGCAGCGCCGACCAGCTTTGGAGCAAGCTGTCGGAAGTGCTCGTCGAAGAGCCACCTCCCGTCGAGGATCAGGCCCAGATATTTCATCTGGGCCCGAACCGGTACGAGGACCGAGTTGACCACGATTGAGGCGCCAGGGGGTGGACCACGACGGGGCCCATGGAATAACAGGGCCTCCGTCTTATCTAGGGCCACCCGTAAGCCCAGCGCCTCAATGCGCCCGACCACCAGGGAGACTCCCCCTGTGGCCAGGCGCGCCGCCTCTTGGAAGTTTGCCCCCCGGGCTGTCACGAGGGTATCGTCTGCGTAACAGATTACACCCAGCCCGGGGGGGAAATCGGCGCGAAGGGCCCAGTCGTACCCTATGTTCCACAAGAGGGGTCCAAGAACAGACCCCTGTGGAACACCGCACGACATGGGCCGACACCTCAAATAACCTTCTCGGTCCTCGTACACGACGGTACGCTCCTCTAAATAGTCTGCCACCAGCCGCCTCAGGTACTTTGGCACCCCATGATAGTGGAGTGCTTCCCTGATGCAGCTGAATGGCAGACTATTGAATGCGTTGGCGATGTCTAATGACACCGCCAACAGCACGCCGCCACAGCTCACGGCCTCTTCGGTCACGGCCCTCAGGCGCAACACGGCGTCGACTGTCGAACGCCCCGCCCGAAAACCAAATTGGGCGTCCGACAGATCGGGGCCCACCTCGCAGAGGTGCCGGACGATGCGGGCAGAAAGAACCCTCTCAAACAATTTGCCCGCCTCGTCCAGCAGCACGATGGGCCTATAGGCCGCGACCGAATCGGCAGGCCGTCCCGGCTTCTGCAGCAGGACCAGCTTCCCGCATTTCCAGCGCTCAGGGAAGCGTCCGGACGCCAGGCTAGCGTCCAACACCCCCCTGAGGTGGTCCGACATGTAGTCGAGGGCTCGGGCCATCACTCGGGCTGGAACCCCGTCCGGCCCGGGGGCGGTGTTCTTGGATCGAATCCGTAGAACAGCCGCCCCCAACTCCGATTCCCTGACGGGCGGAACATCGACCTCGCTGCCCCCGTCGTCTCCGGCTGATGCAGCCATCGACGGGGGTGTGTGCTCCGCCCGCTGCGGGAATAGGCCCTCGACCACTTCCTGCAGGAAGCTGGGCTGGAGAGTCTCCGTAAGGGGGGGGCCCAACGCGCGGAGCTTTTGTCGCACCGCGCGGTAAGGGCGACCCCAGGGGTCACGATTAAGACCCTCCAGCATCTCCTGTCTCTTTTCCTCTTTGGCGCGGCTAATGGCCAGCTTCAGAGTTTTCCGCGCCCGCCGGTACTCCTCATGAAGCCGGTCCTCCTCACCGTCTCCACGGTGACGCCGCCGACTGCGTGTGTAGGACCTCCGGGCACGTGTACAAGCCGCACGGAGGTCCGCCAGCTCCTGGGACCACCAGTAGACCTCCTTCCTTGGAGGCCGACGACCTCGAATGCGGGGCATGGCCGCATCGCAGATATGCGTAATCGCATCGCGAAAGCGGCCAGCCCCCACGTCGACCTCCTCGGTCGGAGCCCGAGGAGACAGCCACGAGTGAATTATGGCTGCCTCCTCTAGTAGGTCCCGGTTCAGTCTGGCAACAGCCCACCGCGGAAAGCGGGATAAACGCCGCGCCACGTGACCCCTACTGGAGTCCTGGGTCCGGGAGAGCTCAAATCGGATATACAGGTGATCCGAGAGCGTCTCAACCTCTTCCAGGACACACCAGTTCCTTACTCGTGCGGCGAGGGCAGGGGTAGCGAACGAGAGGTCCACTATCGACCCCCCCTGCTGTCGCACGCACGTGTTGGTGGAGCCTCTGTTTAGAAGACAGAGGCCCACCGAGGCCGCCCACTCCTCTACGGCCTCGCCCCTTGCGTCCGTCCTGGGGGAACCCCACGCAATGGACTTTGCGTTGAAGTCCCCCAGCACAAGGACGTGCCCAGACGCTAGTCGCCGTATCGAGGTCTCCAAGCTGGTTAGGAAAACCTCGAAGTCGTTCAAACTCCGGTTGGGGGAGAAATAAACACCATATATGGTGATCCCCCCCCACTCGACGGCAAACATATCCAGTGCCCTTGTCTCTTAGCGACAAGGGCGGGGAATGAGCCGTCGTGGAACCGACGACTGCCACGGAGCCGTCCCAGTCACCCATCCAGTTTGGACGGGGAGGGACAGAATAGGGCTCCGCGACTACGGCAACACCTATCGACCACTGTGCCATGGTTTGCAGGAAGAGATCCTGCGCCGCGGCACAGTGGTTCAGGTTCGTCTGGACCAGGAGGCTGGAGACCCGATCCATTACTGGATCGTCTCTACAGCCTCCTCCATGGGCGACGACGTCGACGCACGAACTACATCGGAGGCAGCCTGGGTCGACTGGCTAGCCCCCGATGCTTGCTGAGAGTTGCGGGGAGGCTTGCAGCCCCCCTGCCCCATCTGGTGATTGGCGGGCTTGTTACCCGCCGCACACACCGGGCAGTGAGGGGCGGCAGAGCATTCCACCGCCACATGCCCCGGTCGACCACAGCGGAAACAGAGTCCGCTGCAGTCAAAGCAGCTTTGGCACTTGACGCGCGTGTGCCCCGATGCTAGGCATTTGTAACACCTCATCGGTCTCGCCGCCAGGACTGTGATCCTGGCGCTCACGAAACCGATGAGCAGCCTGCCGGCGTCGGCCAATACTTTGGCCGACGCTACGGGGACAGCTGACCCACACGGCGCCAAGCCCCCCCTGGACCGGGGCGGATGGTGCCGACCCTGACGTTGTCCGCGCTGCACCCCGTCTTCTCCCGGATTACAGCGCGGACATCTTCGGCCGTCACAGAGTCGTCCAGGCCCGAGATGCGCAGCTCCGCGCACTTGGTAGGCCTGGCGACCCTCACACCATCTGTAGTCGCGAATATACCCCGCAGCCTCTCAGCAAACGAGTCCGCCGTCTTTGCGCCTTCAGCCCCAGGGAACTCGAGGACTCGAGCTCCCGTTTGGGCGAGGCGCATCCTGACCCCCACCGTTCCAAAATCGTTGGCGAGGCTGTCCCGGGCCTTTTTGAAAACGGCCGCGTAGGACAGCCCGCCGTCCGCCGCCTCCGGGGACACGGTCACCACTACAGCCGCGGTTTTGGGCGGCTGCAGCTTCCGCGGCCTCTTTGTGGAGGCCGTTGCCACCGGTGGCGAAGGCTGGGCCTGGGCTGCTTTTTTGGCAGCCTTTTTGGCCCGCCTTCGGGACTTCTTGGAGCCCCTCGCCTCCTGCCAACCCTCGTTGGAGGGGGCAGGTGCGGAGGGGCCCGGCAGGGGTGTCGGAGTGGGGAGCGGAGGGAATGCCACTCCGCTCCTCGGCGCCGTTTTAGGCCCCGTCTTGGCCGGCGCCTGGGGATGTGCCTTGGCCGGCGCCTTAGCCGGTGCCTTGGCCGGCGCCTGGGCCGGTGCCTTGGCCCCCCTCCTCGGCTTTTGGGGAGCCGATGGAGTCGGGGCAGACGCCGCCGCCGCGTAGGAGACGCGGCCTCCCACTACGGGGAGCGCGGTCGGAGCGGCGGCCTTAGGCCGCTGTGTCGACGCGAGCGGGGGGCGCATACTCGGCGCAGGAGGCAATCTCGCCTCCAGGCCAGCCAGGCGTCCGTCCAGCATATTCCCAACTGCGATGAGGATTTCTCGCAGTTGGGAGTCAAATGCCCCTGAGTTGGTGGTAGGGGCAGGCTGGGACGCGGACGGGGCTTCCCGCTCGGGGAGGTTCGCCTGGAAGCGGGCGAACTGAGCGCTCAGCTCGTTCACCCGCTCCGTCAGCTTCTCGTTGGCCACCTGCAGGCGAGAGACGTCGCCCGCTAGGCCCTCCACGACCTCCGACAAAGCGGAGGAGGAGTCCTTAAGGGCCCTCACAAACGAGCCCTTAAGGTTCACGGATTTGGTGGCCACCTTGTTGATGACGGCCACCGCCGCTTTCGCCCTCTCCTGCACGGACACGGGAGCCTGGGGGGCATTTCCCCCCACCGGCTCCCGAACCTTGAGCAGGAGATCCGCGATCTCCTCCTCCGCTACGGCCTCGCCGTCCACCCGTACACTTCTGTAGGACTCCGCGTTTGAGAACGCGGAGCCTGACGGGGTTAAGACCGGGGCCGAGGCCGGTTTGCGCGCCCTCCCTCGGCGGCTGCTTGCCACCTTCGGTGGCATCATCTCCTGGGACGTGTCGGTTTCCTCGTCCCTGGAGCGTCCTCGTTTCCGGCTGTCGCTTCGCTCCGCCTCCATGGCGTCAGCGCCATCCGACGAAACGGCGGATCCGGAGCGCAGCCGATCTGATGCTCTTCGGCTCCCAGAGACCAGCGTCAGACTGACTTCTGGGAGCCCCATCGAGATAGGCGTTCCCGACGCTATCTCACCCTCCGTGGATGACCCATCCACTCCACTGTTCCTCCTCTTCGTCTCATTGTCCGTTAGGCTTGCCTTTGTCTGTTGTGTGTTTTTCTTTCCGATCGTTTTCTTTTTAGTTAAATTAATATTTTCCATAATAATCCCACGAGTGGGGGAGAACTAAAGGTCCACCCGGGCAGAGATCCCCCATTACCCGGGCAAGCGTAAGTTTTTAACCCAACCGAGGGGTCCGCAGGTACCTCGGCTTGGAGTGCGCTCGCGACTGAACTTCCCATCAGCCATGCATCCCCTGGCCACGCACCAGAACACGGGATTCGGGGAATTTTTTAGAGAGGTTATCTTCCTCGCGGTCCGGGCGGTTAAGCCAAGACCCTCGCCCCCGATCAGAGCCGCGAGACTTAACCACAGCGCTCTTCTCGGGATTACGATATGCCGACGGTTGACAGGGGGGACTACGTCCCCCTGCCTGCTCGGTGGTAGTGTGAGTACACGCCGAGCCCGTCCTCCTTTCTCCACCGCTGTCAGCGGAGAAACTGTGGCCCCTACAGGGCCCCGCCATCAGGTTTTTTACCGAGGTTTCCTCCTCCATGCTCCGAAGAGCGAAGAGCCAGCAGGGCAACCGGCAGACACGCCCACCCTGCTGGACCAGGCCTTGCCCGAGAGCCGATGAACGGCTGCCTCTTCTGCTAGAATATTGGCCGCTGGCGATAATCCTCTCCTCCAAGAGGACAAGGAGGGAACAGTACCATCGCCAGCGTTTCCAGGGTGCACCACGAGGAGGTTTTCTAGCCCAGCACCCCAAACCCTATACCAACCTGGCTAGTGTGGTAAAGTAGGCCAAAACCTCCAGTCTTAGGAGAGGTATATGTTTAGCAGAGGACTGTTAAAGACTGTTGATGATGATGATAAATCGAAGGTGATGGGTGGGTACATCATATTTACCATTATAATCCCTGATAGAGTAGTGCAGAGCAATGGCGGGTAACCGTACGTGGTGATAAGTTTTTATGCTCAATGGGTTGTAGACCACGAGCAACATGGATTCTTGGCTTTCTGTGAACTGTGAACAAAAGCATTGCTGACTTAAAGTTTAACATTTCATGGTGCATAGACATATTTCATGAAAAACAATATGTGTTTTGTTAAGCTTGAAAAAAATTTGGGACAAAGATTTTGATTTTATGAATAATGATAGTGGTGTTAATTCTGTTGTTCGAAACTCTCTAAAATCACAAAAAATTAGTTTAGTCCTGTCAAGTACTACGTTTTCAGAATACGAAATATCTTTTTGACAGGGCTAGGATTTCGTGAATTAACATGTTTAAATCCTTTTTAAAAAGAAGTTGAACCGACTTCAAACAATACCAACACAGAGCCCTAAGAACCTAGCAGCAATTGCGGTTAATTTGATGTCATTTTTTGAAAAGTTCCCTTGTCTGTCAATATGAAATTTAAATGGGACCATTTCGGAATAGAACCGTTTTGAAGAAAAAAGGAATTTTGAAAATCCGTCTATATATGACGGAGTTATGCCCGAACATACATTAAAAAAAAAAAGAATTGATAACCTTCTCCTTTTTGAAGTTCTTTGAAGTAGAAGAAATAAAAGAAAAAAAAAAATAAGATGCAGAAACATCAAGGTCTTAATATTTCTTTGTTCTTCTAAGGACTGGAAATGCCCGGCACGATAGCACGGTCTTAGAAAAAACCAATGTTTAGCCATTTTTTCATTGCTTTTCACTGCGTCTGTGGGCTTACCGGAGAACAAGCTCTCTCTCTCCTCCCCTTCTTTTTTGTTTTTCTGTGTGGAATTCCCCTGGGATACCACTTACCGGTGGCAATGTCGGACTCGAACCGATTAAAACCGCACGCCGTCTTAGGTACCAGTAGTCGGGGAACCAGGTGTACCCTAGAGAGGAAATCCCTGGTGCCCCGACGTTCTCTCCTCCCCTGATTCTAAAGGGAGCGAGAGACACTTTAAAAGACCGTAACGCACATATGACTCAGTAGATCCGTCTGCTCGTTTTGCCGAACAAGGAAGTATTTTTTGTAACAATATTTTGAAACAGCAATCTACTTACTCTGCACTGACTCATGTTTAACTGGTGACATATAATGAACTGCTGGTTGTTCTTGGAGCGTCTGCTCCCACCCCACGTTGGGGTCAAGAAGCTGAAACATTAATATTCATCATCAAAATTTTCTTACAATAAGTTAAGAAGTAACAGGTATGTACATGTTATGCGGAGGGATGAGGAAAACATGGCGAAGAAAGTGTTAGGAGTTAAAGGGTACAAGAGAAGAGGAAGACCAAAGAAAAGGTGGATGGACTGTGTGAGTAAGGATATGGCTAGGAAGGGAGTAAACAGTGAAATTATGAATGATAGAGAAGAATGGAAGAATCGTATTTATGCCACCGATCCCAAATAAAGTTCGGATAAGGGTAGGCAGATTGTGATGATGAATGAACCTTTCATTTCATCTCTTATAATTCTACGACTTTCTTCTTCAAAATTGAATGAGACCAAACGGGAAACAAGCATATCCCAAATGAAAAAATCGCAGTCGCAGGACGTCTAGTACATGTGCAACATCGAAATTATTTTGTATATTTTTTTTAACTATCACAACATTATATGTTACAGAAACCTTCTAGTCCCCTGATTCTGGGGGGAGGGACTAGAAAGGTGTCGATGCACTTGCGGCTTATGTGTCTATGGATGGCGGTAGTTACCATTAGGTGACCCATTTGCTTGTTTGCCTCTCCACTACCACTAAAAATGTCCAGAATTCTGCAGACCAACAATGTTTAATAGATATTCAATTGTACCTGAGCAGATTTGAAACTTTCTTTGTGCAAGAGTCGATGGCTTCAGTCAATATTCTGACAAAATCATTGGTGACGTGTTGTTGGCTGGTTCCTGCAAATTATAGTAAGGAATAGGTATTCCACTCCCAAGTCAGGCAAGCAGGGGGCCATAAACAAAAAAAAACAAAAAATCCATAACTAATTCGTAATAAAATAAAGGACTGACTAAAAGAGGGTATCGAGTGATCAAGGAGGGTGGAAGAAGAAACTCATTGCACCGACACCAAATAAATTTAGGTAAAGGGTACGGTGATGATGATGAAGTAAAAATGTTGTGAAAAAAGTTTTTTTTTCTTTTTTTAATACATTCACATAACGCCATCTAGTCCCAAACTAAGCAGAGCTTGTACTATGGGTACTAGACAACTGATATAAATACATATATACTTTTTTTTTTGTAAACACGTACTTATTATACATAGAAACACCCAGACCAAATCAAACATTAAATGTTCATGCACACAAATGTTTGACTTGAGCGGGAATCGAACCCGCGACCTTTGGAATAGCAGTCCGTTACACAAACCACTACGCCATCCGGTCGTCGAATTATTTAATTATGTACGTATTTAGAAAGATTTAAGTATGTTTATCAGCAGTCTGGTTACCATAGCACAGGCTTGGCCTGAGATTGGACTGCCGTGTCTCAGATGTGTAAAATTATTATTACTTATTAAATAATAGTTCTAACTGTTAAGCTTTAAAATAAAAATATGGTTTTATCTGTGTCACTGTTACAAACTGTTTTGTTGTATCTGTGTCTAAGTTGTCTGTCAAAGTAAGAAAATGGTGGCAAGTGTTCTTGTTAAAAATGTGCCATTATAAGTAAAAGGCTTAAATAATGTTAAATTGTTTTCTTTTTAATATAAGCCCTAAAACTAACCTGTGATAGCATCGTGATGAAGTACCAGGCTGACAGCGTGACGGAGCAGATGCAACTCGTACGAGTCTCCCATCTTTGCTAATACTGTCAACTGTTTTACCACCTGAAATGGATAAACTTCGTGAGGCGTTGGAACGATATTCCTTTCGCTCTTTGGTAGACGTTTGCTATACAGTCATTATTGGAACGAAGTTCCTTATCGCGCGTTGTGAAAGGGGGCTAGACGGAAAAAAATCTCACGAAAAGTTGTAACGACACTTTTTATTTTGAATTGTCACTTGTCAGTCATTCAGCGCCATCTATCGAATAGATAGGAAATCATTACTTTTCATCTCAGTAAAATTAAAATTTATGTTCTTAGGTTGAGCAAAAAATATTGTATTCGACATCATTTCTCAAGGAGATTTTACCAATGTATAAATTGTTTTAATTAGAAACCAACTGAAAAATATGTAGGTAATAGCCGCTTTCATAGATGGCGTTGTAATTAAAATCGTGTCGAATCAGTTTTACTCGATCGTCACAACTTCGTTCCTATCGGGTGTCCCACGACACCACACGGCTTTAATTTATATTATAAGAAGATCTATGTGAGTCGATGTATATAGTTCATACACGGCTGTAACTATAGCAAGAAGTGTCGGAATAAAGTCTTGTTACACATTTTTCGGTCTCGCTCCCATCCACTCAGAGCCTGTAACGCGCGATAAGGAACTTCGTGCCAATAAATTAATGACCCCAAAGTATAAAATATACAATAGATGGTTAATAAAGAGTTTTTTTTATTGAATATGCACTATATCAGCAAAAAAATAAAGTACAATTTTAATTGCGCGTAAACAGTAATCTCCCCGTGACGGGCGGTGACGGATTAAGAATACAGAGTGTCACCACCCCTATGGGCATGGGCGTCGTAAGAGACGACTAAGGGAGCAAAGAACACAGAACAACTGTACTGCAAAGAGAAGGAAAACTTAAAACAAACCCTATACCAACCCGTCTGGCCACCAGTAGGCTAAAACCTCCTTTCTAAGGAGAGGCCTATGTCCAGCAGTGTGAGTGGGTGGTGACACTCCGTATTCTTAAACCGTCACAAGGACGTGTGACCGACGTTCCGAATATATTTACTTTAAACACAACTCATTCAATAATTTTCCTACATATGGTTAAAACAAGACTTCAAATTTGAATGGGATCAAACAGGAAGTAATATTTTAATAACTTTCCAATAAAAAATATTTCTCCAAATCGATTCACAAATGACACAGTTCTGAGATAAAAATTCGGAACAAAATATTAGAACGACCTTATTTTGGAGAGGCCTATGTCCAGCAGTGGACTATTAAAGACTGTTGTTGTTGTATTAAATAAACTTACTTGAAGAAACACGTGAGCTCTCCTTGTCAGATATTTAATGCTGGGCCTGGAACTATAATATCCTGTCCAGTACGTGACTAAGTCACTTCCATAAGGTAGATGGTCACCCTGAAATACGATAGTCACGCATCAATAATTAATTAAAACATAAAGCAATGTTAATGTTAATCTTTCGTGGTTTTTCTCCGAGTGAGTGAAGTTTCCTTAGTCTAATGCCCCTTCACTTGATTGGGTATGGGGGGGGGGGGTCAAATAGCGGTAACTCTCTTGTGACTCTTGAGTTGAAGGTATCCATAGGTGGTGGTCACTTACCATCAGTTGACGTTGACATCCGTATACCATGAATAAGCACCAAACACAGCATAAAATGTTCAGTGAAATTAATCAGAAAATTTTAAAGGCATTTAAAATTTTGAAAGTAACGGTTACTATGTTCACACGGGGCCGTTATTAAACTAGTCATTATTCGTTAATCAATACACATAAAATTACACGCTTGACTGACTGATGCATCAACGCAGAGCCTAAACCCCTGATGATAAGAATTTGAAATGTTGGTAGCTGATACTTTCATTGTAAGAACCCAATAAGAAAGGATTTTCAAAATTTCACACCTAGTAGGAAGAAATAATCACGACAGTGAAGCCGCGGCCAATGGCTAGTACCTAATAAAGTGTTTAAGTACTAATACGCTGAGTGTTGTGGGTTTGATCCCCACATGGGACGACACTTTGTATGATCCACAAATTGTAGTTCTGAGTCTGGGTGTTCTTTGTGCTCGTTCCATGAATGTAAAGTCCCCCGCGACACATGATATATTCCTAATGCGGAAGTTTTCTTTTAAAAGAAAAGTATTCAACAGACACAGTGTGTACCACTCTTAAATTAACCTACAATTGATCCACAAATTATTGTTCTGAGTCTGGTTGTTCTTTGTGTCCGTTTCATGTATGTTTGTAAAGTTCCCCGCGACACAGGATATATTCGTAATGCGGGAGTTGTCTTTAAGAAAAACTCACCTTCTCAGTAAAGACAGCCTTATCTCTTCTCCCGTACAGGTAAATAGCTTTAAGATAACACGATGGCGTCGAATAGAATATGTTAATATCAGAAATGTTCGCAGGATGGGTGTTCACATGGCTGAATAAAAACAGTATCATTTAATTTAAAATGTAAAAACATATAGACTATAAAGACTAAGCCATACAGTGGTATGTTTCTTCTGTTTTAATTTTAGAGGTTGTTGGTTCGATCCCCATCCAGAAGAAACAATTTTACGATGAGCACGATCATTTGTTCTGTGTCTGGGTGTAATCTTATATATAAAATTCTCGTGTCACAATGTTAGTTACCATACTCCTCCGAAACGGCTGGACCGATTTTTATGAAATTTTGTGTGCACATCGGGTAGGTCTGAGAATCGGCCAACATCTATTTTTCATATCCCTAAATGACAAGGGTGACCCACCCCTATTTTTTTAATAGAAATAATAATATTCGTAGTAATGTGTATTTCGTAGAAATAATGTATATGGCAAAACAACATTTGCCGTGTCAGCTAGTCTATCTATAATATGTATGAATTTGGAAATATACAGGGTTACTGGTTAAGTTTACCTATACACTAGGAGGTTACAGTTTGCCATAATTGCTGATAGATCTTACTAAACTTTTTTAAACTCAAATCCCCAAATTCTTCTTTTTTTTTTTAGATTTTTGTGTCGTAGTAGTTAGTTAATTGTAATTAATTTAATAAACTAATTACTAAGTATTTGATTATTTTAACATAAGAGCCAAGTTTCGTAACACATGGGCTGGTTCGACCGCAGTGCCTCACAGAAAATATCACAACACATATCATCATCAACAGCCTTTAATAGTGCACTGCTGGATATAACCCTCTCCTTAGAAATTAGGTTTTGGCCTACCACGCTGACCAAACGGGTTGGTATAGGGTTTATGTCAAGTTTTCCTTCTCTTTGCAGTGCTGTGGTCCTGCGTAGTTTGCTCCCTTAGTCGGTTCTTACGACACCCACGGAGTACATATGGGTGGTGACACTCCGTATTCTTCTTAATCGATCACCTCACGGATAGACGGATAGATGTTAAGCAATTTACGGAGTGTCAACTAACCTCTAAGTTCTAAGGCCCTTCTTAAAAGTTGGCAACAAACTTGTGAGTATGCCTCTTAGTGTGTGTTGATGGACGGCGGTATTCATTTACCATCCGGAGACTGTCAAAATAACCTCACCACTTACTTGATAAGTTTGTCCATATTCATGAACCAGTTGGCTGCGCTCTGGTACGTGAAGTCACCTCCCATGGTCACCATAATATTGTCATGGTCATAGTACTTCGCCTGCCTCTCTATTTGTGTTATAAAATCATTTACCTGTAAAAAGTAGGAGTAAGTAGGAGATGGAATTAAGTTTAAATACTCACAGTCTATACACATTCATCCGTATTAGGTTCTTTTCAGAATGGCGTCATCATCACCTTTTTGTTTCCATTGCACAGCTTATTTAAAATCGGCGCAGTGTGACACTGCATAGGGTTTCAGCTGGTTTCTTTAATTGCCTCATGTCTAATGCGAAATCTCTTGGGAATATAATAGCTTTTTTAAGGAAGGAGAACGTAAATTTGGTAAAGGGAAAACGAATATGGCGAGAGAGCTAGGGTAACTAATACTGTCATCATCATCATCAACAGCCTATACTAGTCCACTGTTGGACATAGGCCTCTCCTTAGAAAGGAGGTTTTGGCCTACTATACCACGCTGGCCAGACGGGTTGGTATAGGGTTTGTTTCAAGTTTTCCTTCTCTTTGCAGTGCTGTTGTCCTGCTTAGTTTGCTCCCTTAGTCGGCTCTTACGACACCCACGGGATGAATTGGGGTGGTGACAATTTGTATTCTTAATCCCTCACCACACGGACACTGTAAGTCAATACTGTAAGTCTCATATTTGGAAATGGGCAGACTTTAATAGCTCGTTGAGAGCAGGGTTGCGTACCCGTATGATAGTCTTGTAATGCCTGGTAATACCAAGATGATTTCAAGGAATATACATTTTAAAAAAAACAGTGAGAACAATAAAAATTGGCATAAAATGCTGACTTTTGAACTGTCGCCTTCTATATTTTGTTTTTGGAATTAACGAGCTCACGATACATATAAGTTAAGATGGTGGACTACTGCCGGTGTAACCCCAATATTCTCTGTCTCACTCTTTTAAGAAGACATCTAGAGAATTTTTAGGTTTTAACATCATTATTTAATTAAGATCTGTAGATACTAATACCTTCCGTGTAGTGTTGTCCGTGTAGTGACGGATTAAGAATACGGAATATCACTACCCCAATACATCCCGTTTGTGTCGTAAGAGCCGACTAAGGGCGCAAAACAACGCAGGACACCAGCATTGCAAAAAGAAAGAAAACTTGACACAAACCCTATACCAACCCGTCTGGCCATCGTGGTATAGTAGGCCAAAACCTCCTTTCTAAGGAGAGGCCTATGTCCAGCAGTGGACTATTAAAGGCTGTTGATGTGATGTGATGATGAGATACTAATACGGATGTATGTGGGATAGACTTTTTTATGTTTTAGTAAAGGTAACTACCACTGCACTTAAGCCCTGTCGGTTCTAAGGACAGGGTATGTCATTAGTAATTTATATAAGTATTGCTAATATAGGAAACTCAAAAAAGTAAATAAACTATAAAATATTTGTTTCTATTTATTTAAAAAAGGCTAATGGCGTATCTGTTGTCTCTAGCCCTTTTTCTAGATACACTTGTGCAAAGGTGAGGTAACTAATATTAAATAAACTTTTTTATATAGTAAAATAAAAAAAAGTCACGCATGGGATTTAAAAAAAATAAATATAAAAATGAAAAAAATTTTCATTTTTAAAAAATTCTAAAAAATTTACGTTACTTTTTAATAAAATTATAGTTGTGTTTTTTATTTATATCGTTCCAAACCCAATTAGGATTATTCCTTCTTGGAAGAAGGAGGACCTTTGTGGAGCAAACTCGTCAAGGACCCAGAATATCTCACCACCCCTTGCTAAGCTCCAGATCTAGTGAGGTATCTTCGAAATATATACGTAAGTAAAGCCGTAGTTTTATAATAATCAATAACAAATATAGATTGTAAGCTATAAAAATGCATGCTAATATAGTAAAAATATATACACTCTTATACCTATATTATAAATACCGATAAATGTTCCCAAGATCGGTACCGATACTAAAATACTTGTATTGATGTATTTACACAAATTAACCGTGTTAATAATATATAACCGGTATTTCTTACAGTGCATTAATAAAACTCTGTAATATCTTTATACAATATCGTACTTTTTTAAAGAATCATAATAAATAAAAGCGATAATACATATTTACTAAAATACCTGCTAATAATATTTTGAAGTACTCGGACTACAAGTATTCAAATAAAGTATTTATATTCCAATAACCCTTGGGTTTAGTATTAAAACCCTAATAGTCACCTTTCCCTATACTTATTTAGTGCAGTGCTTGGAACTGGTTGAAGTTGGAATGAGAAAAATACTAAAAATCTTTAGTATGTGTATAGTATGAACTTAACGATTACAACAGTAAACAATAAAACAGGTATTTTGAAGTGAAAAATTCTTTAAGCGCGTTGGGCATTTTTGAAAAACAATTAAAATAATGTATTTTATGGTCTAACAAAAAAACACATTTTTTGAGATGTAAAACGAACATTGATCTCGCGACACTGTAACCGTTACCGACACTTCTGTTGAAGTGACAACTTCTTTAGGCTCGTTGGGCATTTTTGGGATGAGAAAAAACAATTGAACTCGCGACACTGTTACCGTTACCGACACCTCTGTATATAAGTTTTGTCGGCACTCCCGTGGTGTCAGTGTTTTTTTCTGTTGTCATCATTGATTTTTACCAACTAAGGATGTCTGAGTATTTTTATAAATTTTTTTTGTATAGAGATCGGATGTATTAGGATGTCTCACAATATTAGGATGTTAATTTTTTCCATTACCCTCTTATCCGCATTATAAACCTTGTTGTCCGGGTCGTCTATGATGGGCTCGTCGTTGCAGAGGAAGTCGAAACAGAAGCCTTCTGGAGCATTGTATAAATTGTAGAGCGTGTGTGTCATTATATCCGACATTTTGCCTGAAAATAAGAGTATTTATGTGTATTAAACTAGTTTAACCGAGTAGCTTCGTGTGCATCTCTGAAAAGGATTAAATTTTCGCCGTTTTTGCATCCATTTTTGCATCTCTGGTACGCAGGGTGCACGGCAGCGCCAACAGTATCCTGAACATGATAGATGCCACGTAGCCAGTGTTGCCACATGTGACATGACACAATCGAAACAGAATGTTTTTTAGCACAGGGTTGCCATATGTATTTTTTAATTTATTTCTGTCTATCCTCATATAAATTTTATCACATGGATTTTACATCATACGTACATGCATATGTACATACGTCTGATTGAACTCCAATTTGGACTAGCTTGGAGGAAACTAGATTCCCACGATTAGTAGGACCCCCAAAATTTGTCCGTGTAGTGACGGATTAAGAATACGGAATGTCACTGCCCCAATTCATCCCGTGGGTGTCGTAAAAGGCGACTAAGGGCGAAAAACAACGCAGGACACCAGCACTGCAAAATCCCTATACCAACCCGTCTGGCCAGCGTGGTATAGTAGGCCAAAACCTCCTTTCTAAGGAGTGACCAGCAGTGGACTATAAAAGGCTGTTGATGTGTCATATAATTTGTTTGTCGTGTATCTTAGAAATGAAATATGTTTTCTTTCTTTCTTTCTTCTATCTTTCTATATCTGGTCGGCTGGAATGTAGTTACATTCATCGTTGCCAAGCAATTGCGTACGTCATGGCGCAGCAATGACTGTTGCGTCTCATATATGTATGTTATGTGTCTTTCGTGTGTCTATTTTTCTTTGTTTTGTGGTTTTTTTTTCTTTATGTACTATACTAACACTAGTCTTTAAGAATATTGTTACTAGCAAATTGGACAGCATGGTCTGCAATCAGGTATTATTATTATTAATGCACGCCACGTAGCGTGATATAATCTTCCTCGATAAATGAGCTAACTAGGACAAAAAGAATTTTTCTATTCGGACAGGTAGAAAAAAAAAGATTTTGTCTTTAGTTACTGAGATTGGATAGGTATTAGTATAGAGGATGTGGAGTGATTGTTAAGTGAAAGCAATGTGTCATTCCGAAATTCCTAGTCTATGGTTAAAAAAAATAAATAAAAAAAAGAGGCATAGATAAGAAAGAGAGATATGAGGTGATTTTTGTACTAAGAGAAATATATGAAAAAGTTAAAAGAAGACTGAAGAAATGGTTTTGTTAAATATCAAATAGGAATCCTACTCAACTAGGAACATTACTCAACAGTGATCAAGAAGAGAGGAAGAAGGGAGCTCATTACACCGACCCCAAATAAAGGGTAAATACATAAAAGGGTAGGAAGATGGTGATGAAAATTGAAGTGACTTGCCTAGAACATCACTGCCTCTCCACATGAACTCCATCCTGTCTTCTTCTATCATAGCTTCTCTTTCCTTGTGGTCGACTCGTCCTAAAAAATTAATCAAAACAATTTCTATATAAAAAAGTTTTAAAATATTGCTTATTAAAGGTTTAGGTGCCGCCCTGAGTGAGGCCACGGAACGAATTTTCTGGAAAATCGTTCGAAGGAAGGCACACGCGCAAGTCACCTCCTTTAGACCTTAGAACTTAGAACCTTATTAGGGAGGTTTAAATTCGGGCACGCCGTCATCGCGGCGGTAAGACCCGTTATGGAGGATTGGCTCCAGAGGCGTCACGTGACCCTCTCATACCGACTGACGCAGGTGATCACTGGGAAAGGATGTTTTGGGGATTACCTGTGTCTGATCCGCAAGGAGCCAACGCCTGAGTGCCACCACTGCGATGGCCAGACCGTGGACACGGCTCTCCACACGCTGGCAGAGTGCCCGGCGTGGGTTGAGCAGAGGCGAGACCTCGTGGCGGCCATCGGAGTGGGAGTTCGATAGCCTGATTGCGGTTATCGTGCGGAGCGAGAGTGCGTGGAACTCTGCCGTCTCCTTCTGCGAGCAAGTTATGCTCGCGAAGGAGACGGCGGAGCGGGACCGGGAGAGGGTTAGGACTCTCCCGGCCCGCCAGGCCCAGGAACGGGCCAGGTACCGCAGGCGACTCAGGAGGAGAGGAGGAGGAGGAGAACGACCTACGTCCTCCATAAGCGCAGGCCTGGGGGTGACAGGTGAGGCCATCTGTTACCCTAGCAGAAGCAGGCCGGGGTGGCGGCGAAGTGCGCTCGCTTCCAGGGAGCAGAGGGAACATGGGGTTCCCACACGGGGGGAGGAGAGGCCTATGTCCAGCAGTGCACTAGTAAAGCCTGTTGTTGATGATAATGAAATTGCAAAGGCATTTAAATTTAAAACTTACCAATGAATAATCCATCATATCCCATTTGGGCCAATAAAGAGACCTGCTCCCGGGTATGTCCATATGTATCTATCTGCCACGCTGCCTTGGGCTTGCCACAGGGTCCTAGAGTGTCGTTAATTTTCCTGTAAAATGACAGAACTGTCGCGATGTAGTTCTAAAACAAAGGAGGATCTTCGAACACGCTAGGTGTCATCATGTTTGAAGACGATCACACAGTCCATCGGCGTGAGAAATTTTAATAGCTTACTAGGAAAAAATCTTCAACTTAATTATTATTTTTGAAGGGTGGTCGGCAACTACTATTTATGAAGTGAAACATTTTTAGCACCGTTGTAATTTGAACATTCGATGAAACGAAAAAGTAACAGTAAAAAGAGACAAACATATTCATAAGTAGGATTTAGTCTGCGAGAGAATGAGATAGATTACAAGTAAACAGTGTTTCCTGTAATCTTCGACTCCTTTATGCTGTCACTTGTCTTTGTACAACGAAGTCTTCAGAATTTGTGTCATAAACAACATGGAGTCTCATTCACGTGTTTTATTTCTTCACATTTGCGTATTAAACTTCGTTGGTTAATTAATTTATGTTATTTATTTAACACATCTGTGATAATTTGACCAATAATTTTTATTTATATAAATTATCTAAAATTAAATTTAATAGCATCAGTAAAATATTTGTATTGATTTTACACACAATAATATTTGTGTGTATATTGTGTAATGTTTTTAAAATTTAATATTATATAATATTGTGACAGTGTGAATATTTTCATCTTTTTATTTAATAAAATATTTTTTTTTTGACGTCTGCTGTGTGTGAATTGCACGCACACGTTTTCACACAAAAAACGTTTTTTAGGGTGGAGTAGATAGAGAAGCAGATGGATCACCTGATGGTAAGTGACTACCGCCGCTTATGGACCACTGCACTCAAGAGTCACACATGTGTTCGAGCCATCCCTAGATCCAGGGGGCGGAAGAACTCAGGAATTAAGTAGATACAGAAAACATAAATAATATCGAAGATGTGCTGGTGGATGAAGAAACTTCTACCCCATAGTCTCGACGGCGAAGGACGTGCCCCGCTGAACCAGTCATCTTGTGACCACGGCTAGTGCAACCTGGTCGAAACGTCACACGTCTATCGTTAATTCCCGTTAACATAATTTATTTATTTATTTATTTAACTTAATACACAAGTTGTACACAGGCGGACTTATTGCCCAAGGCATTCTCTGCCAGTCGGCCTTCGGGTGATGTAGAAAAATGATGCTGTAGGTGCAAGAGATAACAAAGAATTTGACTCTTTTATATTAAATTTATTAATTTAAGATAAATCTAACTTACATACATATACTATAAATAAAATACTATATTCATTACTACATATATACATAGAGGTCTCAAGTATACACATACAATAATTATGTAAGATGGGTAACTTGTAAAGAGAAGAGAAGATAAATAGAAGTGTACTGCTAGTCTATCTCCATCTCACCTTAGTCCCCAAGTAAACTGATCAATGATGTGGAGGTAATCTGGTGTAGCTTCGTCGTTGTTGACCCAACCGCCTCCAGCGAACTCCACTCTGCCTTCTTGCACCAAGGTCCTGAATGTGGCTCTGGTTGTCGGACGCTGTTCCTTCCACCAACGCCAGAAGTATGCAGTTTCAGAGAAGGTGAACCTTGGGGTTGAAATGAGAATTACGTTGTGACATGAATCTAATGAAGACCAGGCCTTCTTTTATAGCACCAGGGACTTCCTTTCTAGGGTATACCTGGTTCCCCGGCTATTAGTACCCGAGACGGCGTGCGGTTTTAGTCGGTTCGAGTCCGACATGCCACCGACCACCGGTGGTATACGAGGGGATTTCCGCACGGCAAAAAAAAAGGCCTTCTTTTATAAAATAATATTTTAGACATCTGACACGAAACGCTTAAGTTAGAAAGCTTAGTTTGAAACTAGATAGCGAGTTTCAAACTAAGCAGAGCTTGTTCTATGAAAGCTAGATTGACTGATAGAATACTTAAATACTTTTTTTGTAAATACATACATATTATACATAGAAAACAACCAAACTCCGGAACAAATATTTGCAAATCATACAAACATTTGGTACGACCCGTGAATTGAACCCGAGACCCCAGCACAGCAGTCGCATACGCTACAACTCTACCACCGAGGCAGTATTATTATAGAATTTTACTTTGTTTGCGTGGAATTTGAAAAGCTGCCTCAGCGATACGCGACCGATTAAACGGGTTTTTAGGCAGTGGTATCGTGCAAATAACCGTGTGAGCATAAAACCCGTACCAAGCCCAATGTTTTATGCCGAAAGTTCATATGGTTCGTTTGGACGAGTTAGACTCCATATAAACCATATGAACCCAAACTCGAAGGGTGTACTAGCAGAAACGGAAGAGTTATATTATCTACCTTCGGGCTTCATCATCAGATCAGCTCCAAGATGCCAAATTATAGTATTGTCATCCAAACTTCATGCACATGTAAAGTTTCAGTTTGAAACGACAATTGGAAGTGTTCGTGAACGCCTATTCAATAATAACATATGTAGGTTTTGCATTTGATTATAGTCCATCAACTGCGTGCGCGAACGTCCTGCGGGGTGACAGACGGTAGCGGGGACGAGGTACTCAAGATGTCAGCGGGTAGCGGGTGGTGTAGCGGGGAAGGGAAACGCGTGTAGCCGTGTGCTAGAATGACGCGCTACCTCGCCCCCGCCACTGTCTGTCACCCCGCGGGACGGTCGCGCACGAGATTGCCGGGTTATAGCACCTACGTCGTGAATCGATCTTTAAATAATCAATCCTGCCCCCTTCTGCCGCCCCCTTCCCCACATGCCTTGTAATTTTGTATCGAAATCACAGTATATTTGAAACCAGAAGCACAACTTACGCAATAAAAGTTCGGTTACAATTTACTTGCGATCAACTCGCGATCTCACAAATTTCATAAAAGGTATTTTCGTAGTAAAATAGTAAAGTATTACTAAGACTAGCAGAATACCGATTCAATTTTCGGTCACAATACGATATAATCACATTACAGTCAACATTGGATGTTTAATATTTATTTATTTTAAACTTAATGCACATATTGTACAAAGGCGGACTTATTGCCATTAGGCATTCTCTCCCAGTCAACCTTCAGGTGATGTAGAAATATGATGTGGTAGGGGCAAAATAAAATATGATATTAACATAATTTAGGTCCAGAAACATACACAATATAAAAACACACTTACTTTAAACACAATACTTTACTACGAAAATACCTTTTATGACAGTTGTGAGATTATTACGAGAATTGTCCTTCTGAGTATAGACTAAACAAAGAAGCGTATGCCAAACTTGATTTCTAAGAATTTTACTGTCATAGCAGGAGAGTTACGTTTTTCGAATGAATAATATTAATATATTCTACCACATACACACAACGCCATCTAGTCCCAAACTAAGCAGAGCTTGTACTATGGGTACCAGACAACTGATATAAATAGATATTTACTTTTTTTTGGAAATACATACATATTATACATAGAAACACCCAGACCAAATCAAACATCAAATGTTCATGCACACAAATGTTTGACTTGAGCGGGAATCGAACCCGCGACCTTTGGAATAGCAGTTCGTTACGCAAACCACTACGCCTTCCAGTCTTCAATATAAGTGAATGAAGTGTGTATAAATATAGTAGTAACATGAATTGAATTAGAAACATACAACAGCGCCATCTAATGAAGACGCACCGAACTACGGAGTAACTGCTAATGCCGTATCGCGAAATGAATAATTCTAATACAAAGTTCCCAAAATCAACCGTTGGGTAGCGGCCTGCAAGGCACCCGTTGCTCCACAGACAGGCTCTGTAGTCTAAACGCTTTAGAAGGTGTCGTTAGATTTGTTTTAAATGGAGAGACTTGGTATATGAATATTATACGCCGAATTAAAAAATTAAATGTACTATTCTTGAAAAACCCCTTTCAAATTTGTAGCGGCTGTCTTTTCAACGTGAAATCGGAATAGTGTTAAAAGTAATATAGAAAACAAACGCCAAAATTATTAATCGAGAAAGATGTGCGGAACGTGTGCCAGTATTGTCATATTTTCATACAGTTGGGTTCTTTGTGTTTTTTTTTCAATAATTAGCTTCTTTACATAGTTACTTACGAGTATAAGTAAAGCTAAAATTTAATAATTGTATTAAAAAAATATTAACACTGTTACGGCACTTCTTAATGACTGTAGAACATTTAAAAACGTCTGATATCTTCTGGCGCTGCATTCCACAAAGGTACGACTTGTACTTTGTAAGTCAACTACAACTATCTTCCTTTTGAAAAGAGAAAAGAAACTTACTTTCTTCTCTTATCATGGAGCAGTTCTGATAACACGGAGTGGTATATCAGTTGCACATTGGCTGTGCTGATTGTGGTTTTGGCTGCAAAAAACACATTATGTATTAGTAGTTGATTCTCTGCTCCTCTCCTAAGGGTCTCAACGTGATGTTATAACAGGATAGGCAGCCTATTGCAAGAGAAATTTGGTACTTAAAAAGAGAATGAGGAACTTCGTGAAACAGTAGATGGTTTTTGACTTTTACCAATACTTACCGTACCGGTACGTATTGGTACTAATTTACCAATACCAGTAGTAATTTACCATCCATTGGTGGAGGTGTCCATGGACGATGCAGTTGAAGAATTGCAAGTGCACTGTAGCTCTTTAAGTCTCTCCCCCCTCCCAATAGGAAATCTATCCAATCAGGGAAGGGGGGGAAAGGTTTTGACCTCCGGTAGCTTCATTCAGTCGGTGAAGAGCATCTTAAGACTTAACACCGACTTCTGATATGAAGCTATGGTATTACTCCGGACAACACGTCCCGCTAGCCCATAACTGTTGAAGCTTGGCTTTCCCGAGGTTTATTTTCCTATTTAAATTATTGTTGGCAATTTTTTTTCATAGCATAAGGATGCAAACGAGCAGACGATTCACCTGATGGTAAGTAACTACCACCGTCATTTGATACCTGGAACTCAACAACAGCCTAAACTCAACTGCCTTCTCGCCCTTTTTGTCCCTCCCCCTTTTTTTTCGGGTACTAGTAGCCGTGGAACCGGGTGTACCCTAGAAAGGAAATCCCGGGTACCCTGACGAAAATCGGGTCATTTATGGATAGTAGATGACCCTCTCTTGCTTAGTCCCCCCTAGAATCAGAGGGAAGGAGGGAAATTCGGGATCTGGTAACCTCACTCGCTCGGTAAAAAGGTCAAAATCTCAGCTTATAAAGATCAAAATGTGGATGTATGTTTTTATTTTTTACTTACTTCCATAGTAATACTGATCGAAGGTCTTTACCCATCCAGCGTCCATATGAGAATGAGGGATAAGATGAACGTTCAATGCTCCATCTCTTGTTTGAGGACATTGCTGCAACAGATTCATTCTTTAAAAGAAATGCTACTTTTGGTGTCTAAATAGGGACACTTCATAAATCACGTCACACGTTAAGGGGGAATTTTAGGGTTTAGCATTAAAAGACAGAGGGGGAAAAGGATATATTGTATATGTTCCATTCCATTTGTGCTCCAGTGAACCAGAGTCAAGGGGAACTCCCCTTGACTCTGGTTCATGTCATATGGTGGTCGCGGTCCCCTCCATGTGCTAGGGTGTCAACCCACTGAAGTGACGGTAAGGGCCTGGGAAGAAGATCTCTACTCGGTTATAAATTCCACGTTTGCCAGTGCCTAATGACAATCTAAGTGCAGTTACCAATGGATGGAACAGGCGAGGGATTTGCATGTCTAAATAAAAACTCTTTCCTGATTCTTTTTATTTCAGACTGCCATGACGCCTTATGACTGTATGATCCCTGTGGTTTTCTAGTGTTCGATTTCAATACTCCGCCTCCTTGTAAAACTAGGCGGGGTTATGGCCTGCACAAAATTTGGACATCTTGCGCTACCTCATGGAAACCAGCCGGTGGAAACCCCCTCGAGTCTTGACCTTACCAGAGCTGAGAGTGAAGTGGTAAATCGTATGGTATGTAGTTTAAATTGTATAGGACTAGGGATACGCTGATAAGGAAGCCACCGAGAACTCTTGCTTATACTAAAAACCATCTGGAGTACGAGAACCCTAATCCCCCTCTAGATAAGAGACATCCCCATTCTCTTATCTAAAGGGGCACGATTCTGCAAGGGCAGCGCTCAGTCTGAACAACAAGCCAGGCCCGCACTCTTGGCGGTCGTTCGTGTTTTGGCGGCTAGAGCGTCTACTGCGGGACGGAAGAGTGCTAGCTCTGTCCCGTTCCGCCCGCCACTTCTTTAGCCAAAATCACCTCCTGAACTTAAATCTGGTTTCCCTTAAAAACGTAAAAATATTTTATCTCATATTATAGTGGTTTTAATATGCTAAAAGAAAATGTTTGTCAGAAATGGATACATAAACTTTCTGAATAAACTTACCTTATATCCACATTCGATTTTAAGTTTCTCAGACAAAGTGCACTTAATTTCTAATGATAATATTATTAACACATACAATTTATTACTCATTTTGATTAAAAAAAAACTATCTAATCTATAACTAAACCCACGTTCTTTATTCAAAAATGAACTAAAGTGATCATTTTGAGTTCTAAACTTTGTTTAACGATATATTATTCTTATTTTAAAATTTGTCTTAGTTGTCGAATATGATTTTGAGTTACTATTTTAGTTAGACGATAGATTTGATTATTAATTTGTGTTCTAATTGTCGTTTCGTTCCTAGGAAGGCTGAAGTAAGACTGAACAATGTGCAAATGACCGAATGCTTTGAAATTGTGAAGTAACACATTTGTTTATGGTAAGGTATTGTTCACAGGCGGCCTTTGATGCATTACGTGTGCTGTTTAAATTTGTTCGTCAATATTTATTTTGTTAGGGCTATTCGTTTCAATGTTGATCGAACGCCTGTTGATTATTTTGTATAGGTACACTTGTAAATATCCTATACGGAAGAATATAATAACTCCTCTATCGACTAATCATGCACTCTTGAAAAATACTTGACCTCATTTTCTTACTCTTTTCCAGAACTTGAGGTCGATGTAATGACAGTCCGTGTGGATTGAGAATAAGGAATGTCACCACCCCTATTCATACTGTAGGAGCCGACTTAGAGAAAACAGCACTGAAAAGGTAAGGAAAACTTGACACAAACCCTGTACTAGTACCAACGGACTATCTCGGACTATCTTTATGCCAAATTTGATCTAAATCGGTTCAGCGGTTTCACACAGACAGATAGAAAGACAAACAGACAGACACACTTTCGCATTATAATATTAGTATAGATTTTTTTTTGTGTATATGTAAGTTTAGTATTGGCTGGTAAAGTTAGTTCACATTTAGTAACTTTCTGGTGGTTTTGAGTGTTTCCACAAATGTCTTGCTAGCGGTAGTGTCGCGCTTTGGGTCGTTGATCTTGACTAATATCTGTTAAGCTACATGATGACTGGGGCCCCAGTCATCATGTAGCTTAACTGATATTAGTGAGTATGCCCTCTGTATGCACAGGTCGACTTAAATCTATAGTCCTTTCTTCAAAAGGCCAACCCAGACCCTATACTGCACTCACATACGAGTAGTTCTCTTTAACATTGTGAACGGGCTTAGAAGACGCCTCTGTGGTTTGTTTCGTCGTTACTTCCCAGAGTGAGTTTTAAGAAATGCCGGCGCCTTCTAGCTGTAAAGTCCGACTTTTAAAAATACCTGAAAGGATTTACTTACAGAAAAAAATATAATTTATCATTTACCAGGTGTCCATTTCCATTAGGGAACCCGTCTGTTAGATTGCCCCGTATATCATCCACAAAAAAATCCAGACAAGTGCGAGTTGGACTCGCCCACCGAGGGTTCCGTACACATTTGTAGGTAGTTCGCAGTTTTCGCCGAGCTTTGCCCAAAATTCAATTTCCAAAACCTAAAATTACTTATAACCCGGAGTTTTCTAAGAGAAGTTGTACCTCGATAATTGATTACGTACTTTAAATAAATACTATATTTTTATGATTTATTTACAAATGTATAGTTTTCAGATTTTTACCTGTACTTGTAGTACAAGTCGATGTTACTTGCTAAATTTCAGAGTTATAGATCAACGGGAAGTATCCTATGAATTTTAAATCCCTTAAGTGTCGAAATATACGTTTTTTGCGGCATAAACAGTCGTATCTTTTTTAACTTAGGAGTTTGATTATTTTACAGCTTCAAGGGATCGTAGACCTGTGTATATGGTTTTAATTTCAACTCAATACCTCCAAGCATTCTCTAGATAAAGGGTTTTGACAGACAGAAGGACAACAAAGTGATCCTATAAGGGTTTTTTATTTGTTTTTCAGGTACGGACCCTAATTAATTATGATGATGATGATGATTAATGAACTTACACCTGCAATAAAGTCGTAATTCCACGCACAGTATGCAAGAGTCTTTAGTTAACAGGTACTTACGCCGTATGAACACAACGTCTCAACTTTACGCAAAACAGTGAAGTTTCTCACGAAATTAGCGTTACACCGAATACCAGCAAAAATAACATAACATTACCGGTATATTTATATACTAAACACTGTGTCCCTAAACATGAACAGCTTGATGCCTTCTAAGCAACTCTTTTTTTCTTTTTTATAAAAGAGAGCGTTATTGACCTGTCTTTTATGTGGGCGGTCTTCCTTGTGGTTCGTCCTTCTGAGGTTCGGTCTCCTCTCCAAATGCAACGTTGATATTGCTAGCCGTTTTAAAAAAAAATAAAGTATCTATCTTTCACGTCTAAGCTGAATAAAAAAAACATTGAAAGTCGAAAATCGAATGTTGCACATTTAAAAAAAAAACCTAATAGTTATCATTTGAAAAAAGTTTCACACGAAAATCTCACACCGTAAAGGTTTTATGTCAATTCAAAGTATCTATTACCATACAACGGCAATTTCATATTTAAACCCCTATTATTTGTCCTGGAAAATTGAACCCACGACCAGCGGCTTACCAGTCAGGGTCAGCAACCTCTACATCAACAGGCCAGTCGGATAACTTATCAAGTTGAAGACCAGGTTAATTTGAATCAATACATACGTAAAAAAGATATTGCTTAGGTATACGAATGGATTGGTGTGTAGGCTATTTCAGGTGTACGACCTTGACCTACTATTCCTCGGGTAGGTCAAGGTGATATACCTTGACTCGTGTAACTTAAACTGGCTATCACCAGAAGTTCCAAGTCCTCTAACCTTATATTTAAAGTATCTTAGTATTCTGTTGCTAGTGGCCTGTTGATATAATGATTAGGCATCCTAATTGCACAGCTAGAGATCGTGGGTTCGATATCCCATCCAGGACAAATGATTATCCATGATCATTTGTTCTGTGTCCAAGTGTAATTCATCTATAATATGTATGTATTTAGAAATATATAAGTACGTTTATCAGCAGTCTTGTTACCATAGTACAGGTTGTACCCAGTTTGGGACCAGATGGCCGTGAACCAGATGTGTACAATTACTATTATTTATAGAGTAAAATACCTTAAAGCATTTTTTCTGAATAAAGGTACCCTATTTTTTTTTTCCGTGCGGAATTCCCCTCGGATACCACCTGTCGGTGGCATGTCGGAAGAATAAAGGCACCCTATTCCGTAATTTGTATGTAAAATTTCATGATGGTGGATTGAATAGTGCAAATTTTTATTAAACGGGGATCAAGTTTGTGATTCAAATAATCACAAAGCTTTGTTGCCATCAATAAACATGTGTCGAGATTTTTCTGCAAAGAATGTGTTGACTTAAATTTTCGTAGAATACATTCATGCCATTTTATTGTATCTGTGTGTTACAAAAGCCGGTCACCGCTGCTTTATCTGCATATCTGGTCACTGCTCTGCTTCTAAAGGCCGTAGCGTGATGTTAATTAACCTTTAACTTTGCTCAAGTATTGGGCTCAAATACACACATAGATTTTTGTATTTTTTTGTCCCATTGAGTAAAGATAATGGAGGCCGAAGCTTTCCCCCCATATTTGAATACGGAGTGTCACCAACCCCATTTCATGCCGTGCGTGTAGTAAGAGCCGACTAAGGGAGCAAACTACGCAGGACAACAGCATTGCAAATAGAAGGAAAACCTTACACCAACCCGTCTGGCCAGCGGTGTACAGTAGGGCAAAACCTCCTTTCTAAGGAGAGGCCTAAGTCCAGCAGTGGACTATTAAAGGCTGTTCAAGATTAAGAAGAAGACCCAAAGGCTGGAGTTACAAGGGTCAGACAGCGGTAGTCACTATCAGATGACCCATCTGCTCTTAAGCCTATGCCATAAAAAGATAATCTATAAAAAGATAATCTATAAAAAGTTTAATCAAAATCGTTAGAGCCGTTAGTTTAATTGTAATATTACATCGACAAAAATATACCAACAACCTTATGTTTTATGACATAATCTCGGAAACGTTTATAATCTGTAATTTTAAAGTCTCTGGTTATAAAGCTAAGTGCTTCCGTATCCGTTTCTAGATTAATTAAGTTACATATATTATGCATTAATTAAGTGATTCAAGCTATTAAGATATACCTTATAAGTGTGTAGGGCTTAATAATAGGTTTGGAAAGAAGTTGGACCTGCGTAGTCTAATTTCAACTTAATAAATAATAATTTATTCTGTAAAAAGATCTTTTATAAGATTTATGTTGTTTAGGATTGTGTATCGATGTCAAATTCATATGTACACACACACACACACACACACACACACACACACACACTATTAATTATATACTACACCATAAAAATAGAATTATTTGTAATATGCGTAGTTTTGTTCCCTTAGTCAGCTCACGACACCCACGGGATAAATAGGGCTGGCGACTTCCGTATTCTTAATCCGTTACCACACGGAAAGCTCTTGACGAAAAATTATCTTTAATGTATATATGTATTTAGAAATATATACGTATACTCATATTTATCAGACGTATAGTTACCATACCGCAGGCTCTCATTTCTTAGAGTGTATTGGCGGTTAGAGCCATATGCGGTTACAGGTTCGACCGACGCGGCTTGCGCGTTGCCCCGAACTGCCGCGTGGAATTTGGAGGTACCAGCTTGCAGTTGCCCAGTGGGGTCCGGATGTCTTAATAAAAGCTGTTCCCTTTTTATTTAAGGCACAGAGTGGCAGACCGTGGGGTTCTGGTCGGTTCAATTCTGACAACACTCCACTGCAAAACCGGTAGTATGACGACCCAAGGGAGTTTGCACACTTTAAAACAAAAGGGTATTGCCTAATTTGGCATCAAACGGCCCTATGTATTTAATGTGTACATATCATTGTGTAATATGTGTAAGATCATTCAACATTAACAGCCTTTAATAGTCCACTGCTGGACATAGGCCCCTTCTTAAAATGCTGTTGACCTCTGACAAAAATGTTAAAATTTATTAATTTGATCTGGATTGTTGTCGTATACGGACTTGATCTAGTTATTGTATTAATTTAGGGAAATATTTGGTCGATAAGTACATACA